CTTCTATATATAATAATTGTTGTTATTAAGATATATATATAGGCTTTGCTTGTTTCCCAATCCTAAAATTGAATAAAATATTGTTTGTGAAAAAAAAAAAAAAAAAATTTTGTATTTTATATAGTATTTCTGTTTTTAGTGCACCAGTCCTCCCTTTGGACAGAAATGAAATGAAATGAAATGAAATGGGATTAACGTCCTACTGTTTTGCTCCGAACTGGGCTAATGAAGACGGGCATACGCCATACAGTGTGCTATGAGGGAAATTTTGCCCGGACAGCGGCGCTACGGCCTACTCTTATATCGAATTCCAACTGTCAAGGGATCTTTTACGTGCACGCCAATGTGTACACGGGACCTCGGTTTTTCGTCTCATCCGAATGACTAGACAGCTGTCCTTGTCAGGCCCTCCGTCCTGCATCACTGACAAGGGGAAACCACGCCGGAAAATCTGGATGAACTTTCTCGGCCAATGCAGGGATCGAACACCCGACCTCCAGGCTAGCGAGCCAGCGCCTTACCCACTTAGCCACCGTGATCCCCCCCCCCTTTGGACAGGATATCCGAATTAAATTTCACGTTGTGTTCTTTTTGATAATGAAATTCGGGAAAACTAATTTGCTCTAAATACATTTTTATAGACCTGGAGCGAAAAGAAATAACAAGTAAAGCTCTTCCACTTCCACTTGAAAGTGGTAATAGATCTAATTTTTGGAACCTTAAAATAGACGAAAATTGGTCTGAATGCATATAATAATGTAATATGAATGTGCATAAAGTGATTTACATTCTATTTTGTTAAAACCAGCGGGTGCCAGGCAGGATACGCCCACATTTTTCAAGAGATGGATAGAGAACAAGCTAAACAAAAAGTGATTTTTCGTAAAATCGGGAAGTTGCGATCCGATATTCACGAATACCGACAGGAACCAAGATCTTTGGGTTATAAAGATATATTGTGACTTCTAGAGGGCCCACAGCCTTGATATATCATATATTTACACTATTTTGCGTACGAGGGGTGGCCATTTTGTCCGACAGGTTTGGTCCGATTTTCACGAAATTCTAACTCAGCTGTCATTAGGGTGTAACAGTGAAATATTCAAACGTTTTTTTTCAATCGGATAAAAATTGTGACCTCTAGAGGGACCACAAACTAAAAACGCGATTTTTCGTACAATCAAGGGCCATAATTCAGACAGTTACGATCTGATATGTGCGAATATCAACAGAAACCAAGATCTTTGGGTTATAAACATGTATTTCAAGTTTCATCATAATCGGATCAAACATGTGGCCTCTAGAGGGGCCACAACCTTGATATACCATATATACACTATTTGCGTACGAGGGGTGGTCCTTTTGTGCGGCAGTTTTGGGCTGATTTTCACGAAATTCGAACTCCATCATCATTAGGGTGAAACGGTGATATATTCAAAGGTTCTTTTTTTAAATCGGATAAAAATTGTTACCTCTAGAGTGACCGCAAGCTAAAAACGTGATTTTTCGTACAATAAAGGGCCACAATTCTGAAAGTTATGCACAATTCGATATGCACGAATTTTGAAAGGAACCAAGATCTTTGGGCTATAAACATGTATTTCAAGTTTCATCAAAATGGGATCAAAATTATGACCTCTAGGGGATCCACAACCTTGATATACCATATTTTTAGACGATTTGCGTACGAGGGGCGGCCATTTTCACGAAATTCGAACGCAAGCATCATTACAGTGTAACGGTGATATATTCAAACGTTTTTTTTTTAAATCGGATAACAATTGTGACGACAAGCTAAAAACGCGATTTTTCGTACAATCGCAGGGATCCTAATTCAGGAAGTTACGATCCGATATGCGCAAATATCGAAAGGAGCCAAGATCTTTGGGTTATAAACATACATTTCATCAAAATTAGAAGAAAATTGCGACCTCTTGTATAAAAATGAATTGTAATTTCTAATCAACTATGTTCGATGAAATAATTAAATTGTCCAAAATGATCGGCATAGTCCATTTTATCGGTTTTTAAAAATTATTATTATTATAGTCCATTCTATGGGTTTTATTTAAGAATTATTATTATTATGTCGTTTGTGAATCAGACATTTTTAATATTCTGTGTTTATTACAATTGGTGCTCGAAACCATAGAGTACAAGACAGTCTGATTTTAAAATGTTCACAGTGGATTAAATATTGAAGATTAGGATCCCATATTTTTCCGGTATCACAACATCAATATTGATTGAAAGATACCAATACTGAATTTTTATTCGTGTCTTTAATTTCGATTATTATGAATAATATTGAGTTAGAGGTTTTGGGTCCTTTAAGATCCCTCCATCGTGGCGAAATGGCGTCTGTTTATCTACTCGCGCTCCTTTCTTTTAAAAAAGGGGTACTATTTTAAGTATTTATCCGATGAGTCAAGTCTGCAAAGACTTTATCCTAATGTACTAACATTGAAACTGTGTCCATTTTTCTAGGTATTAGTTGAAGGAAGGGGGAGGGGGCATTCTCTTGTGGCTCATGGATGGATATAAAAACTATGCCCAAATTAGCAGAACCAGATATTTGACGTCACTGATTCAAGTTAATTTCCAGGGCACCTAATTAACCCAAAATCTTATTTTCAATCTAAACGGACCACCCAAATGCACGAAGGTCATTGTCTTAATTAATTACCATATTTAATAGCATAATCAAGGCCAATATCAGAATACAATATATGCTCATAATTACCAGATTTCCTCATGTACGCCAGAGAAATATACAGATGGTCTAATGAAGATGGGCATACTAGTCCGATCGTTTATGTAAATCCGTCGGCTTTTCGGGTAGAAATCGTGGAATAAGCTTTATTTTGTAGGTTTTGATGTTTGATTACAAAAAACCAATGTTGACATTTTTTGAGTAGGTCTTCATGGTATGGGAGGCCATTATTTGAGGGTAGCCATTTTGCGATAATATTCCAAATTATTTTTTATTTTCACCTTATTTATAATGTTATCGACATATCAACTGTGATTTGGCAATGTATTAATATTGGCGGCATTCATGACTATATCTCAGATTGTTTTCCTTCATTTCATGATGATATTTCCAAGATGGCGCCCATTTTTAGCGGGAAAATCGGTCGATGTGCTGATTTCGATTAAGTAGTAGTGTTTGGTGTCAACAACCTTGTAAAATGATCACGTGTTCATATACTTAGCATATTACCAAGATGGCGGACATTTTTGTCGGGAAAATGGGCGATGTGCAGATTTTGATTAAGTGGTAGTGTTTGATGTCAATATATATGTTTACGGGGGCGCAGAATCAATTTCTGACAGTTACAACCTTGTAAAGGGATCAAATGTTCACATGTTTAGTATAGTTCCAATATAATTGCCACTTGTGTCGGGAAAATCGGACGATAGGTTGATTTCGATTAAGTAGTTGTCGTTGGTAACAATATATATGTTTTCGGGAAGGCAGATTCGATTTCTGTCATATACAACTACGTATGTTCACCAATTTAGCATATTTCCAAGATGGTGGAACGTTTCTAATCACATTATTGGCATTTATTTATCATCGATTTTCCTGAGAAAGTAAAGCCTATTTCTGGCATGAAGGCAAAAAGAGCATAGCGGCAGCGTGGTGCTTACGACACGTGTCCATTATGCGCCTGCCACGACCACACCAAGCGCTTACTACAAGATCTTTCTACGCTCATGGCCAAGCTCTGGCTGCGCGAAAAGTGTTACCACCATGATCTCGCGGTTACCAGTCAGACCGGGATACTTTCTCACCACACTCCAGTGACGTGCCTACCAGACGTAAGGCGTTCACTCGCCACGCCTATAGAGACTGTGCCATGCTCACCCGTCCTTATTCATTTTCAAAGCAGAAAACAACCAATAGTCAAGCAATCAAGAACATTTCATAGTTTTCTTGAGGTTTCCTCTTTGGTTGCTAGACTGGAGCTGATGGACGAGGGACGAGGCTCAGTATCTTCCCTATATGTACATAAAGGTCATAACAGCGTAGCAAGCATATGGCTATGAGTTTCGTTCCAGCCCGGCAGCAACGTGGATGATAGGGGTGGGGACTTGGCTGGAAATGAAATATTTGCTAAGAAGCCCTCATAGCATAGATTATGTTATCAACTGACTTCCAAGATGAATGTAGAACGAGCATGTGGAATGATAGTGCGCTGGAGTTCAACTACTACATTGTTGGATAATATACCTAATGGGTAAACTCGGCACAGGCTTCCAGGAACATGCTACAAGCTTATACATAGCAGAATTGGAATCAAAAACCTTTTCAGTAATGTGTTTAGAAAATTTCCTGCTACAAACAAAAATATGCTGAATGTGTGAACATACCACCATTTCATGCAGTTGTAAATGGCAGAAATCGAATCTGCGCCCCCGAAAAACAAATATTGACAAAAAAACGCGACTACGTAATCAAAATCAGCACATCGTCCCATTTTCCCGCCCGACATGAAAGCCATATTGGAAATATGCTAAATATGTGAACATGTGATAATTTTACACAGTTGTAAACGGCAAAAATGGAATCTGCTCCCCAAAAAATATATCCTGGTACCATAGACGACTACTTAATCAATATCCGAACATCGTTCCATTTTCCCGCCATAAATGGTCGTCATATTGTAAATGTGCAAAATAATCATTTTACAAATTTGTTACTGACTAAAATTAATTCTGTGCCCTTGAAAACATATATATTGTCACCAACGACGACTACAAGACACAGTAATTATGTTATATTGAAATTTTAGACTCTTTCTTCTCATTGACATTGACACCTAGCTACCTTCGTTTTATTATCTTTTTAACTGTTAAACAAGTGTAATCCTTAACGGAGTAAGTACAGCTAAGATTTAATTGATAAAAGTAATCATAAATCATACTTTTCTGTGGTAGTAATGGTGTACTTTCCATCAGTTACAGACACATAAAGTTGTAAACAAAACAAAGAGTGGATTTCAGATTTTTATAAAAAAGATAATATACTACATAGTTTAATGTACATCATTTATACAATCAGTTTTTGTTAGAAAACAAAAGTTTCAAGGAAGTCAAGCATTTGGCATTCTATTGACTTGCACAGCACATAAATCTAATGAGCAATTTACAATCAGGACCTGGACAAATAAATATCGAAAATATAGTCGGGTAGATTATATATAGGCACAGATAAACTTGCATATATTACAGACTGTTATAGCAAGATATAACTGTAAGATATAGCTGCTTATAACAGGCTATTCTCAAATAACCCATTGTGATGTATAAGTGGTTAATTAACATGATTAATTGGTGACTCATAATGACATACTAATAATTCTACAATATAATGTAATTCAATATAATAATACTAAAGATAACATGCCTTATTATATCTTGATAGCCTAAAAGTAATCAGGTTTAAGGTCAAAATAGATACCTCCAAAGAAATCGAAATAAGACACAAATTCTCAATGATTCCTTCAAGCCAATTAAAAAGTAAGGCACACTTCTTATTGAGGCCTTGCTGCTCAAATATAATTTTCACCTTTTCTACAATAATAAAGTACTTGCAAAAATACTTTATGAGTTTATAATAGCTTGCAATGTATAAATAAATGTATTTTCTCCTAAGTCAGAATAAATCAATTATGTTTGATGCTTGAATCTGTAATCTGAGAAGTCGAAGTGGGTAGGTTTGGTCTGACTTCCTGTTAGCTCTTCAAATACAAATAGCCTTTAAACTATTTTTAGGGTACATATAATATAGTACTTCTTTTAATGAAAAAGATCTAAAGTTGTCATCTTTGTCTGATCCAATTGATAAATATTGATCAATAGAATTCGTGTAAAGTAAAATATTTAAAAAAAAAACAAACAAAAATTAGTACCAGTACCCATTGTCCACATAACACTAATCACAGAGAATATCCTTTTGCCAACATACAGCTTACATCAATTTAACCACATTTGGCAAAATGTTAAGTCACTTGATACAGTGAAATTAACAATGTGAATTGAGAGATTTTTTTTATAATTAACCAGTGAACATTTTAGTTAATATTCTGATATTTCATAACTAAAATGTATAACTAATAACACTACCATGTAAAGATGTTCTCCCTAATATAGGAAGCTACTACAACGAATGACTTAAATGTATACGGAAGCTACTACAACGAATGACTTAAATGTGTTAGTTATCTATGTCATACTTCTAATAGTCAATACACTAGTATTTATCATTCTGAACAGTAATCTATCATATTAGACATGGATATAAAATTTAAAGAGCAATTTGGATATTTCAATTGAAATGTTTTGAAATTTGTCTTAAAATGTCTAGAAATTTGAATTACCGGTACGTTTTAAAATTCACTCCAAAGTACTTCAAAGAAAGAATCCATTTGACACAGTGCTCTAGAAAATCATTGAATATATTTAAAATTTCAACATTCATAAATTTTACAATAATATTCGGTTACATCTTGCTTATAATATTGAATGCTAAATCACATGAATGTGAATTGTACCCATTTAAATCATAATTTGACATCAATACTTTACACTGAGTAGCTCACGACAGCATACACCTAAACTCTTTCCAATGGCAGTACAATAATTAACATTCTTTGGGAATAATAGCCTTGCAGTCACACCGTTTAATTTTTAACAAAATTTATATATATTTTTAATATTAATTGAAAGGTGACTATATAGTAAATGAATTTAAGTTGTAAGACATAAATAAAAGTTATATTTATAAGACTATTTACATGTAGATATAGAGTGAGGGAAGTAACTGATAAAAGAATTTTTTTTAAAGAGATTTATTGCTACATGTATAAAAAATACTTCTTAATTAACAGCAGTAACAGATATATTTCTTCTTCAACTAAATTTTGAATGTTAAGCTCGTATGATTAAAAACTTTATAATTTATCACAGTAATATACACAAGACAATAATTAACAATTACATATAGGTACATGATTCACATCATGAAATATAAATTAAGAACACTGCCATATTCAGCAAACAAAAGCTAAAGATTGTGATTTGCTAGTACCAAACATCAGACAACTTAAGTGAATTGTTTAACCTTCGAAACTCTCAAAACTTAGTTATTTTTATTTCTGAGTGTCATTTGCTTGAAAAAAAAGAAAATAAAGGCTGTCACAAACTAGTGGTTATTTAACGGTGAGTAATGGCCAATGTGCAACAGATGATAATCCTGATAATAATCACAACTAACCTCGATGTAAAAATTGTCAAAATTGGTAAATCATTGCTAATGGATAAATCAATGTATATTGTGTAAAAATTGAACTTCCCCCTCAAAATCACAATAGAGTTAGTTGTTGTCTGATAAATTATCAAAAACAATGTGGGATGAAAAACTGACTTGATGCCAACAAACAATCACTAGTATGCTTTGGCTTTAGATGCAATCCATGCATATGACAAATATCTAGACTAGAAAATACTTTACATTTAACAATTAATCTGTGATTAATTCAAGTTTAAATAGCCTTAAAAGCTGGTGGTGTATTTTATGATAAAAAAAACTTGGTCTAATCCAGTAAATATCCACCAGCAGGATTAAAACAAATATTAATTTAAAAATATATTCTCTGAATGGCATTTTAGCAATTGGAACTTAATAAAATTACTGCAACGTTTCAACAAGATTTCACAAGTCGTTATTAAGCATATATAAATCATTTCATTTTATTTATTTGTGTTGATATATGCTTGATAACGACTTTTGAAATCTTGTTGAAACATCGCAGTGACATAAACCATAGTAATTGTTATCCATAAATAGTGTTTTATTTAATTTAAAAATATATTACTATGTTTCGTGGCAATTTTAAATGATAGAAAAACCAAAGCATGTGAGAATCTTTGTTTTGGCATTGTTCAAAAATATTACAGAATTAGATTTTGATTTTTGCATTGGATAACAAGATGTGTTCATATCCAAATAAAATTATCCCAGTACCCCCAAAAAATGCTTTCTTTGTATTTACAACTCTCTATTAAAACTGCATTTAGACAAATAAAGGGAAATATTTTTCAGAAGACTAGAACGTGGTATATATAACAGTATCAAAGTTTTGCAGCTGTATGTTTAGTAGGTTTCACCACCATTTAGACCTTCAATCAAATAGGAAAAAAATGTAACATTAAAATAAATAGAGGGCTTAAGTCATGAAAAAAAAAGTGATGGTAAAATGAATTAACTCTACAATATATTGTTTCGACAATTACTAACTTATAACTTTAGCTGTTAAAGGCCCATTAATAATTAAATTAAAAGAGGTGATATCCACAAAAATGTAAAAGACCAATTCTACACCCAATGCATCAACCCCTTATCAATTGATTTGTTTGACAACATCTGTAATAAACCATTGCCATTGATAACATACTAATATGATAATATAATCAAACTAGGAATGGACTTTTAAGACTAAATTATAGTAGTTGAAAATTCACTATGAATTTTTCACTTTAAAAAATAATGTTGTAGTGTTTTTTATGCTTCACTCCCATGCATTGGATCAATCTTGGCTGACAAAATAAGTTTGAGAAATAGGGGAAAATTAAAATACAAATTTAAGAAAAAAGAGGGACTTATAAATAATAATACATCATACATAGTAACCAAAGAACATAAATCCTTCAGCATCTTTAAAACTTAATTAAAGCACTAAGCGTGACATAAAACCAAACTAAAATCTAGTACTTATACTACACAATGACATGCATATTATCACAAACAAATCCACAGGTAAAACAATAATTGACATTTATCTTGTTTTTGACTAACTGAACTTAAAGTAAAGTCAGTGAGATTCAAATTGATGAACGTACCGGTATATATATTTATAGAGAAAAATGGGGTTTAACATCCACAAACTAGGTCATTTCGGGAGTAACACATGGTTCAATTTTATTTCAATAATTCGCTTGCGCGTAGGGGTCTTTAGTAGTTGGAGGAAACCAGAGGACACGGAGAAAACTCACGAGGTTGGACAGGCGACCCTACTATTTTCTGGTGCTATATTTAATACATTTTTTAAATTTTACTAAAACTAAACAAAATCAAATCATTTGAACATTTAAGGTTCATTACATAAAATTTCACAAAATTAATGTCCTAAATCAGAACAGAAGGATTAGAACTGCTGAAGTTTTAGACTTGTCATTACCAATCAAGCTTATTCCATAATCTACCGTTACTTTTAACTTAAATTTCTTTACAACACCACCAGAAATATCTACTATATCACATTTACACACAAGCAAAGAACAACATGTATTAAGGGTTCTTTTAGACCCGTCAAATATTTTTACTGTAGACAGATACAGGGGGAGGGGTCCAATTACAAAAAAAAAAAAAAAACATAAGCAAAGCAAGCAAAATTTGTTTTACTGAGACATAAACACTCATGGACGGCCGACTAGATAAGGCATTATCGATCTTTACAGCTTAATTTATCAATAAGTTCTTGTAATGGTGCCAATTCTTTTCGGTCAATCAAGCTGAACTCTTGTACGAAAAATATGAAATGCTTGAAAGAAGTATTCAGATGAGCTTCCTCGCTAAGCTGAACTACTTCTTTGAAATGCTGATGGTAGATATGTGCATAAACTCTGAAAAGGCGCTTTAATATTGTCTTGGCAATGGTTAGAAAATTCTTTGGAAAGGGAACACCTGAAAAATAGAATATAATTAGGTCAGTCAAATCATACCACTGTAAATATCAAAATGAGAAATTTGCCAGGCGACAAACGGTTTTCCTTGCTCACAAGTTTAAAATAATAAACTTCAAGATAACTTTTTTAATGTAAATTTTGTTTTACAAGTAAAATAAATAACAGCAGGAAAACCTGACTCTGAGATTTGACATTTATTGTTTTTTTTATTAGTTATTCTACATGCAGCCTTACCGATTTTTGAAGGGAAAATTGTTTCATCATCCAGTTGGTCTTGAACCCATGTCATCAGGTAATCAATATATTTTGGTGCTGAACATTTTATAGGTTTTTTGATAGTTGTACCATCAGCCCAATGGTATTCATATTTTGGTCCTGCTGACATTACAGGACAAGTTTCTTCTGAACAGAATTCTGTTATTGTTCCATATAACATATTAATCTGATTGAAGAAATCAACAGCTGGAAAGCAGAAGAATAACAAAATTATTTAGACTTAGAGAACTGTGGAGACAAAGTGAAAATTAATGCGGATAAGAAATTAATGCGTTAAATATAATCTATTGGAAGTCGCATAATTTTTCATCCGCATTATTGTTCTAGATAGTTAACTTGTGCAAAAACAGAATAGTAAATCAGTGGATGGAGAAAACTTAACACCCACTCAAAACAATAGAATAATCAAACCTGATTAATCAGACATTCAGCAAATGATGTCATTATCTTGTAAATAGTTTTTTTCTTTAGCTAAGAAGTTAATCATGTGGATCCATTTCAGGTACCATTAATTTCTTAACTGTATATAGAAAGTGATATCCCGGATTACATAGACCATGCTTCATTGATTCAATGTATTTTTTTTAAACATAGACCAAAATATACATTTGGAAATACCTAGTGTTTTAATCTGATATGTCATATTGAAATAACTTACTATTCACTGCAACCCATTCATTAAGGTCTTCTCCTTCTGGTAGCATAACCGCTAACCTGAGGTTACCACTCCCCAATGTAACTGCTGCATGTTTCATCAAATCATACTGATGAGTTCCTTCTGGAATGTTCTTTTTAGGTTTAAAGGTCTTATTGTTTCGACTTCCACTGAAAATATATTTATTACTCTGGTAAAACATTTGAACTGAACTATTTAGTTTCTACCTCAATGAAATATATTCAGTGACTGGCAAGGAGTTTGTTAAAGAGGTGGTTCTAATAGTAAGTGCAGGAGGACTGCACCACACATAAACAATTAAACAAGACAAACCTGTGGACAAGTCACAATATACAAAGACTTTTAAAACAATAAACAACAAAAGTATACCAAATCAAATCCACTGCCACGTACAGTGTCCGGTACATATATCTGCTATGTACCACTGACTTTGGGAAACCGCGTTGGAAAACCCCAGGATGGAACCCTGACCTCCTGCTAAGTGAATCAGCGCCTTACTTATCGAGCCACTGCGACTAGCTATAATCCTTAACAAATACAACTTTTATATGACACAATTTAAGTCTTTCATTCGAGAACAAGCAACCCCCCCCCCAAAACGTCATTTTTCATACAATCAGGGGGCATAATCCATGACGTTCTGGTCTGAAATGCACAAATATCGAAAGGGACTGAGATCTTTGGGATATAAATATATATATATTAAGTTTCATCAAAATGTCACCAAAATTGTGACCTCTAAAGGGTCCACAACCTTTGTATTACATGTACATGTACATATACCCTATATATACAATTTGTATACAAAGAACGGCCATTTTGTCGGGCAGTTTCATTTTGATTTTCCCGAAATTCCAATTCAACCTTCATTATGGTGGAATGGTGATATACTATTCAAAAAAAGTAGGGGATATTTGATTTTGGGGGCATAATACTAAAATATGCAAATGACTACGAAAAAAATCACTATAGAACCTAACAGAAGAAACATTTCCAGTTACATGTGACGCCCAAACGCACCAATAGCTACCGCATGGAATGCAGGTGATGCTTGGGATCATCATGGGGGTCCAACCCAAGATTTGCACGACTCTGAATTTGAATGTTACAGTCATTGTGGCATTGAATTCCAGGGTGGAAACATCAGTTTAATTGTTTTAGTGACCAGAAAACAACTTTTGATATGCGTCGGCTTACCCAAAATGAAAGGTTACGTGCCCTTGGCATGCTACAGATCGGCACAACACAGGCGGTTGTGGCGCGGACGATGAATGTTTCTCAGTCTGTCATAAGCAGGCTATGGTCCAGATACCGTGATACACAATCTGTACAGGACAGACCACGCTCAGGTCGACAACTCAAGCCCAGGATCGATTTATCCGTACCTTGGCCTTGAGAAATCGTGTCATCACAGCAAATCAGATCAGCGCTCGTCTTCAACCAGACACTGGTGTGAGTGTGAGTGGCCAGACGATTCGGAATCGACTGCATAGGGGTCACCTTCGCGCCCGACGTCCTCGCGTGATCCCTTGTTTGAGAGAACATCACATTCAGGCAAGACGTCGTTGGTGTAGGGATCGTCAACACTGGGATAATCGACGCTGGACCAATGTGATGTTTTCAGATGAGTCAAGGTTCACTGTTGATTTTTTGGACAGACGTAGGAGGGTGTGGCGTCGTCGAAACGAGCGCTTCCAAGACGTTAACGTCATCAGACATGATCGATTTGGGGGTGGTTCTGTTATGGTGTGGGGAGGCATCACTGTTGCTGGAAGAACGGCTTTACATGTTGTTGCAGGGCGTGTTACAGGCCAGTACTACCGGGACAACATCTTGGCAGTCCATGTTGTGCCGTTCGCACGACGTCATGGCCGCCGTTTCATCTTCCAGGATGACAACGCAAGATGTCACAGGGCCAGGATCGTTACAGGTTACCTCCAACGACAGAACATCACCACATTACCTTGGCCAGCACTGAGTCCCGACCTCTACCCCATCGAGCATGTCTGGGACATGCTTGGACAGAGGTTACGTCAACGTCAACGTCCTGCCAATGTCCAAGAACTTGCTGCTGCGTTGCAACAGGAATGGGACAATCTGGACCAAAATGACCCTAGACGTCTCATTAGGAGTATGCCACGTCGGATCAATGCTTGTTTGGCAAACAGAGGAGGATTTACCCGTTACTGACTTGGTTGTGATGCTGTGGTAACTTTGCTGTTTGACCCCGGGTATCATTTTACCCTTATAATGGTCAGTCTGTGCCTTACTTAGTCTAACGATCATTTGGAATAAATCGATGAATGTGAACTTCATTTCATTTTGTCATTTGTTTCTTCGTCAGTTTCATTAGGTGACTTTAATAACACTTAAAAATCAAATATCCCCTACTTTTTTTGAATAGTATATATCTAAACAGTTTTTAAAATCAGAAAAAAATTGTGACCTCTAGAGAATCCACAAGCTAAAAATGTGATTTTTCGACCAATCAGGGGCCATAATCCAGGAAGTTACTTTCGGATATGTGTGATTATCAAAAGGAACTAAGATCTTTATGATAAAAACATATATTTAACCCTTTCACTGCGCATACCCGGTAGTACCGGGTATTATAAAATGTCGGTAAAATACCCGTACCCGGTATTACCGTGTACTCAGTAAAGCCCTCGCTAAAATTAGTACCGTAACTGCAAGTGCCATCTATTGTATTTTCTATACACTAGAACATATTTCCACGTGTTTCAAAGCGGCAAACCGTAAAATGGCGGAGTGCATAGTGACAACGTAGACGATGCACTCTCGACGAAGTCGTGAATGACGTCTTGCTGACCAACACGTGGACAATTTCGAGGCGGGTGATACACATAATTCGTTTCCAGTTACTTGATAATGATAGTAGTCAGGACAGTGATTGGTATTATGAAGTGTGTGATTTGTTGCGCGACGTTCCGCCCATGGCTAGCTATGTCTCCCGTGCATGATGAACAAGCCCAATGTGAACACGATAGCCCTGTGTCTGCAGTAGATTCTGACAATAATTCTGATGTTGATAATAATGCTGGCCTGCTGGATCGTAAAAGACGTAGGTAATTCCTGATTCCCGAACGTGTAGATCTATTGACTGACTATATTGATAATGATATAGGACTTGGGGATGAAAGTGAAAGTGAAAGTAAAAACAAGGTATTGCAATCCGCACGTGGTCATGGCAGCGGGAGACGTGATGCGCGTGTTCGCGGCGCCATTGCTCATGGCTGCTATTGATATTTTTGTTCATTTTATATATCTTTATCAAAATCCAGTGAAAAAAACAATATCTTTTAAGTATTTCATGGAGAAAAATTCGTTTTCGTGTTAGCTTTAGTGAGAAATGAGCAATCCAAAATGGCCGCCATGACGTCACGTGACTACATTATTATGCAAATTTCCAAAATTCTATTTTTTCCTCTTAGCCCAACCTCATGCCCATCCCAACAGACAAAAAGATTTTTCATAAAAGCTTCCATAAGTACTGCTTGGCATTCAGTTCCAACCTCCCTTTTTTCCTCAAAAAAGGGTCTAGCACAGGCAGTGGATTTACGTCTAGCATTGAAAGGGTTAAAGTTTCATCCAAATTGGATAAAAACTGTGGCCTCTTCAGGGCAGACAACCTTGATATACCATATTTTTACACTACCGGTATTTGCGTCAGTTTTTTCTGATTTTCACGGAATTCGAACTTAACCATCATTAGTGTATAAGTGTGATATATTCCCACTTTTTTTTTTAAATCGGATAAAGATTGTGATCTCTATAGGGACCACAAGCTCAAAACGGGATTTTTCGTATAATCACAGGCCATAATTTAGGAAGTTACGATCCGTTATGCGCAAATATCAAAAGGAACCAAGATCTTTTGGTCGTAAACATGCATTTTAAGTTTCATCAAAATTGTGACCTCTAGGTCTACAACCTTGATATACCAGATGTTTACACTATTTGTGTACAAGGGGTGGCCATTTTGTCCGGCAGTTTTGGTCTGATTTTCACTAAATTCGAACTCAACCATCATTATTAGGGTGTAATGGTGATATACTAAATTTTTTTTTTTTAAAATTGGATAAAAATTTTGACCTCTAGAGGGACCACAAGCTAAAAACGCGATTGTCCTTACAATCTGGGGCCATAATTCAGGAAGTTACGATCCGATATGCGCGAATATCGTAAAGAACCACGATCTTTGGTTTATAAACATGAATTTCAAGTTTCATCAAAATCAGATCAAAATTGTGACCTCTAAGAGGTCCACAACCTTGATATACCAGATGTCTACACTATTTGTGTACAAGGGGCGGCCATTTTGTCCGGCAGTTTTGGTCCGATTTTCACGAAATTAGAACTCAACCATTATTAGAGTGTAATGGTGATATACTATAACGTTATTTTTAAATTGGATAAAAATTTTGACCTCTAGACGGACCACAAGCTAAAAACGCGATTTTCCGTACAATCAGGGGCCATAATTAAGAAAGTAACGATCCGATATGTGTGAATATTGTAAAGAACCAAGATCTTTGGTTTATAAACATGCATTTCGAGTTTCATCAAAATTGGATCAAAATTGTGACCTCTAGAGTGTCCACAATCTAAAAACGTGATTTTTTGTACAATCAGGGGCCATAATCCATGAAGTTATGGTCCGATACATCCCAATATGGAAAGGAACCAAGATCTTTGGGAGATATACCTATATTTCAAGTTTTGTCAAAATCGGATAAAAATTGTGACCTGTAGAGTTCCACAAACAAATTGTGAACGGACGAACGGACAGGGGCGATAACAATATATGTCTACATGAAAATGTGGGTGTATAAAAACTGAAAAGTTTTTTTCTATCTTTGTGTGTATGACATTGAAACGGAGTAGACCGCATTACAAAATGGTTTACTGATTTTTGGATATGGCAGCCATTCAAGGCAGGTGTATCTATTCTCAAAGTATGACATAGATGTTCTGGGTACAGCTAATGAATAACTACATGTATCCCTTGGCCTAATTCCCTAGCTAAATTATTATGTGGTTGTAGTAAAATCTTTGGAAATTATCAACAAAATCCCTTTAAAAAAACAAGTGCTACAAGTAAAGTAACAACTGCTACATTTGAAATGCCTGCAATTATGCCATGATACATCAAATGTTTTAGAAATGCCAAACTCAAAATTTTAGAAAATCAAAGTGCAACAATTAAACTACAGGTACATGTAAGTGTATTACCAGTAATTGTTTGGAACCATTGATGTCACTACTGTCTGAGCACACCGCGTGATGTATGTTTGTCTTCAAAAGCCCGGATAGAGCAGAAAATACATGTAGGATGTTAAACCTTATTTCATATGATTTTTGGATGAAACCAATAACAGATGTAATGAAGGTACATTTTGACAGATTTTGACAACCACTTGTTGCATTAAAACCAAACTGCAATAATTTTCTATGGTTTGAGTTTGAGCCATGCAAAATTTCAACTGAAAATTAACAACATGTATAAGAATTTTACATGTACATCAAAACAACTGATCATCTGTCTACTAAATTTTAATCACAATGAATGCATGTAATTGTAACTGATTCAATGGATACTAGCAAAAATAAATTCATATGTATATAAACTAAAACTTTCATAGTTTTAAATATTTTATCAAAAGTCCAAGGTGCAATGTACATGTTTCTGAATTCTGGTTAAGTGGACATAAATCCTCAGATATGCGTAAATGTGTGGCCAATTTTTTCAAAGAGCTGTCAGGCTGTGACACAGCAAAGATTTGGTCAGTTGACAGTTCCAACTAAAATATATTACTGTAAGCAACTCCACATAAATATACCCCGATACCCTTAAAAAATTTTGATTTTTCACCTAACAAATCAAAACTCTTAGTCTTACCTACTCCCAATAAGTCCAAATTTATGAAATCTAGATGACATTCACCAAATTGCTATTCATGAATAATTAACCTGTAATTATGTTGCTCATTTTTATTACCAACATTATTTTTCATGTGTGTGAAATCGCTTTATTTAACGTTCACTTCCACCAAAGTGACATCGCAGTAATCCAATAAATGTCAATACATGTACCCTGAGCAGGCTTAAATTTGCACATACAGATTAGTAATCTGGACGTGAGGTGAACTCTGCTCCCAACATCTACATACTAATGATACAATAATAATATTCATAAAACATAAACAATAGAATTAAATCCTAAAAAATATTTCAAAATATAAAGCAAGAAAACAAAGTGGTCTTACTGAAAAGTATAAAACCAAAACCAAATAAAATACCACAGGCACATTGAATTGTTTGTATGTTTGCAAATGCCCAAAATAAAAACCAAACTGAAACTACGTTGAAACATCTTGTTCATTAAACATACATTATGCAAGAGCTAAATCTGCCTATTGCAGGTCTTTCTTTAGGCCTGAAATGTTATCTAAATTATTAATTAGATATTAATTAACATATCCAGACCATAATCAACTCTCGATGGTATCGCTAGCCTGCAATTTTTATTGGATTAGGTTCCGATTTACTGTTCGACTTCCATTCATAATTTAATCATGAAGTGGATAATCAAGACTATGTTTTTTATCCTATCGACTTTAGTAATGATGATAGAGGCTAGGCCGAAAATTCAATCGCTAAAATCTTGGTTCAGATATAGTGGATCAATTTGACTGTAATTTTCAGCAAATTCCCTTTAGTATCTAGTTTTTAACTATTATAGTGAGAACTGCCAGCTCTTTATCTAATCCCCCATAATGTCTCTCCAACTGTATTTTCACGATGTCAAAGTTTGTGACAGGTCTAGACTCTAATTTTGCAGGAAAGAACTTTTTTGTATATTGGAATTAATTGTACGGTACAATGAATTTTCGTTTACTTTAGTTTACTTTTGGTGGTATCATTCAAACAGATTGATAAGTTTATAATAGTAATAACCCTGATCATATAATTTGCTCATAGGCCTACAGTACATGACTAAAACACTATGTTTTTGCATGGTTCCCGGCAGTAGTCTCTCTGGTAACCTTTCATATTACTATTATTATTAGGATCAATGTTGTTATGACTTTTAGTTTTTCAACACCATTTCACTCGACTTTGACTCAAAGTTTGAGTTTTAATGTAGGCTACAGCTTACAGAAAATATGAAACCCTTTGAATTTGGTCTGCCGAAAAGAAAAAAAAATCAAAGGAGGTAATATCAACATATAACTGTATCTATAAATAATAAAATAAAAGCCTTGAATTTTTAGAAGTTCAGTAGAAGTTGTTTGTAGGCCAAGTGATAGAAATTAGAATTTTTGACAAGCTTACCACAGAGATTTCAATTTAATTGTATTTGTAAACAAAATGGGGGAGAAAGTCTAGATATTATTCGAAATATGACAGTTATAAAATATTAATATGTGTCTTTTATACTTTGATGAAACTAATAGTAAAAGGTTCACAATTAAGTTCAACTATGCCATATTTCGACAATACACAACCCGTTAAATTTGGTCATACTTCTATTTCCTGTTTAGTCAACCAAGAAAAATGTTCCGACTTCTTTTTATACTTACAAAAGGAAGCTCATCTTTTAAATTCCAATAACAATGCAGTACGTGAAAGATGAATAGTTCAGCTAAATAGTCCTGGGTAAGTAATTCAAAATAATCGAAAAACTGTGCGGATGATCATGGATTTAACCGATGTAGTTTTGACATATAAAACATCAAATATGGCTTCTCAATGTTTATGTCAGAAGCGGAAATGAGTAAGCTAACTTCGAAATTTGATTCTACAATTTAGTAAACGAGTGAATGTAATAACTTAAACGGGAATCTCTTTAAAAAATGAGGCAACTATAAAGTAAGTTCTCAAATTATAGAATTATATTACAAATTGCATCGTTAATGAATTACACTATTTCGTTTCGCCACCTTTATCCGGTGTCATTTTAACCTCGGTTGTCCAGATACCTGATAGCCATAGAACTTGATAGGGTATACAGACCACTCATCCCAAAGATAACTCATCCTAAGACAACTCATCCCAACCTTAAAGGGACAATAACACTCTTGCTGGCTTGACAGCTCCAGAAAATAAAAAATATCCTTATTCTAAGTACTAGATGTGTTAGTGTCTTACCTGTTGTGTAAATTATCCATTAAATCCTATTTTACTTTTTAAATCCAAGTCACATTTGAAAAGCTTTACGTCAGGCTTTTCAAATCATTTAGTTGAATTTTTCCAATTTTTTAAATTAGGTGTGTTAAGATGAAATTTATATCACCAATTAATTGGAATATTGTAAAATAGTACAATTTGTTGACCAGAATAAAGATTGGGACATATTATTCAGTTACAACAAGAGTGGTATTGAGCCTTTAAAACATGGGCAGAGAACTCGAGATATAAGACAACTCATCCCAACAAATATAAGTGCAACTCAGACCAATCTGTTATTTTAATAAAATTCATATTGTTGTTTTAATCAAATTGATGGTTATGTGTATCGTTGTTTGTATGTTTTTGTACTTTGTTGTTTTACCTTCTACTAACATCTTCCTATAAGGAGGCAGCACAACTACCAACCCAGATCAAAATGGTGTCTGAGAGGAAACTGAGAAGACACCAACAGAAGCAGACCAGATCCACATGTTAATATTAAAAATAATATAAAACAAGATGACTAGTCATCAACATCCCGCGCCCTTGCACTTGTTTGGAAGAAATAAGGAAAAATAACTTGTTTATGCTATTGGTAATCAATATAAAAATGTATCAGATTTCACAAACAGTGTCACTGGTCCTAATATTGTGGCCCTGTTTAGTAGATATTGCTCTCTATTTCTGAAAACTAATGACTGATTGCTATTTACTAGAAGATTTGAGATAATTTATGACATTAAGCTCTGTTTTTAAAAATTAGACATGACTACATAGAAAATAGAGATATTTTGCAAGTGGAGGGAACTGGAGCTTTAGACAAATCTCATATTCCGACACATGGAATATCAATTCACAGAATTTCATACTCTGATCACAGTAGCTCGGCAAGGCAGGGTCGCTACTCCCTGTAAGGTTTGCACAACAACCTTTGCCTACCTCAATTAGCTGCTGTATGTTAAACAATAAACTTATAGAGGAGACTGGGGCACATTGACCATACGTTCACATTGAGCCACCCATATTTTTTATTGTATTATGTGGATCCAGCTACAGATAATGGGAGATGTTCCCCTTTAAGGTCTTAGCCTTGACAGAGATTCATAGAGGACATCAATCTGCTAGTAAGTATTTATGGTACTTTTTCTGTTTTCAACGCGATTTAGTAAATTTTTCAGTATAAAGTAATGTTAAGGTTTCTCTATATTATTATGAAATAATACCTTGTGAATATTGCTATGTTAAAAGTACCCCATTGGTCAGTTTTTCTCCCAATGACTTTTTGTGGCAAAATTTCAGACACCATTTTTAATTAAGAATTTGTTTTAAATTAGTCACTCGGGGTAGTGTACCCCAAATAATGTAATTATTATTAAAGAGCTTTTGTAGGCTCAATCTGTTATAATATCGGTTTCTGATACAGATTTCTGATACAGACACCATTTTTAATTAAGAAAATTTTAAAATTAGTCACTCAGGGTAGTTTGAACCACAGTCTTTGGGGCACATTGAACAGGTGGTTCAATGTACCCCAAATAATGTAATTATTATTCTTTTGTTTGCTCAATTTGTTATAATATCGGTTTCTGATACAGGTTTCTTTTTTTTATAAAGATCTGGTATGAAATCATAAATGTAAAACTGACAGGCGAAAGCAAGATGATGAATTTTTGTATGTTGGTAAAATAATAGATAAATATACAGATGAGTCGGAAACAGATGAGCCAGAATCATTTACACCACAGTTTCGTTCTATCGTCAAAGTTTAAAGGCTCCAGGAAAGTTTGTTAAACCTGTCGTTGAGGACATTTCATGTATTGACGAAAACAGTATTGCAATGTGCCTACCTGAACCCATGAACTCTGGTGGTACAAAAAGAGTATCGTCCCTTGTTCATTTTTCTATTAATTTGGAAAAATTTAAGTGCAAGTAGTATGAAAAAGCATTTTTTGTGCATGTTGTTTATATTAATAAACCATTTTGTCACTGTTATTTGGCTCTATTTTGTTTCTTATACCCTATCTTAAAGACGATTCAATGTGCCCCATAATGTGGTTCAATGTACCCCGTCCCGTGCATGGGGCAGTTTGAACCACATTTTGAAAAAATTTCAATAATCAAAATAAGATCTAAATTTTAAATTGATTTTAATTAAAATATTATCAGCTAGTAAGCTATAATAGTGTTTAACATCATCAGGTGAATTTAAGCCAACATATGATTTAGGTGAGGAATGAGAGGACTAGATGCAAAAACTGGCTCAATGTGCCCCGGTCTCCACACCAGAAAATAAAATACTATAATAGGTTAATGTTTGTACAAAGTTTCAAAAAGATTTCTTGAACAGATAATAAAATATGCTCCAGAAACAAAATCAGGATGGAAGGCTGGATTTCAGAAAATAAAATAATGGGTAAAATTATTTTAAAGGTATCTTGAACAGTCAAATGTGTTTCCATGGAAACACATAAAATTATCAAATCTGAGAAATTCAAAATAAGTGCCATGAAGATATCTTGAACGATTTATGAGATATGCTCCGGAAACCAAATTGTACACCAAAATCTAAGTCATTTTTGTTTCCATGGAAACACACATAATATCAATCCCAGAAATTCCTAAATGGCAAAGGCACAACTACTGTAATAGGTTGATGTGTGTGCAAAGTTTCAGAAAGATATCTTGAACGGTTTATGAGATATGCTCCGGAAACAAAATTATACACCAAAAACTAAGTCAAATTTGTTTCCATGGAAACACAAAAAATATAAATCTCAGAAATTCCTAAATAGCAAAAGGCACAACTACTGTAATAGGTTGATGTGTGTGCAAAGTTTCAGAAAGATATCTTGAACGGTTTATGAGATATGCTCCGGAAACAAAATTATACACTAAAAACTAAGTCAAACTTGTTTCCATGGAAACACAAAAAATATAAATCCCAGAAATTCCTAAATAGCAAAAGGCACAACTACTGTAATAGGTTGATGTGTGTGCAAAGTTTCAGAAAGACATCTTGAACGGTTTATGAGATATGCTCCGGAAACGAAAATGAACGGACGGACAGACGGACGGACGGACGAACGAACCCCATTTCAATATCCCTCCCTAACTTCGTTCGGCGCGGGATAATAATGACTATTTGATATTACGACAACAAATAAAAGGATGCCTGACAACTCGTCTAAAAGACAACTCATCCAAATATAAGAAAATACTACTCATCCCAAGATAAAAGACAACTCATCCCAACTTTAAAAAAACACTCACCAGTCCAGGGCCATATGTGTGATTTTAAAAGTGGGGGTGCAGCAGAGTGGTGGAGGGCGCCAATATAATGCCCGAGTTACTGAGCGCAAAGCGGTGACTGGCAAACGCGTTTTACACCCACTTGGAGCTGCAATCAAAGTCGCTCCTGTGTGTCAATTTCGGCGGGGCTATTTCTCATTTTGATGTTAAACACACCAAAAGGAGAAACATCTTGTCCTCTAAACTAGAACTAGTCCGAAACACCAATAAGGCCATGTGGATAGGATGACCAGAACGAGAATATTTAATAATGTCATTTGGTGGCAGCGCCCCCAAAGACCAATAACGCCTTATCAAATGTGGATAAGGGCGACCAAAACGAACCCTCTAATGTCATGTGGTGGGTCAGATGCTGACCCAGAAAGAGGTGATAGGAAGGGCACTTCGCCTATGGGGAGGCACCCATGTCAGGCGTCCTCCCTCAGAAAAGTTTGAAAAATAACGCTGCAGGAAACACGTTATTCGGCCACTCTGGTGATATCTAAGAGTCGATTTTGTATTTTATATGGTCGATTTTTTTTCAGGGGTGCCTTATTTCAGGGGCGGCAGATTTTTTCGGAGAGGCATTTGCTCCTGGTGCCTCCCCCCCCCCCCTGGATCCGCACCTGTGGTGACGCCCCATACCTTCACATAAGTGATATAAGAAAGTTGGATCAGGGCAAACCTGGGCAAACGAATCAGGTACCCATTGAAAGGTTGTCAAATTTTTTGAGGGGGTGCCATTTTTCCGGCTGCCTTATTTTTCTGGGGGTGCAATGTACCCCCTGCACCCCTGCTAAATACGGCCCTGCACCAGTCTGTTAAAACAACAATGTACTAAAACATTATTAGAAACAGTGAAAACATAACCATCAATTTGATAAAAACAACAATATCAATTTGATTAAAACAACAATATAAATCTGATTAGAATAACACATTTTTTAATTTTTATAAGAAAATCAGATTGGTCTGGGTGGTCTTCAAAGAAAGCAATGGTATTAAAACAAATTTACCTAGCACTTGGGATGAGTGGGGTTTTATAAAAGTAGGGATGAGTTGTCTTTTATCTTGGGATGAGTTGTTGAGTTGTCTTTTATCTCAACCCATGTTTTAAAGATGGGAATGAGTTGTCTTCTAACTTGGAATGATCGAGATGTCTCATATTGGCATGAGTTGTCTTGAGATGAGTTGTCTATATACCAAATGAAAAACCCTCTAGGCCTACTTTCCTTTTTAAGAAAATTGATTTGTTAAAGCATAGTTCTGTGGTTGGATCAATTTGATTAGGCCAACTACACATTTTGTCAAAGGCCACAAGATGTAAGGACCGAGAAAGTTCTTCGAGATTTTCCGACGTGGTTTTCCCTTTTCAGTGGTGTACATTGGCGTGCACGTAAAAGATCCCTTGGCAGTTGGAATTCAATATAAGAGTAGGCCATAGTGCAGCTGCCCGAGCAAAATTACCCTCATAGCACGCTGTATGGCGTATTTCCGTCTTGATTAGCCCAGTCTGAGCAGAACAGTAGGAAGTTAATCCCCATATCATTTTATTTCTATTTACATCTTAGCGACTTTCACAAAAATTAAGCTGGCCATAACAAATAGATTTGGCTGTATTCTTTGTAGTCTCGATCATCCAAAAAAATATTCTACGAATATATGTCTGGATGCGTTGTCAACATTTGAGAATAATAGGTCATTGGTTAGATTAACCGGTCTTTTACATTGTCATAAACAAACTCTAAGGGAGGTAACTAGTCCTTAAACAAGATGTTGACACCCATGAAATTATTTCAAGAATGTCATTTAAAAAAATCCATTTGATTGCAGCCAGTTCATTATCCAACACTCTTATTTTTTTTGTTTTGTAAAATTTCTCTCTTCATGGGCCATATCTATGTTTTTTTTTAAATTAATCCTAATTCATCGTCAATTCATGTTTGTTTATATTAAGGCAAGAATTATGGGATTTATTGCGAGAAGGGGCGCAACTCTTACTTGACTTGGCCAGAAGATGAACACAGCTACAAGGGCTAAAGCTATTTTTAGTCTTTCTCTCCCATTTCCTTTTTCCCCGCTTTTGTGTGGCGATTTTTGTTAACTTTTTGGTGTAGAATCGAAGAAAGGGGTTTGAAAATACATTTTCTGTCAGGTTTTGGTGAATATTCATGATTTTGAGGTGGAAGGATACAAGAGTTGAAAGGTTGGTTAGGTTGAAATGTAGGGCCGAAAATTGCATGTTTATTTGTCTCTACTTCAGGCTTGTGTATCTCAAGTTTTTCATGAAGAACCTCATACGTGCTTTTGGGCATGATGTCGCCACATAATGTTGCTCCATCTGTAGTAGAAGGCGTTCTACCCAACGAAAATTTTGGAAAAAGTTACAGCTCGGTCTAAGAGACGAAAATTAACATTAAAGTCAATGGGGAAATCATTAGTGACCTGTGGCTAAAAACCAAACTCACGGTTACGCATGGGCAATGGACTTTCCGTTGATGATTGTTTCGAATTTAATTTGACGGAAGAAAAAAGTTAATATTTGGGACTCATTAAGTCGCATCGATGTCATCCTTTTCAGTGCTGATCAGTGTGCCTCCGTACGTTGAAAACTAGGAGAATCTGGGTGATCGAGACTATATTCTTTGTGGTAACAATTGCGCATGCGCAAACATTGTTAGTTGTTGAAGCATAGTTCTCAATAGTTCTATCCTGTAATATTAACTTAAATAGAAGACGTGCATATACAGTGTTTTCAAGGCATCACCTTTTTCTTATCGGTTTGTTTACATATTTAATTACAATTTACGTTACATTTTTTGGTATATAATACAAAGTCGTTGCTGGCGGTTTCATATTCTGCGTTCACGTGTTCTTTGTAACCTAATTTTTATTTTTATTGTCCGCCATTTTTGGAACACTCACACAAGCAAGAAATAACTATGAGCTATAGGCTAATTTATTGATAGACCTAGATAATAACTTATAAGTAGTCTAGTGGACCAAAAGAGTACTTTCAAGTATAGTAAGGTATCAATGCCAACGAAAGTGAACAAATGCACCTGAAAGAGCTCTCAGACAAAGGTAGAAAAGATACGGCGTCGTGTGGCTGATTAAGTGAAGTTGGTAGCCTAATGCCGACTGTATTCATTGTTGTCGCTGGGCGAATAGGGACAAGGTAGAGTAGTAATTACGAGTAACTAAATGACAATTGCACAGCCTACGGTAAACACTTCAGCAAGTGGCAGCAACAATTGCATTTTTCCCCCAAACTATCATAACCCATTTTGTTCTAAAAGAAAAACAAACTGTTTCTTTAAAATTAAAAAGAGAAAAACAGGGGCATGCAAAACATTGACTGATTTGTATCATGAATGAAATGGGAATTGACATCCTACTTTTTTGCACCAACTGGACTAATGAAAACAGGCATAAGACATACATGGTGCTATGGGGAAAATTTACTTACTTGAAATAAAGCAATTCAAAACAGGATTCAGGAAAGAAATTATTATGAAACACATGTTAAAAAAAAAGGCTCCACCAAACGATAAAAAATTAGTTGTATCATTTCCAGTAACGATAATATATTTTCTAAATAAAGGGATAATATGCTAACAAATTTATTTCAAAATAACCCAAACACAAGAGAATATTTACATGGCATGCACGATTTTACAAGCCCCCAGAAATTCTTAACGATAATTCGTAAGCTGCATAGGAAGTAATCGGTCAGTTACGCTAGTTTACTATATTTTTTAATATTATTGTCCGAAATCTCGTTATGAAGTCGGAACCTTGGATTGCGTGTATCCTTTCCAGGATATACAGTACACGGCTAGAGTTTCAAACTAGAATCGCCGAACACGGCGGAATAACACTGAGTTCCGCAGGACATCCTTAACGAATCGCCAAATCATGGAGTTTCATGGTGGATCACAGAGTTTTGCGGTGAATCGCTTGCGTGACGATATGGTCCCGATTCTAGCATGTTGAAGAAAAATGTACTTAATTTAAGTTGAATACATGTATGTTAATCTTGAGCGAGGAGGCTAGGGTCAAACTAATATTGTCTACGATACATTTTGATGCTGCCGCGAAAACGTGTACATGTACAATAATCCAACGTTCACCGGCAATCTATATCAGTTAAAATTTTGAACATAAATGTATTACTTTGGGCTATACATTAATATGTATGCAAACAGTGAAAAACTTACAATTTCTTAAACGTATCATTTGGTCTTCGTCTATAACTTCCACATCGTAACACATAGATGTAATTCATTAATCATTGGCTGCTATCAAATCCAAATTTTAAATTATGTACGATAAGGTTTTACAATTACATCATTACTGGCAATTTCAGTTAATCTAAATTAACCATCTATACAACACAGTGCCATATACCATAAATCACTCTGCGATGCACACAACGGTATGTCAAATGGTCAATTACGCGCAAAAACATTGAGTGTGTACATGTATTCTTACGCGATATCATTAACCTGTAGTTGGAAGTGGGCATAAAATCTCCGCTGTGACAATATACATCTATTGTCTTCGAAATCACATATATTTAATCTCAAAATAAATCATTTGAATTTGACTGATTGTAAAAAAAAAATCACTTTTATATTAGCATGTTCTCTGTTTATCTCATGCAGAATTTGGGTCGTGTCTTGCATGGCAACTACATGTCCTGGTTTTTGTAAAATGTTAATTTTTACCATTATTTTAAATTCAGATAAAAAATGTCTTCAGAGGATGATGATGGATGTGTGATTCGGGTAAGAGGTCTGCCATGGTCGACAACTGCAGAAGAAGTTTACAAGTTTTTTGAAGGTATAACTTAAAGATGTCTTACCTGCATACAAACTGTGGTGTTTGATTATATTTGTGGACAAAAATCATATTCAAACTAATTTATCAAATTTTGCTTCAAATCCCTATCAAAACATTTTGTTTCGAAGAGAACTATGGTACCCCAGGCAGCAAGAATCTATTTTAAGAAATCTTGTTTGTCACATGACTTGATTGAGGGAGAATCCATTTTCCAGCTTTTATGGAGGCAGACCACCATTAAATTTCATCATCTCAGTACCCACGAATTGTAGTTCGTCTATTTATAGCAATTCTCTCTCTCTCTCTTTTCTCCCCTTTTGCATGCCCATTTGTGTTGATTTTCTGGTCTAGAATGGACGAAGAGGGTTTGAATTAACATTTTCTGCCAGGTTTTGGTAAATATTCATGATTTTGAGGCGGAAGGATAAGAGGGTTATCAGGTTAGCTACGGCGATATGTACGGCAACTAGTTACATGTTTTTAGTATGCTTCTTCAAGTTTGTGTATCTCAAAATTTTGGTGGTCAACCTCATACAAATTTTAGTGCAAAGACATGACCATTTGTTCCTCTGTCTGTAGTGAAAAGCATTCAGCCCAACGAAAATTTGGGGAAAAGTTGGAGGTGGGCAAAGAGGCCAGAATTAACATTGAAGTCAATGGGGAAATTAATGGTGGTCTGCCTCCTATATGAAAACAACCTGACAGTGGATGAAAGGCCTAAATTTGATGATATGATCTCCAAATTGTCAGAAAATGTGATATATGGCATTTTAATAGTAAAAAATGTGAAATGGTAAAATTTCAAAAATATTTGACAAATTTGGGAGGGGAAATTTTGATTTTAGTCAAAATTTTGTGATTTTCAGTGTTTATTTACTTTTCAAAATTAGTGGAAAATATTTTAATGTATGATTTTTACTTTTTCTGCATTATAATTGTAAGACGGGAAGAAAGTATCATAATTTCACTCAATTTTGCCTAAAAATCATGATAAATTGTCTGAAATTCTTCAGATTACCCCCAATATTGCTGTCAAAATTTTAATTATTCATCTGTTGTAAAATGAACCAAAATGTCTTGCATGTCTTTATTTTCATTGTTAAATAACTTGGCAAGGATCCATGTGTTTGTCAGATATTGAAAAAGTATTCATGTGTTTGTCAAAAATTTAAAAATTAAGAAATTTAGTCTAATTATGTTCTGCTTAGGTGTGTTAGAATTTTCAAAACATGAGTGAACTGCATTTTGCTGCTGTTTTCCTCAGGCTTAACACAATTTTAATCTTTCAAAACCTGAAATTGTTGCATTTCCCTTCTCGAGAAAGTAAAATCTATGTGTTTGCAGGGAAATTTCTCTGTCTTCATTTCATTTAGACTGGCTCACCCTCCCCACCCCACCCCTTTTCTTGAAGATGATATTTGGATATTCAATTGAACATTTGTTGACTCCAAATTAGCAGTAATCTGATTTTGTGCTTGAATTGTAACCGAGCATTTTATTTGACACAAACAAATAGTTACATATAAGATTTCAAGGATTTCTAAGACTTTTTGTTTATGGTCAAACATGTAATCCTATGACATTTCTTCCAAATGAGTCCACACCCCAAAATGGATATGTTGTAGATGTGTTTTTTGCAGCTTAATGTTTTACATTTTGAATGTAAATCTATTATTTGTGGTGATCTTTGAAAATGTAGCACTTACAGGGCAATAAAATATTAATTAATAGCCTTTTCATACCCCTTTTATGCTTTGAATTATGTCAGAACTCCCTTTTTCCATCTCATTTTGTCAGGACATTGATGTAAAGATTAAAACAACTTGCTTCCACATAATATTTACACTATGTAATTTCAAGGATACCTCTGATTGTTAAAGTATTTTAAAAACTGAAATATTCCCATTTTTTTAAAAAAAATAGTGCTTTGCGACCCTTTTATTAGAGTGGCTGGTTGTCACCTAAATACAGCATTTATTTTACATTTATCAATCCATATTTTAATAAATAATTCATACTTCTTATAACAAACTGTGTTTATATGTATGTATATAAGCCAGGGATAGAAGAACATGGCTTTTAGCCATATTCCATCAACAGTATTACTTATGTGGACACAAGTGGGATTTGTTACCACACCAACATTTTTAGGGGGTGGGCTTACAGGTTTCACTATAGTTCCTTACAGTTACCTTCAATGCAACAAATTTGCAGCTTGTCTTCCTGTATACCGGCCAAGGTTTCTAGAAATAAATGCTTTTCATCTCAGACTTTCCCAGAAATAGGGAAATATTAGCATTTTGAGGCATACAAAGTGTCAAAAATGGACCATTTTGTAGAAAAAGGTAAAAGAAAGTCAATTTTTGAAAAATATTCCAATATTTTGAATATTTTTGATGTGACTTGTCTGAAACTCTTTAAATCTTTTCGCAGAACTCACATTTCGACAAAATTAAGAAAGAATCTTCAATTCTAGAACAAAAGGCCCATGGACCTGAGCTGCAATCCGGTATACAAAACACTACATAACTTTAAAGGGTCACCATTTCTGCAGTAATTATTTTTTTCTGATTCTGTATTATAATAATGTTGCAAAAATAAATGTGAAGCTATAAAGAAAAGAATTTTGATGATATATGAACTTATAAAACCATATAGGAGGCAGACCACCATTAAATTTCATCATCTCAGTACCCACGAATTGTAGTTCGTCTATTTATAGCAATTCTCTCTCTCTCTCTTTTCTCCCCTTTTGCATGCCCATTTGTGTTGATTTTCTGGTCTAGAATGGACGAAGAGGGTTTGAATTAACATTTTCTGCCAGGTTTTGGTAAATATTCATGATTTTGAGGCGGAAGGATAAGAGGGTTATCAGGTTAGCTACGGCGATATGTACGGCAACTAGTTACATGTTTTTAGTATGCTTCTTCAAGTTTGTGTATCTCAAAATTTTGGTGGTCAACCTCATACAAATTTTAGTGCAAAGACATGACCATTTGTTCCTCTGTCTGTAGTGAAAAGCATTCAGCCCAACGAAAATTTGGGGAAAAGTTGGAGGTGGGCAAAGAGGCCAGAATTAACATTGAAGTCAATGGGGAAATTAATGGTGGTCTGCCTCCTTATTATACGCCCGAGTTATGGCCCTTGATCACTTCAAAATAATCTTGTGGACGCTATAGAGGCCAAAGTTAATATCCAATTGACTTTAAATTTATACACAGTGCTTAAGGTCATGAGACGAAGCAGCCTATTGATTTTCAGTGATTTTCGATATTTACTGCCAGAGTTATGGCCCTTGATCACTTTGAAAAATCTTGTGGATGCTCTAGAGGCCAAAGTCAATATCCGGTTGACTTTAAATTTATACACAGTGTTTAAGGTCATGAGACAAAGAAGTCTATTCATCCGATTGACTTCAGATTGATACACAGAGTTTAAGAGCTTGAGACGAACAAATAAATTGATTTTCAATGAATTTTTATGACTTGAACAGCTAAATCCATGATATTAAAAACCAAACAAATTCTAATGGTTTTCTGATAATTAATACTTCATGAGTGTATTATAAATGTTTCATTACCGAAAGAAGTAAAAATATACGACAACACTTGTTAACTGCCCGGACGATTTAGCTGCTGTGGGCGTATGTTTCGTTGCCTGACAACCTATCTTTTTTATTCGCTGTACTCACACTCATGTCAAGACCACATTACTCACACCCACCTCACATACATTTAATTATTTGTTTTTAAATGCAAGAATTAAAGGGGGTTGGGTGGCCGAATGGTTAGCACGCACGCTCTGTATCAGGTTGTCTGCCATTGAGTCAACTGGAGGGGTTTCGATTCCCCGGTTGCATGTGACAACGAGTTGGGTCGCCTGTCCAACCTCGTGGGTTTTCTCCGGGTCCTCCGGTTTCCTCCCACTACCGAAGACCCCTAAGCGCAAGCGAATTATTGAAATAAAATTGAACCATGTGTTAGTCCCGAAATGACCTAGTTTGTGTCGAGTGGACATTAAACCCCATTTCTCTCTCCCTCTCTCACAAGAATTAAGAACCACTTTCTGTAAGATTCAGGCAAAAATCAAGACTTTCTTTAGTGACGACCTTCAAATTCTCTAATTTTTCAACATATTGTACCATTTACAATGTAGTACTACAATCACAATTCTAAAAAATCGTTATTTTTATACGCCCACATGGAAATGTGGTCGTATATTACCGTTGTCCCTGTCGGTCCGTCCGTCGTCTACAATTTCTTGTGAACACTCTACAGACTACATTTATCATCTGATTGTTTTGAAATTGATATATAATATGTTGTTTGCATTAGTGAGATGAAGAATCCTATTTAATTTAAACAACTTCCGTTAATTTCTTCTGGAGTTATGGCCCTTGTTTCACTTTGTTGCACCTTGTGAACGCTCTAATGACAACAGTTATCATCCGATCTGTTTGAAATTGATATGCATCATTTAAATTAGTGCAACGAAGATGCCTATTGAATTTCAGCAATTTCCTTTAATTACACCGTGAGTTATGGCCCTTGTTTCACTTTGTTGTACCTTGTGAATTCTTTAACGACAAAAGTTATTATCCGTTCTGTATGAAATTTATATGTATCGTTTAAATTGGTAAAACGAACAAGCCTATTGAGTTTCAGCAAATTTCCGTTAATTACATCAAGAGTTATAGCCCTTGTTTCACATTGTTGAATCTTGTGAACGCTTGAACGACAAAAGTTATCACCCAATCTGTATGAAATTCATATGCATCATTTAAATTAGTGAAATGAAGAAGCCTATTGAATGTCAGCAATTTCCATCAATTACTTCTAGAGTTATGGCCTTTGTTTTACTTTGTTGAACGTTCGAACGACAAAAGTTATCTTCCGATCTGTATGAAATTGATATTTGAATTAGTAAAACGAAAAAGCTTGTCGAATTTCAACAATTTCTGTAGATTACTTCCAGAGTTACAGCCCTTGTTTTAGTTTTTAGAACCTTGTGAACCCTGAAACAACAAAAATTGTAAACTCATCTATATGAAATTGTACCTACAAAATAATAAATATACGACCGCCTGGCAACTATCATTGTCAGTTGCGAGATATGGGAGCTTGAAAATTGACCCAAATTTTCAAAAACAGCTTTTGTAGAACTTTAACTGAAAAATTACAACAAAGTACATAGTTACCCATAGGTTATTTGGGTGAGTAGAGATGAAAAATAGTAAAGAACCTGTGGGATACCTTTGGCTTACCAAAGTGTCGTGGCTCAAAAGTGCACGAAAATGAATTTTCGAGCTTTTTCAATGGTCATTTTCTCCAAAAGCCTTCGGTATCCCATAATTTTTTTTTTTTTGTGATACTGAAAGACTACCTACATAATGTCTCTAAAATACAGAAACATTCATGGGACAGTAAAGGCTTTTGGATATATTTCAATTCAAAAATAATTTTTGTGTCCATTTTACCACTCTTTGTAGCGCCATATGGATAATGAATGGCTGATGCCCCACGTTTATAAAAAAATAAAACAAAACACTAAAATTAAACCTAAAACATAAAAATATTATATTTTTAAGGAGGAACCCATGGGATATTAACCCACTCCATTTAAATAAATCCTTGAACTTGACCCTATGGCCCACTTGACCTTGAGATGACCTTTTATTAAAAATTTAGCCCTACTCAATATCAAAAATTGACGGTATAATAATTTTAATTATTTGTCTGTAAAATCAAGGTCATTTCAATAGGAGAAACTTACTTGAATATTGACCTACTTAGTTAATAATTATAATTAATATTTTATTATAACATGGGTTTTGTAACTTTAAAAATAGCAGTGGACGCTTATAAGGCTAGTCTCATCCACTCAGTTGATTTCATATTTATACTTTTGCTATTTATTGCTTGCAATGTCTGTGGGTTTGTCTAGTGGATTTTGTCTGTGTGTGGCATGGTCCTCCTAGTCCTACATTTACTATAAGGTAAAATGGGGTAACTTTGACATGCTTGTTGTTTTAATGTCAATTTGGAAAATTGTCAGCGCCAATTAGTAGTCATATTATGTTTGTATGGCATGATGACCCATTACCTATGGAAGAATAACGTTGCCAATATTATTTCAATGTTACATGTACCAGTGCAAAATGCAAATGTCAGCAGTTCAAAATACCTATTTTAGTTTTACAATTTGCAATTTCTATTGCTCAACAATACCAATGTCACAGTGTTGAAATTCAGAATACACTTTTCAATAATACAAAATAAGGTATATCTATGGTTGACGGCACAGTCATTTCAATCTTTCACTTCGACAGGAAGTATTTAAGAGTAAACTATTGCTGTGAAAGCTAATATTTGATTAGCTGAATGTAAACAGTTTATCGTGTTCTAGCGAATCCAAAGTCTTGTATGAAACGCGCTTTATTGCTTCGAGGGGGTTGGATGGCTGAATGGTTAGCGTGCGCGCGCTGTATCATAAAGTCTGTCATTGAGTCAACTGGCGTGGTTTCGAATCCCCGGTTGTACGTGGCAAGGAGTAGGGTCGCCTGTCCAACCTCGTGGGTTTTCTCCGGGTCCTCCGGTTTCCTCCCACTGCTAAATACCCCTACGCGCAAGCGAATTATTGAAATAAAATTAAACCATATGTTAGTCCCGAAATGACCTAGTTTGTGTCGAGTGGACGTTAAACCCCTTCTCTCTCTCTCTCTTTTTATTGCTTCCAGTGCAGCAAAATAGGGGTCTCAGAATAGCTACGTATAGAAGGCTTACTGCCATGAACTTAAAGATTATGAACGAATTAAGATTAAATATAAAAACCTACGGAGACTACGTACAGTAGCGGTGTGTAAATGCCGCGTGAACCACAAAAATTGATCAAGTAGTGCACAAACTACGAAATAGAATAATCTAATTATTCTCACGTTGTTGAAATTTTCTGCGTGTAAATTACGCAGTGCCCGTCAATATTTGCGTTTATTTTGAAAAAATGTGTGAAAAAAACAGATTTTTGCATGACTGCAATCGCTGGTTGAATGTCTTGAATGAGTTCAATGATTAACATTTCGAGCTAAAGCTAAGCAGAGCTAAGAAATTTCATTGATCGATGCTTTGGGACAAGATAAATTTGATTCTATCTGATAGAGAGTGTATACAGTAAACCTCGCATAAGTTGGATTCACAGATAAAATCGTTTGGACCTTTTGATCCTGCACGTTTTTTTTTTTTATATTAAATTTCAGCGTGTAAGTTGGACCTTTGCTCAACTCGGATCAAAATGTTTGGTCCATTTGATCTAATTCCGGCTTTTTTTCCTTTGCCCAAGTCGGATCGGCAATATGTTCAGAATTTGACTGTCAGTTTCGTCCCAATGGTCTAAAACTCGGTTAGGTATTCCATGCACAGAGCCCCAAAATTCGAAACTAGCTGTCTGCTGGGCGAGACACTTTCCGGAAAATTTAGGACATTTTTCAAAGATGGCGACAAAACGGAAGTTATCTTCTTGTACGAACAAAAGCTTGAAATGTGCCTTTGAGTTTGAATCAATTATTATCCGGCTCTTGCAGTTTATTTCTAATCGAGCTAAGATTGATTTTCGGTCTTCGGCTAACTCAGATCTTCGCTTAACTTGAATAAAATTGGTCAGTCCACTTAGATCCGACTTATGTGAAGTTTACTATAGTTCATAATCAGTTTGATTGCTTGATACTTTGAAAAAAATGAATGTGCGATTAATTAATGTGTCATCTATTTATTTTTGGATTTCGGCAGGGGACATAAGCCTCACTGTTGGCTTGTTCCCCCCAAGTTTTATTCCCCCCAATGTTCTTACAGCCTTTAGCCATTAGAGCAACAGACATGAAGTGAGCTCCTTTGTCACTAGTAGTAGTAAGAAGATTGAGTGTCTGTACTTTCCATAGCTGGAACGTGTGCGCTTTATAAATGTATTAAATTATTTATTTATTTAATTATAATTATTATTACACCAAATATGCCATACATTTACTTAAATGCTCAATAGTAAAAATGCCCGAAGTCTCACTTCGGAATATCCGCTCAATAACAACTGTAACAATACCTTTTTATACGCCCACATTGAAATGTGGACGTATATTGCATCCGTCCGTCTGTCGTCCACAATTTCTAGTGAACGCCCTTACGCCAAGAGTTATCATCCGATTGTTTTAAAATTGGTATGTTGTTCACATTGGTGAACGCTCGAACAGCAAAAGTTCTCATCCGATCTGTGTGAAATTTATATGCATTATTTAAATTAGTGAAACGAAGAAGCCTATTGAATTTTATTAATTTCCAATAATTACGCCTAGAGTTTATTACATCTAGAGTTATGGCACTTATATCACTTTGTTGGACCTTGTGAACGCTCTAATGGCAACAGTTCTCATCCGATCTGTGTGAAATTTATATGCATTATTTAAATTAGTGAAACGAAGAAGTCGATTGAATTTCAGCAATTTCCAATAATTATGTCTAGAGTTATGGCCCTTGAAGTTAGCATTTGATCTTTCTGAAATTTATATGCATTATTTAAAGTAGTGAAACCACGAAGGCTATTGAATTTCAACAATTTACAATAATTACTTCTAGAGCTATGGCCCTTGTTTCACTTTGTTCAACCTTGTTAATGCTCGATTGATGTAACTGTAAGTTATCATCCAATATGTATGAAATTTATATGCATCATTAAAATTTGTGAAACAGGGGTCTATTGAATTTCAGCAATTTACTTTGTGAACCCTGTGAATATTTGAATGACAAAAGTGATCATCCGATCTGTATGAAATTTATGTGGATTATTTAAATTAGTAAAACGAAAAAGCCTGTCAAATTTCAATTTCTGTAAACTACTTCCAAAGTTGAGGCCCTTGTTTCAGTTTCTAAACCTTGTGAACCCTCAAACGACAAAAATTATAATCTGATCTGTATGTATGGAACTGTCTTGTAAAGGACCCCCAATTACCTACAAAGGAATAAATATGCGACAACCCTTGTTGATCGCTCGGACGATTTAGCTGCTGTGGGCGTATGTTTTGTTGTCTGGCAACCTATCTTTAACTAGGAAATAGTCCCCATCCCCATTTTGGAAATCAGACAAGTCATTAACCACAACAGCTCTATAAATACTTTAGTGGGTATGTATCTTTAAGGGATTTAGTTAATGCAAGCTTTATATAGAATGACTCAAATTTCATTTTATATAGTAATATATTTAAAGTTATTTTCATCTATTGTAATATTTTTCAGGTGCAAATATCCAAGGTGGAGAAGATGGTGTCCACTTTACATTCTCTAGAGAAGGAAGACCAAGTGGAGAAGCTTTTATTGAATTTGAAACTCCGGATGATGTAGAAGTGGCTATGGGAAAGCATAATGCTCACATGGGTACAAGATATCTTGAAGGTATGTAATTCAGGTGATGTGGATTTGGTTGTCCAGTTTTGGTTTTTGTTAGGCATACTTTCTTTTCTCCTTCAAGTCTGAAAATAAGAATTGAACTTAAAGAGTCACCTCTCAAAACGACAGCTTTCGGTTATAGTCTTGTCAAATTTTCTTCAGAGCAGTGTTTATTGTCTACTTTGTTGCTGAATAGCAATACTGCTTGTATTTCAGTGTTCCGATCAAAGCGAAGTGAAATGGAATGGGTTATAAAAAGAGCTGGACCAAATCAGCACGAAAGTTTAAATGAAGCATGCGTTCGGTTACGTGGGCTACCTTTTGGTTGCTCGAAAGAAGAAATTGCTCAGTTTTTCACAGGTCAGAATTTATTTTATTGTTATTGAATCTTATGTTTTGAATAAAGAGTTTAAAAAATTAATTCTTATTAGTAGATAAAGATAAATACAGTAATTTTTATCTTATGAGCTTATGTACTTACTAATTGAATTGTTAAGTTAAGGAAGAATTTAGAAAAAAACATATAAATATTAGTTTGAGAAAATATCTAAAGGTTAAGTTAAAGAATCATTGCTAGAAAAATAAAGAAGCTGTTAAATAGTAATTCTTTTATTGTTAATGTATATATTTAATTCCCTTTTTGGGAGAGGATAATTTGTGATTTTTGTTTTCGTTGGGTGGGATGCAGGGTTGGAGATTGTACCTAATGGGATAATGCTACCTGAGGATCGACAGGGGCGCAGCACGGGGGAGGCCTATGTCCAGTTTTCAAACCAATCCATAGCGGAAAAGGCACTGGGGAAACACAAGGAAAGAATAGGGCACAGGTGGGCGGGCCCTCGGGCATAAACACAACACGGAAAACCATGGGACCCAACGGGTGGACGGTTTGGTGGGCGTGTTGGGTTCTACAGGGGCCATTCTATTTCACTTTTACTAGTTTTATCTTAATTTTCTTTCAAATTTAATTTCCATTTAAACGTTTCATTAGTATTCAATTGTTTGGCACTTTGCTGTTTTTATTAAATCTAAAAGAAAGTTTCAGTATTTCTTAGAATAACCATCACTGTATATATCATTCCTTCTGCTTATTTTTAGTTTGGTTATTGTTATGCAAACCCCTTTATATTTGTTTAGAATACTATCTCAAAACATTATATGGAGAACATATAAATGATTATAATTATGGGATAAATATTATAATGTAATTAAATTTCAATAATTAATTTTAATTAAAATCTCTGATTTAGTTCTTTTAAGTAGCAATTACAATTTCTTGTTCCTTCTGAAATCATGTTTACATGTTCATTAGATAACAAAAATCTATTTTTCCTAACTTTAGATACATTGAAATCTTCAAAAGCAGTCTGAGCGAAGCTCATTCTGCAATTGGTAACCGAAACATCCGACCTTTAATGGGAAGTTCTATGGGTCGACCTAGTCCCTATGACAGAAATGACAGATACGGAATGGGTGGAGGTGGTGGAGGAATGGGTATGGGAATGAGTGGTAATTTTGGTCGTGGACGAGGAGGACGTCAGATCAAAGGTGAGTTTGACATCATTTCTGGATCTAAAGTAAAAAGTAATATTCCAAATGTCTTAATGTTTGTGTGTTGTATCTAATGTGGAGAAGTATTGTGATGTTAAATTAAATGAAAGTCATATTTTTGTTGATAATTTGTGTTGAAACTTTTTTTCAGGATTTTATGATGATGATTTTGATGATTATAATAGTGGAGGGTATGGAAGTGGAATGGGCGGGGGATTTGGCAGCAGTGGGGGTGGTATGAACAGAAGAGGGGGAATGAGAGGACGTGGTGGTATGAATCGTATGGGTGGTGGAGGCGGTAGTGGTGGTGGAGGTTCAATGAACAGAATGCCAGGAGCCCAGCCAGGTAGCCAGTACCAGAGTAAAACTGGTCATTCAGTCCATATGAGAGGTTTACCCTTCCAAGCTCTTCAATCCGATATTCAAGATGTATGTTTCATAGTTATTTATTTTAATTGGTTTATATTTATAATTCATTTTTCACCTTTGGTAATATTTTAACAGTTTTATAATGGGTAATACTAATTACTAATCTGTGTAAATTGTAAAAACAAAATATCATTCTCCACTCAAGTCTTGCTATCCATCGTTTGACTCGGCTCTCAGCTCGCATGCTACACCGGTTGACCAAGAGGTCATTGGTCACATGATTAACTACATGAAAATGGCATTTGTCAGAAAAGTTCTTAGTGTTATAAACACTTAATGAGTTATAGTCAATTTTAGGGGAAAATGTCATCAATTACTACTTCTCCGGAAAAAAATCAAATCTAAATTTGCATGTTTCGTGGTTAAATATATTAGGCCTTAAGATCACGTTATAAAGGTAAACAGATTTACGTGTATATAATTCTAAAATTAGCATGATGACATGCGCAGTTCATAGTTACGACCCTTTGCGAAAGAGTTCCCTGTATATTTGTAAATACTTTATTATTTTACGAGAAGTATGACCTCATTTTTTTTTTATTATAGTAATAGAAAGAAAATATTATCATTTATTTGGTTTCCATAGTATTGTTTATCATTGAGTAGCGTAGTCAAATGAGCCGTTAGCAGAGATTAGTGTGGACTGTAATGGAAGACAACTCTGGGAGATTGACAAAATATGTAGTTGTTTTTTATGTCCAAGATACAAAACATTAGCAAACTAAAAAAATTTTTTCCAGTTTTTCACACCATTGAGACTTGTTAAAGTTGAGTTTGAATATGGACCCAATAATCGTCCAACAGGAGAAGCTAATGTAGATTTTGAAACGCATCCAGATGCTGTTGAAGCCATGAAGAAACACAAAAGTAACATGCGTAAGTATGAATATTATATTTTTTTCTTTTTTTTTTTATTAAACAATAATTTTTTCTAAAACTTGAAAAGGATTGAATAACAGGCATAGCCTTTATGACCTTTTTTTAATATGGTTAGAAAGAAAGAAGAACAAAATGTATATCACTGGGAGTGGGATCTAACTATAAGGTGACTTTGATTCCCAAAGTCATTATCTTATAATGAAACCCTTTTGTACAGCGCAGGACTCGTCATTTAAAAAAATACAATGTGTTGAAAAATTGACCAAACAGCAGCACTCGTAAAATTTAATTTGCAAGCAACCTGGAATGCTATCACGTCTTAAACGATGTCTGTAACGTAAAGTACATAATATAATGCGGTTACAATTAAGGCTCAGTTTAGTAATAGTAAAACAAGTGATTTAATTATTTTTTATACATCCACATGATTATGTGGACGTATTATGCCATCGCCACCCTACGGGTCAAAATTTGTATCCCATTTTTATGAAACTTGAATTTTTGGTATGTCTCACAAAGATCTTGGTTCCTTCGATATTGGCATGTATCAGACCATAACTTCATGGATTATGGCCCCTGATTGTGCATAAAATCACACTTTTAGCATGTGGTCCCGCTAGAGGTCAAAATTATTATCTGATTTAAAAAAAAGTTTTGAATACATTACCATTACACCCTAATGATGGTTAAATTTGAATTTTGTGAAAATTGGACCAAAACTGCACAACAAAATGGCCGCCCCTCGTTCCTTTCGATATTCGTGCATATCGGATCATAACGTCCTGAAATATGACCTTTAATTATACGAAAAATCAAGTTATTTAGCTTGTGGTCCCTCTAGAGGTCTCAATTATTATCCGATTTAAAAAAACGTGGAAATCGAACCAAAATTGCCGGACAAAATGGCTGTCCATCCTATGCAAATGATGTAAAACTATGGTATATCAACGTTGTGGATCCTCTAGAGGCCACAATTTTAGTCCGATTTTGATGAAACTTGAAACGTACGTTTCTAACCCTTTGTATGCAGATTGTGTAAAAGAATGTAATACGAAGGTTGCAGACCCTCAAAAGGCACAATTTTTATCCGATTTTGATGAAACTTAAAATATATTTTTATATCTCAAAGATCTTGGCCCCTTTCGATATTTGCGAATTTCAGACCATAACTTTCTGGATTATGGCCCTTGATTGTATGAAAAAACACTTTTGTTTTTAGCTTGTTCTCTATCCATCTCTTGCAAAATGTGGGCGAATCTTGCCTGGCAACCTCAGGTTCCATCTATTTACAAACTATAACTATTTACATATAGGAAAAATAAAGTTTTTATATTGAATGTTCTATTTACTGGCTCTGTATATTTTCCTTCAGAACACCGATATATTGAGTTGTTCCTCAATTCTACACCTGGTGATAATTACAGTGGGGGAGATAACTACAGTAGCAGTATGGGAGGAATGGGAAATGGTGCTAGTAATAATTTAAGTATGGGGGGAGGTAATAGTATGGGGGGCGGCGGTAATATGGGAGGTGGATCATATGGTGGACCAGGAGGTAACTTTAATACAGGTGGAGGATATGGAGGTGGAGGAGGAGGAGGTATGTCACCTGTGGTGTTTTATTTATCATCATTGATTACTGTTGGTGTATTTGTTTTAGAATCATTGCCTATTAAAATTTGTACCTATTTGAAGTTTATCATATTAGTACACAGGAGGGCTCCCTCTTAAAATATTGATTGTCGATCATTATTTATAATGCACGGAAACTTTGCAAATTAAGTTGATAATACATGCATTTGATTTATTGTGCGGTAAATATATTAATGAAATAGGCCCTTTTGACTAGAGAATGAGAGAGAGAGAGAAATAGGGTTTAACATCATTTTGGGATAAACACATGGTTCAAATTCATTTCAATAATTCGCTTGTGCGTAGGGGTCTTTAGCAGTGGGGGGAAACTGGAGTACCAGGAGGAAATCCACGAGGTTGGATAGACGACCCCACTTCTTGTCACTACAACCGGAGAATCGAAACCACGCCAGTTGACTCGATCACAGACCATATGATATATCGCGCGCACGGCACACTGATCAGCAGTGAATATTCGCTAGGTCACGACAATCACTGATAAGGATAACATTGATGCGACTTAATGAGCCACAAATATTTAACTTTTTTCGTCCAACAAATTAAGTTCTAAAAAATTTTTGTATGTATTAGAAAAATAAAGAGGTTTGTAGTATTTGTAGGTAAAAATTATTTCCTATTTTAGTGTAAAAGGGTATTAAAACGAGTAAAAGGCGCCATTCTGCTCGAATCAGTAATGTCTTATGTAAACAATGCAAGCGCCATTGAGCCAGTGATTGACGCTGCGTGATATGACGTCATGTGTTGAAGGCCGTCATCTTTTACAGAGATATTAGAAGACTTTCATAATACTCTGTGAAACAGATTGTGCGCACGTGCTAACCATTCGGCCATCACCCCCCATTAAAAAAATCTGCATTCTGGATGGTGTGAGGGATTAGCCAATGAAACCATCTGTTACAGTGACTTCTTGACGTGCAGTTTTTAGCTTTTATTCAATCTGATTAGAACACAGATCCTATTTTGTGTTATTTTTTATACTTCGAAATTTCATTTTTATACGCCCACGTGGAAATGTGGTCGTATATTGCCGTTGCCCCCATCTGTCGGTCCGTCCGTCCGTCGCCCACAATTTCTTGTGAACACTCTACAGACTACATTTATGATCTGATTGTTTTGAAATTGATATATGTTGTTTGCATTAGTGAGATGAAGAAGCCTATTTAATTTCAATATATATTCTGTTAATTTCGTCTGGAGTTATTGCCCTTGTTTCACTTTGTTGCACCTTGTGAACGCTCTAATGACAAAAGTTATGAACCGATCTGTATGAAATTTATATACATCATTTAAATTAGTAAAACAAAGAAGCCTATTGAATTTCAGCAATTTCCGTTAATTACATCCAGAGTTATGGCCCTTGTTTCACTTTTTTTTTTTAATCTTGTGAACAATCTAATGACAACAGTTATCATCCGATCTGTTTGGAATTGATATGCATCATTTAAACTAGTGAAACGAAGAAGCCTATTGAATTTGAGCAATTTCCGTCAATTACTTCTAGAGTTATGACCCTTGTTTTACTTTGTTGAACCTTGTGAACGTTCGAACGACAAAAGTTATACGATCTGTATGAAATTGATATGTATTATTTGAATTAGTAAAACAAACAAGTCTGTCGAATTTCAACAATTTCTGTAGATTACTTCCAGAGTTACAGCCCCTGTTTTAGTTTTTAGAACCTTGTGAACCCTCAAACGACGAAAATTATGTCATCTGTATGAAAATTGTCTATTAAATGCCCCCTAATTACCTACAAAAGAATAAATATACGACAACTCTTGTCGACTGCTCTCGGACGATTTAGCTGCTGTGGGCGTGTTTCGTTGCCTGGCAACCTATCTTTTAAATTAGTGAAACCACGAAGCCTATTGAATTTCAGCAATTACAATAGTTACTTCTAGAGTTATGGCCCTTGTTCAACCTTGTTAATGCTTGATTGATGAAAGTTATCATCTGATAACTTTTATTGTACCAGCTATGTATAAACTCTCTGACGCCAATCATGAGATAGTGTGGCTTCTATACATGTGCAACATTCTGAACAGGCTGTAGAATTTTATAGTTACATGGCCGAGGTAGATCACAGCAATGTTTGAAAATAGTATTTTTAAACAATATGCTCTTTTTCCAGTGTGCAACATGTCTGATTAGTCAGATACTCAGATCTAGTTTTGGTCAATCTCCATAGCCCTTGGTCATGACTGGCATATATGGCCGACATGGATCCCATGGTACACATATCTGATAAATATTGTAAAATATTGTAAATAATAGTTTATATTTTTGTCGAAATACGGAAAAGTTACCTGGAATTTTTTCACTTCTATTTAAGGTATGAATGCTTACAGTGGTGGATACAACTAATTTAGAAGAAAAGAAGCAACTGATCTTCAAGAAAAATCTATTCTCGTGCTTTTCTTATGATTTTTTTAAATATTTTCTGTATCCCAAGATAGGGTCAATAGATGTTGTTTAATTGTGGAAACAGAACTTTATTTTATTAATCTCAGAAAATAATATGTAATGTCTATTTTATATATTGATGTCTAGTTCATATTTATAATTTGACATTCACAGAATACTAATGGGACTAAAAAATCCTCAACTTTTTCTTGTTTTTATTTCAAAGATTCATCGCAATCTGTGGGCAGTTGGAAAACATATTTGTTTTATAACATGTATATAAAGGGGTTCATTGTTAAAAGTTCATATGTAAGGAAACAGTTCTTGGTGTACCTTTATTCATTGTCATAAGATAATTTATTTAATGTCTTGACAAGATCCAGATTTTAAAAAATTCCTGAAGATTAAGTCACAACTTACAGATTTATCATTGTGTATAGTGTATGTTTTCATAACAGAAAAATAAACTGCTTTTGCTGCTATTAGTATCATTTCATTTATCATTGTATGCTTTCAATAGATAAAAATTATTTTCTGAAAGTCAAAGGAGTGTTATTTGTTATTAGTCATTGGTTAACTGAAGTCCACACCTATTGAAATTGGTCTTCCTCTGAACTTTCCATGAACATTACAGACAGTATATACAGTCAAATTTTTATATGCCCACATTGACTTGTAGTTGTAAATTGTCACAATTTCTTGTGAAAACACTACATTTATCATCTGATCTGGAAAGGAACAGTGTCAATTCGTTTGGATGGGACAAAAAACTGAGGTTACGTGTACACATTGGCTAGCAGTAACAGAACCCTTGACAGTTGGAATTTGAAACATGAGTAGGCTGTAGCGTCGCTGTCCAGGCAAAATTTCCCTTGTAGCACACTGCCCTGGCAGATGTCTGTCATTAGCCCAAGTGCAAATCTGTAGTTTGTGCAATTTATTGCACTTGATCACTTTGTAAAAACTTGCTAGTTCTCTAATTTCAAGTTACCAATTGATATTTTTGACATCAACGTCAACTGCACTGTCCAGATTATCGAATCGAAGAAACCTATCAATTTTTATATGCCCACATTGAAGTTAATGTCAATTGACTTTAAATTGATACAGTGTTTAAGGTCATGAGATGAAGAATCCTATTGAATTTCACGATTTCCGTTAATAACCTCCATAGTTGTGGCCCTTGTGGATACTCTCAAGTCTAAAATTAATATCCGATCGACTTTAAATTTATACAGTGTTTAAGGTCATGAGACGAAGAAGCCTATTGATTTACTGCCATAGTTATGGCCCTTGATCGCTTTGAAAAATCTTGTGGAGACTAAAGTTAATGTCCAATTGACTTTAAATTTATACACAGTGTTTAATGTCATGAGACGAAGCCTAATGATTTTCATTGATTTCCGATAATTACTGGCAGAGTTATGGCCCGATCACATTGAAAATCTTGTGGATGCTCTCGAGACTAAAGTTAATATCCGATTGTCTTTAATTTTTATACGCCCATATTGAAATGTGGTCGTATATTGTCGTCGCCCCCGTCCGTCCGATTGACTTTAAATTTATATACAGTGTTTAAGGCCATGAGACGAAGAAGCCTATTGATTTTCAGCGATTTCCGATAATTACTGCCAGAGTTATGGCCCTTGATCACTTCAAAAAATCTTGTGGACGCTCTAGAGGCCAAAGTTAATATCCGATTGACTTTAAATTTATACACAGTGTTTAAGGTCATGAGACGAAGAAGCCTATTGATTTTCAGCGATTTCCGATAATTACTGCTAGAGTTATGGCCCTTGATCACTTCAAAAAATCTTGTGGACGCTCTAGAGGCCAAAGTTAATATCCGATTGACTTTAAATTTATACACAGTGTTTAAGGTCATGAGACGAAGAAGTCTATTGATTTTCAGTGATTTCCGATAGTTACTGCCAGAGTTATGGCCCTTGATCACTTCAAAAAATCTTGTGGACGCTCTAGAGGCCAAAGTTAATATCTGATTGACTTTAAATTTATACACAGTGTTTGAGGTCACGAGGCGAAGAATCCTATTGATTTTCAAAGATTTTTGATAATTACTGCCAAAGTTATGGCCCTTGATCACTTTGAAAAATCTTGTGGACGCCCTGGAGGCCAAAGTTAATATCTGATTGACTTCAGATTGATAAACAGAGTTTAAGATCTTGAGGCGAACAAGTATATTGATTTTCAATGGATTTTTATGACTTGGAACAGCTAAATCCATGATACAGTATTAAAAGTTTTGTATACAAAATGTTAGCAAGCATGGGGCAGAACTTTATAAAAACCAAACAAATTCTAATGGTTTTCTGAGTTGTTGCTCTTAATCATATTTTAGTGTATTATAAATGTTTCATTACCGAAAAAAGTAAAAATATGCGACAACTCTTGTTGACTGCCCGGACGATTTAGCTGCTGTGGGCGTATGTTTCGTTGCCTGGCAACCTATCTTTTTTTATATACACAGTATATGCATTAGAGACCATAGTTATCATCGGATTGATTTTATATTTATACACTGTGTTTACGCCTATATATAATTGTTTCGATTGACTATAGATTGATACGCAGAGATTAAGGTCTTGAGACCCACAAGTATATTGAACAACTAAATCCATGATATTAAATGTTTTGCGTAGTAAACGTTAGCATGGTCCAAACAAATTCTAAGGATTTTCTGATAATTACTTCATACATTATGGAAGAGCTAAATCAGCTTATTTCAGGTCTTTCTTTAGGCCTGAAATGTTATCTAAATTATTAGACATTAATTAACTTATCCAGACCATAATCAACTCTTGATGTCATCGCTAGCCTTCAATATTTACTGGATTAGGATTGGATCTGCTGCTCAACTTTCATTCATGATTTAATCATGAAATGGATAATCAAGACTATGTTTTTTATCGTACCGACTTTAGTAATGATAATTGAGGCTAGGATGAAGACTCAATCGCTAAATTCTCGGTTCAGAGTGGATCAATTTGACTGAAATTTTCATTATCTAGTTTTCAACTATTATAGTGAGAACTACCAGCTCTCTATCTAATCTCCCATAATGTATCTTTAATAAATTTAAATGAAAAATTGGCAGCTCTTTATCTAATCTCCCATAATGTATCTTTAATGAGTCGTTACTCTTAATCAGATTTTAGTGTTTCATTACCGCGAAAAGTAAAAATATGAGGTGATAACTCTTGTTGACTGCCTGGACGATTTAGCTGCTGTGGGCGTATGTTTCGTTGCCTGGCAACCTATCTTTGTCCTAGAGTTTATTTTATTTTGTAATGACAAAAGCTTCATTCAATATGCATTGTTCAGAATACTTTGGCTCTTTGCAGAAGCTTATTCACAAGAACCTCAATCGTTTGCAATAGTTTGTAGGTAGAGAGAATAAATTTGCCACCTGTAGATTATGATTGGTTATGACTGTAAATGTTACACCACTGGGGTAAGTAACACAGAATTCATGATGGATGAATTTTCTGTATGGAAATGACCTGCAAATAGAAAAGCTCAATTTCTCCGCAGCACAAGAGAGATGGCTTGGGATGTAGCTGTAGAGACAATTGAATAAATCCTCTTCCCTAAAGCAGCAGACACATTGCGTCAATTGCATCTGATTTCACACTAAATTACATCACCTTTCATGTAAGTAACATGATTAATCATGGCAGCGACCAAGAACAAAAACAGCTGCAGTAGTGGGAATTTTTGTTTAGTTTGATGCTGTTGGTGTAGAAAATGGGATCCATTGCTGAAACACAGGTTCTGGTATACATTTCTTTGCAGACTGCTTCATCGTCTGGTTTCAATACTCCATAATATTATAGGCTCCGATTCTTTTTCCGAATTCTACATTTCTATTATAATCGCCATTTTGTCTTCAAAAAATCATGCAACTTTCTTGACATCAGTGATTAGCTACAGTATATGATTAGTGACAGTAAATCAAATTTTGGCCAAAAATATCAATGCAGTTTGATTCCAGCGAATCATTAGGGCGGATACAAATTCGCCATCGCGACTCTGGCTTCAAACATGCATTATGTAAGAGCTAAATCTGCCTATTGCAGGTCTTTATATTATAAATAAGACATTTATTAACTTGACAAGACCATAATCAACTCTCGATGCCATCGGATGGCTCTGATTTTAAGTTGATCAGAACAGTTTGGCCATTCAATAATTTAATGTGAAAATGGAAAAGCGAGGCCCAGTCTTGACTGACCAGTACACACATCTTGGCAAAACAACAACCAATAATTCATTCAAAATAAAGCAATTTGAATGAAATTTTCAATATACATGTATTTATGTCAAGTGGGTCAATTTTCAGAAATTTGGGAAATCGACTTTAGTTTCAGATATCTTTGCCTTTCTAGTGAAGATGTACAGCTCAAATTTGGTAGTCTTAAAAGAACTTTTTGTGTAGATTACGAATCTGCAATCAGATTACAGTTGAGTGGTTGGCTTCGCATGCTACTTGACCATGAAAACCCCCAAAAATTTGGTGTAATTGTATATTTTCTGGATTTTGTAGAGCTACAAAGTAATAGATATAGACTCAAATTTTGGCCTATCCAGAGACTGCCATGAAAACCGAAAAAAAATTGGTGTAATTGTATATTTTCTGGATTTTGTAGAGCTACAAAGTAATAGATATAGACTCAAATTTTGACCTATCCAGAGACTGCCGGTAGTACTACATTCAAAACATAATGCCCCTTTAAAAAGAGGTGTTCCAATTGTTCTGTCTTCAGTGACGGTAATGCTAGAGAAAGGTTTGAGACATTTATACAATTTCAACACTACTAATTCTCTTGTAATTGATTATTCAAGTGTATTTTCCAGGGGTGGTTCAGTAAAATGTTGGCCCGCTAACCAGGTCTCAAGTTTTCTTCGGGCAAATGCGTGGTGGCTCAGTAAGATGCAGGCTTGCTAACCAGGAGGTGTCATGTTTGCTCCAGGCAAAATTTTCGTAGCACAATGTATGGCATATGCCCATCTTCATTAGCCCAGATGATCCAAAAAAGTGGGACGTAAAATTTCATTTCATATTTTCCAGTACAAATATGCTAACTTTAGAATAGAATTATGACTATGAGATAAATATCAACCTCATAAAAGCAGACACAGAAAGGAACAAAGTTATTAATATATTAAACTGTGATAACAATTATTTGTAAACACTCTGAACTGTACAAATGACATTAGGATGTTTAGATTCCACAAATTTTTTACAATCTGCCCAGATCAAATAGAACCAATTTACAACTGAAAATAAAACTCTCACAAAAAGCTAACTTTTGAGGCAACATAATAACAAGTAAAAATAATTTAAAAAATCAAAGTATTTAAAGATACATTAGTTTAGAGTCTAATAAAGAGTTGGTCATTCTTGCTATAATAATTCAAAAATAGATGATATAAAAAAAAAATATTGAAAATTTCATTCAAATTACTTCATTCTAAGCCAAATTATCACTATTTGTAGTTTTGACAAGATATGTACATAGTGGTAACCAGGATTCTGGTATATTCGAGACTTAGCCTGGCTTTCCCATTTTTAAATAAGATTTTTAAATGGCAAACCGTTCTAATCTAGTTAAAATATGGAGTATCCGATGCCGTCGAGAGTTGATTATGGTCTTGTTTTGTTAATAAATGTTTATATAACATTTTAGTCCTAAAGAAAGACCTGCAATAGGCAGATTTAGCTCTTGTATAATGTGTGTTTTAAAAAAAAAAAGACAATTTAGGTTTTTCACTATCATTCTTGTTGTCAAAAGGCTCCATTTTATGGACAAGCTACAAAAATTCTTGCCTATTGTTTCAGATAGTACAGTATTATATTAATTATCACAATATTATTAAATATATACAAATAATGCATAGAATAAATATACATCGCTATAGCAAAACACAAACCAGTGGCTGCCAGGCAAGATACGCCCATATTTTGCAAGAGATGGATAGAGAACAAGCTAAACAAAAAGCGATGTTTCGTAAATCAAGGGTCATAATTCAGGAAGTTACGATCTGATATGCGTGAATATCGAAAGGAAGCAAGATCTTTGGGTGATAATCCCGTATTTCAAGTTTCATCAAAATCGAATCAAAATTCTGACCTCTAGAGGGCCCACAACCTTGATATACCATATTTTTACACTATTTGCGTACGAGGGGCGGCCATTTTGTCCGGCAGTTTCACGAAATTCAAACAAAAGCTTCTTTACAGTGTAACGGTGATATATTAGAACATTTGTTTAAATCGGATAATAATTGTGACCTCTAGAGGGACTACAAGCTAAAAACGCGATATTTGTAAAATCAGGGGCCATAATTCAGTAATTTACGATCAGATATGCGCAAATATTGAAAGGAACCAAAATCTTTGAGTTATAAACATGCACTGAAGTTTCATCAAAATCAGATGAAAATTGTGACAAGCCAAAAACGTGATTTTTCGTATACATTAATCAGGTGCAATAATCCATGAAGTTATGGTCCGATATATGCCAATATCAAAAGGAACCAAAATCTTTGGGTGATTGACCTATATTTTAATTTTCTTCAATATGGAATAAAAATTGTGACCTGTAGAGTGTCCACAAACAAATTGTGGATGGACGGAGGAGACGACAATGTACGTCCACATAAAAATGTGGGAGTATAAAAAAATTTCTAAAACAATTCTTTCATGTAACAAATGGAAAATATTATGTCTCCTCTAAATTATAAATATGTATTTCATTTGAGATAACATAACTTATAGGAAACACTAATCTATGCTATGCAAGTATAACATTCTATAACTTATAGGAAAGCACTAATCTATTCAACTATAACATTACATTCAGAGTGTCATTTAGATCTTCCACTGAATTATTATGCATATGAATATTAGGCAAAATCTTTCTGTACTATAATTGTTAGTACTGTATATAAAGGTATCTCATTAATGTTAGATCTTTGTGCAATATCAACTTAATACAGTAGATCTACATATGTGTCCAGTAAGTTGGAATTAAAATTAATTAAATTTATAAAAATTTATACAACTACATGCTAATGACAATAGAACTTAATTACTTTAATGCTTGATTTAACAAACACAATGTCGGCTTCAAAGTTCAACCACACTCCAATAAGGACGTCAACTGAATTTGCTTACAGGTATTTTATGCACCCACACACAAAAATCTGACACAGTAGAGACTTGTAAAAGACATTTTTATAACAAAAAGTGACAACCAGGTCCCACTCATTCTAAGAAAGTACTGGTTTGATTCTTAGCACATTTCCACATAGCATCCAGTAACTTGACAAATCCGGTATCTTTTGGTTTCTCTAGACCCCGGAGAAGTCGTCGCTTCATGACATTGACAAATTCCTTGTTACTTAATTCACCATCATCTAAAAATTAGAAAAAAGGGTACCATTAAAAAAATAATTTAAAACAAAAAGAAAATTTCATAACATGTAATGCCAGACGGCATAAAATGTTTAAATCAAAATGTGAACCAATTTGAAACTAAGAATCGGAAAGATTTCTGTTGTTATTTTACAGATATTACAATCTACTAATAAAAATAATTTTGCAAATATTATAGTCTACTCGTAAAAATAATTTTATAAATATTATAGTCTACTCAAATAATTCGACAAATATTTTAGTCTTCCGTATTAATAACAAGCCAACAGTGAGGCTGATGTCCCCCGCCGAAATCCCCAAATAAATAGATGACACATATTAATTAATCGCACATCTATTTTTTTCCAAAGTATCAAGCAATCAAACTGATTATCAACTATAAACTAAGTTTCATCACTCTCTATCAGATAGAATCAAAGTTATCTTGTCCCAAAGCAGGAAATTGCTTATCTCTGCTTAGCTTTAGCTCAATATGTTAATCATTGAACTCAGTCAAGACGAACATCTACATCAAGTTTAAACATTCTACCTCAATTAGAAGAAGAGTTTGACCAATCAACATGCTTATTGCTCGTTGGCCTAAGCAAAAAATTCTCATCATCGAACTTAGTCAAGGTATTGATGTAATGAACTATACACCAAGTTTCATCACTCTCACTTAATTAGAACTAAAGTTATCGTGTTCCACTTCCAAAGCATCAACCAATCAAATTGCTTATCTCTGCTTACCCTAAGCAGAAAATGATCATCTTCGCACTCCATCAAGGCATTGACCTCATTAACCCCTACACCAAGGTTGAACATTCTAGCTCAATTAGAAGGAGGGTTATTGTGTTCCAAAGTCTTGGCCAATCAAATTGCTTATCGCTCTGCTTACCCTGAGCAGAAAATGCTCATCATCGAACTAAGTCAAGGTATTGATGTAATGAAACTATACACCAAGTTTCATCACTCTCACTTAATTGGAACTAAAGTTATCGTGTCCCAAAGCATCAACCAATCAAATTGCTTATATTTGCTTACCCTAAGCCGAAAATGCTTATCTTCGCACTCCATCAAGGCATTGACCTAATAAACACCTACACCAAGTTTGAACATTCTAGCTCAATTAGAAGGAGGGTTATTGTGTTCCAAAGACTCGGCCAATCAAATTGCTTATCTTTCTGCTTACCCTGAGTAAAAAATGCTCATCATCGAACTTAGTCAAGGTATTGATGTAATGAAACTATACACCAAGTTTCATCACTCTCACTTAATTGAAACTAAAGTTATTGTGTCCCAAACAAAGCATCAACCAATCAAATTGCTTATCTTTGCTTATCCTAAGCAGAAAATGCTTATCTTCACACTCCATCAAGGCATTGACCTAATAAACACCAACACCAAGTTTGAACATTCTAGCTCAATTAGAAGGAGGGTTATTGTGTTTCAAAGTCTCGGCCAATCAAATTGCTTATCGCTCTGCTTACCCTGAGCAGAAAATGCTCATTATCGAACTTAGTCAAGGTATTACTGTAATGAAACTATACACCAAGTTTCATCAATCTCACTTAATTAGAATTAAAGTTATCGTGTCCCAAAGCATCAACCAATCAAATTGCTTATCTCTGCTTACCCTAAGCGGAAAATGCTCATCTTCGAACTCCATCAAGGCATTGACCTAATCAACACATACACCAAGTTTGAACATTCTAGCTCAATTACGAAGAGAGTTATCGTGCCCCAAAGTATCAACCAATCAAATTGCTTATCTCTGCTTACCCTAAGCGGAAAATGCTCATCTTCGAACTCCATCAAGGCATTGACCTAATAAACACATACACCAAGTTTGAACATTCTAGCTAAATTAAAAGTTATCGTGTCCCAAAGCATCAACCAATCAAATTGCTTATCTCTGCTTACCCTAAGCGGAAAATGCTCATCTTCGAACTCCATCAAGGCATTGACCTAATCAACACATACACCAAGTTTGAACATTCTAGCCCAATTAGGAAGAGAGTTATCGTGTCCCAAAGCATCAACCAATCAAATTGCTTAACTCTGCTTACCCTAAGCGGAAAATGCTCATCTTCGAACTCCATCAAGGCATTGACCTAATAAACACATACACCAAGTTTGAACATTCTAGCTCAATTAGGGAGAGAGTTATTGTGTCCCAAAAAGTGTGACGGACAGACAGACGGACAGACAGACGGACAGACAGACAGACAGACAGACAGACAGACAGACAGACAGACAGACAGACAGACAGACAGACAGACAGACAGACAGACAGACAGACAGACAGACAGACCCATTTTAATAGTCCCCTGCTTTCTTCGAAAGGCGGGGGACAACAAAAATAATTTGATGGAAATGTATGTTGAATAATAACAAGATGACTAAGTCATCAACATCTTGTGCCCTTGCACGAGGAACCAGCGGCTGCCAGGCAGGATACGCCCACATTTTCGATGGATAGAGAACAAGCTAACAAGAAAGTGATTTTTCCTACAATCAAGGGCCATAATTCAGGAAATTACAATTCGATATGCGCAAATATCGAAAGGAACTGAATGAACGGAACGGCAGCCAATTTGTCTGTCAATTTTGGGCCGATTTTCACGAAATTCGAACTCAGTTGTCCTCAGGGTGTAACGGTGATATAATAATACGTTTTTTTAAATCGGATAAAAATTATGACCTCTATAGGATCCACAAGCTAAAAACGCAATTTTTTGTACAATCAGGGGCCATAATTCAGGAAGTTACGGTCCGATATGTGCGAATATCGAAAGGAACCAAGATCTTTGGGTTATAAACTTATATTTCAAGTTTCAACAAAATCGGATAAAAATTGTGACCTCTATAGGGTCCACAACCTTGATATAACATATTCTTATGCTATTCCAGAACGAACGGCGGCCATTTTGTCTGTCAATTTTGGGCCGATTTTCACGAAATTCGTACAATCAGGGGCCATAATTCAGGAAATTACGGTCCGATATGCGCGAATATCGAAAGGAACCGAGATCTTTGGGTTATAAACTTACATTTCAAGTTTCAACAAAATCGGATAAAAATTATGACCTCTATAGGGTCCACAACCTTGATATACCATTTTCTTACGCTATTTGAGAACGAACGGCGGCCATTTTGTCTGTCAATTTTGGGCTGATTTTCACGAAATTCGAATTTATTCGTCCCTAGGGTGTAACGGTGATATAATAATATGTTTTTTTAAATCGGGTAAAAATTATGACTTCTATAGGGTCCACAAGCTAAAAACGTGATTTTTCATACAATCAGGGGCCATAATTCAGGAAGTTACGGTCCGATATGCACGAATATCGAAAGGAACCGGGATCTTTGGGTTATATACTTACATTTCAAGTTTCAACAAAATCAGATAAAAATTGTGACCCCTATAGGGTCCACAACCTTGATATACCATATTCTTACGCTAATTCGAACTCAGTCATCCTTAGGGTGTAACGGTGACATAATAGAACGTTTTTTTTAAATCGGATAAAAATTATGACTTCTATAGGGTCCACAAGCTAAAAACGTGATTTTTCGTACAATCAGGGGCCATAATTCAGGAAGTTACGGTCCGATATGCACGAATATCGAAAGGAACTGAGATCTTTGGGTTATAAACTTACATTTCAAGTTTCAACAAAATCGGATAAAAATTGTGACCCCTATAGGGTCCACAACCTTGATATACCATATTCTTACGCTATTTGGGAACGAACGACGGCCATTTTGTCTGTCAATTTTGGGCCGATTTTCACGAAATTCGAACTCAGTCATCCTTAGGGTGTAACGGTGATATAATAGAACGTTTTTTTAAATCGGATAAAAATTATGACTTCTATAGGGTCCACAAGCTAAAAACGTGATTTTTCGTACAATCAGGGGCCATAATTCAGGAAGTTACGGTCAAATATGCACGAATATCGAAAGGAATCGAGATCTTTGGGTTATAAACCTACATTTCAAGTTTCAACAAAATCGGATCAAAATTGTGACCTCTATAGGGTCCACAAGCTAAAAACGTGATTTTTCGTACAAACAGAGGCTGTAATCCATGACGTTTCGATCCGATACATGCCAATATCGAAAGCAGCCGAGATCTTTTGGGGATACACCTATATTTCAAGTTTCGTCGAAATCGGATAAGAATTGTGACCCGTAGAGAGTCCACAAACAATTGTGGACGGACGGACGGACAGGGGCGACGGCATAATACATCCACATGAAAATGTGGGCGTATAAAAAAAACTTCTTTATGTTATTGGTAATCAACATAAAAATATATCAGATTAATCTCATATTCCAACACATGGAATATCAAAGGGACTAGTCAGAAAATTCATACTCTGACCACAGTAGCTTGTCAAGGCAGGGTCGCTACTCCCTGTAAGGTCTGCACAACGACCTTTGCCTACCTCAATCAACTTCTGTATGTTAAACAATAAACTTATACATCATAAAATAAAATACTATAATAGGATGTTGTTTTGTAAAAAGTTTCAAAAAGATTTTTTGAATGGATAATGAAATATGCTCTGGAAAGGAAATCGGGACGAAAGGATGGACATCAGAAAAGAAAATAATAGGCTGATGAATGTAAAAGTTTTAAAAAGGTATCTTGAACAGCTTCTGAGATATGCAAAAGAATAATAATTATTCAAAACTCAAAATCATTCAACAGAGAAATCTGTTTCCATGGAAACATAAAAATGATTAAATCCAAGAAACTTCTAATTAGCAAAAGGCACAACTACTATCAAAGGTTGATGTTTGTACAAAGTTTCATGAAGATATCTTGAACAGTTTACGAGATATGCTCTGGAAACAAAATTGTACACCAAAAAATAAGTTAAATTTGTTTTCATGGAAACACAAAAATTATAAATTCTAGAAATTCCAAATTAGAAAAAGGCACAACTTTTGTAATAGGTTGATGTTTGTACAAAGTTTTATAAAAATATCTCGAATGTTTTATGTGATATGCTCCGGAAATAAAATTCAATATCCCTCCCTAACTTCGTTCGGCATGCGGATTTATTATATCTACAATCTATACTTACTGTTTTCATCAAACAATGTAAATACTACATCAATAACATGATCAGATAATTCTACATGGGCAACAGTCTTGGCTACATGCTTGAAGGTTTCTGAAAATCAAAGCAATATTCTTCAAAGATTTATACACATTCTTGACATTGCTCTAACTTGTATACAATTTCACCATTATTATAAAGCTGCATGAAGTAAAGTTATACAGTGTATAGACCAGCTCCAGAAAAGGGGCTAAATTTTGGATGTTTGTGTTGTGTCCAGTTCACTGACATTTAATTGGCTGGTATGATAATCTAAACAACATGTCCAACTTGATAGCATTATTACCCTTATATGTTGACAACTATAAACCTGCCTGCTATTGGGAGTATCAAATGACATCATTTATTATAATCGGTTAGTATCATTTCTGGGGAATCAGTTGTTTCTTTATTCCAAAAACCAAGTTTTATCATTAAAAAGAATGGTAGTGGATGCCAGAATAAAGAATTGACATCTTTCGATAAATGTGAGCTAGTTATAATTATAATTATATTCTTTCTGAAAACAGAACATATGTATTATTTAGTTTAATTGGATAAGGATTTGCATGTTTAAACAAGAGACAAAGTACATGTACTGTAGTAGTGTGTATTTTAGTACAGGATTTGCAAATACTTAACTAGATAAAATTGCGCATTTCATTTGAAAATTAAAGTAACATTTCTTAAACTGTCATTTTAAATATGGTGAATTAACTTAATGATGAAGTTGAAGTTGATAGATAACAGCTTAACACTGTTACATATGGAGACTGTCATATAACCAATATTCAAAACAACCCAATACATAACATATTCTTTTTATTCAAGGAAGAACACATATACCAGACCAGAGCTGTTATTTTAATTTGAGAGGGCTCATTTTATCCAGTCCTGATTTTTATACGACTACATGTTCTTGTGGATGTATACTGCTGTCGCCACTGTCCATTTGTCCGGCCATAATTTGTTTGTGGACACTCAACAGGTCACAATTGTTATCCGATGTAGACAGAACTTGATACTTCAGACTGTAACTTGCTGGATTATGACCACTGATTGTACAAAAAAAAGCCTTTTTGTTAGCTTGTTCTGTCCATCTAATGAAGACGGACATATGCCATACAGTGTGCTATGAGAGAAATTTTGCCCAGGCAGCTGCACCATGGCTTACTCTTATATCAAATTCCTACTGCCAAGGGATCTTTTACGTGCACGCAAGTGTATACCCTGGCAGTCGATTTTGGTACCATCCGAATGACTGGACGGCTGTCCTTGTCAGTCCTTCCGTCCGGCACCACTGACAAGGGGAAGCCAGGCCGGAAAATCCCAACAAACTTTCTCGACCAATGTAGGGATCGAACATACGACCTCCAGGCTAGCGAGCCAGTGTCTTACCCACTTAGCAACCGTGGCTCTCAACAATTTAAGATACTGATGATCAATAAAAATGTAGATATTTTAGAATGTTTGGGAGCTTTTGTATACAATTTGTTCATGTCTTGTGTATCTTTGTATAATTACGTACATGTATATGTATCCTTGCTTTCTGCATTTATCTTTCTATTATTTTTATTTGTATATGCACATATTGTCACATAACCTTGTAATTTTTTTATGCAATAAAGTTTCTTCTATTACATCATATTTAAAATATAAAAAGCTTAGTATAACTTTATGTAATATTTGAATCAAATGGTATTTTTATTTATTAAATTTTTATTTTAATTTTGGGGTTTTTCTACATTTAATTTGAATGTGAATTAAGTCTCATATAGAAACTGATCAAAACCCATCTAAATATAGAGCAGTGTAATATGATACTTAGCATGCCCTACACACCACATCATCTGTATCAGATATTTAAGCTACAACATATTGTCTTTGACAAGTTGATGACAAGATTCTCTTCAACAGAACTGTATTGTCTGTGGGGGTCGCATTCCTAAATTTGAGGAAAAATGGCTAATTTCCACCTAGTCCAAGCACTGTATAGAAATCTCTCCAATATTTATAAAAATTAGATATAACCCAATACCTACCCATATCAATTGAAACACCAGCTAGATGATAAAAACTTAAAGCAGTATCCACATCATGAATACTCTTTAAAAATAACCAAAAACTAATATAATCTTCAAACGATATACCCTGAAACATAGAAATAATGAATATACAATCAAGGAAGATGCTTTTATGCAAATGTCACAGTACTTTCATAAAAGACTTCACACCTATTTAGGATTTATTTGTTGCTTGCCTTGTTTTCTTTTCTTAATTTCATCTAAAGTGAATGACTATTTCTTGCCTTTATTTTTTAAGTTTATGGCTTTGTCACGATATGGATATTTCAGGATAGGTAGAAAAAGACAGAATAAAATTTGCCTATTGTAAGTCTTCTTTTGACTTCAAATGATGTATAACAAACTATTATGTAGATATTTATGCACATGACAAGTCTATAATCAACTCTCTAGACCATTGGGTGGCTTAGATTCAAATGGATTAGAAGACCCGCAATATTTAAAAATTTAACGATAAAATGGATAATTGAGACTTAAGACTTGATTGTTTAGTATATTGCTATGATAATGAACAATCTACGCTAGATCTTTTCAAACCTTACAACACTCATAACTTTGCTCAGAATAAAGTAAACTGAATGAATTTTTCAATATATTCATTTTTCATTATCTTTTTTTGAACTATAACAAGAATGACCTACTCTATATCTAAATCTTACACAATGCATCTTTAAGTTTAATTAGAAGTACCTCTTTCATAACAATTTAATAAGATATTTTCATCGGTGAAATGAAATGGGGTTTAACGTCCTACTGATTTTCATAGGTAATGAGTGGTATGTGATAAAAAACGTTAAAACAATACCTCAGGTTCCTCTTTAAACTTGCGTCTAACACGTTTCAACATTCTGTTTTTTTTACTGTCTGGTAAACCAGCATAAGTTAACAAAGCTTTACAAAAATCCTTTTCACTGATCTTATCATTTTCAGTCACAAAGCGATTAAACTACAACATAAACAAAGATAGGTTGCCAGGCAACGAAACATACGCCCACAGCAGCTAAATCGTCCGGGCAGTCAACAAGAGTTGTCGCATATTTTTACTTTTTTTCGGTAATGAAACATTTATAATACACTAAAATCTGATTAAGAGCAACAACTCAGAAAACCATTAGAATTTGTTTAGTTTTTATAAAGTTCTGCCCCATGCTAACGTTTTGTATACAAAACTTTTAATACTGTATCATGGATTTAGCTGTTCCAAGTCATAAAAATTCATTGAAAATCAATATACTTGTTCGTCTTAAGATCTTAAACTCTGTGTATCAATCTGAAGTCAATCGGATATTAACTTTGGCCTCTAGAGCGTCCACAAGATTTTTCAAAGTGATCAAGGGCCATAACTTTGGCAGTAATTATCAGAAATCTTTGAAAATCAATAGGATTATTCGACTCGTGACCTCAAACACTGTGAATAAATTTAAAGTCAATCAGATATTAACCTTAGCCTTTAGAGCATCCACAAGGTTTTTTGAAGTGATCAAGGGCCATAACTCTGGCAGTAATTATCGAAAATCACTGAAAATAAATAGACTTCTTCGTCTCATGACCTTAAACACTGTTTATAAAATTTAATATCAATCGGATATAATAACTTTGGCCTCTAGAGAGTCAACAAGATTTTTTTGAAGTGATCAAGAGCCATAACTCTGGCAGTAATTATCAGAAATCGCTGAAAATCAATAGGCTTCTTCGTCTCATGACCTTAAACACTGTGTATAAATTTAAAGTCAATCGGATATTAACTTTTGCCTCTAGAGCGTCCACAAGATTTTTTGAAGTGATCAAGGGCCATAACTCTGGCAGTAATTATTGGAAATCGCTGAAAATCAATAGGCTTCTTCGTCTCATGACCTTAAACACTGTGTATAAATTTAAAGTCAATCGGATATTAAGTTTGGCCTCTAGAGCGTCCACAAGATTTTTTGAAGTGATCAAGGGCCATAACTCTGGCAGTAATTATCGGAAATCGCTGAAAATCAATAGGCTTCTTTGTCTCATGGCCTTAAACACTGTATATAAATTTAAAGTCAATGGGATATTAACTTTAGCCTCTAGAGCGTCCACAAGCAATTGTGGACGCCGGACGGACGGGGGCGACGACAATATACGACCACATTTCAATGTGGGCGTATAAAAATCTGATTAAAACCTGGTGCTATGCTTAGCATTTATAAAACCTGATTTATTAAATAAAGAAAGGTTTCAATCAGTATAAAACAGAAATATAAGTATGAAGTCTACAATAATAATATGTTTCATATAGCCCAGTTATAATCTGAAATCCACTTACTTCAATTTTAAGGATCTCTCGTTGTAACTGTCTTTGGAAATCTAAAAACTCTTCAACTGTCAGCTTCTTCTTAGCTTCTTTACCGAAAAAATAAGAAGTAAGCGCTGAGCTCATTCCTTTATTGACATTACCAGTTACGGTTCTATCACGGTGGCGCATGCCTATACTTGTTTGACTTCGTAAGATTTGTTGAACCTAAATAAAAGCAAATATAATTTAAAGATGGGCTGCAAGAAAAAAATGACGAGTACACATTGTTGACATGAACCGGTTAGATTTCAGCATCAGTAATTGAGTTGAAATGAATATACAGAAAACTTTACATAAGTCGGATCTAAGTGGACTGACCAATTTTATCCAAGTTAAGCGAAGATCTGAGTTAGCTGAAGATCGAAATTCAATCTTAGCTCGATTAGAAATAAACTGCAAGAGCTGGATAATAATTGATTCAAACACACATTTCAAGCTTTTCTTCGTATGTGCGAGTAGATAACTTACGTTTTGGTTTGAATAGATAACTTACGTTTTGTCGCCATCTTTGAAAAATGTCCTCAATTTTCCCGGACAGTGTCTCGTACAGCAGACACCGAGTTTGAATTATCCGGAAAAAATTCTATTATTGCGTTGTGTCAAATAGACTGATTTGAGTCAAAATGATAGGGGAACGTATTTTGGGGCTCTGTGCATGGGTATCATTTCATTTGGGACTCGACATAAACGACAATTGGGACTCAGTTGACGACGTTTGGGACTTGATTGGCGTCAATTGGGACTCGACACAAATGACAGTTGGGCCTATTTATTTATGAGATATATAGTAACAGCTGTCTTAGTTGTCTTTCGTTTTATTTAATTGATCGACGATTGTTGAGACCGTGATTAACACTGCTAGTTCTCCTTTGTTTTGTTTTATCTGCGAGTATAAAACTTCTCCTTTGTTTTGTTTTATCTGCGAGTATAAAACTTGACAATAATATATTGTTGAAAATTTGTGTATATTTAGTAATACTTCATTGTTTTTCTTTTATCATATAGTAAACGAGCTTGATTGACCGACCACTGCTAATGTTTTTTCGTGAAACAGTATAACTGCAATCAACACACGGCCGCCATTCTCGATGATTGATAACTCACGTTTTTCCTCATCCACCAAAGAACCGTTAGGTTTCTTTGAACATACTGCAATAACATCGGGATTATCAGTTAATCAGCTTTAATTATCCCGCTTTGATCGTTGCCACTTCTTATATTTTCCACAAAAAAACTTTGCCTTGTACGCACTAATTTATCGATTGGTATTGCCATCTACGACTAGCATGTCAACGTGCAGCTCACGGATTATCGTTAACAATTTCTAGGGGCTTGTAAAAAAGATTGCACGTCGTGTAAATATTTATTTTGTTTTTTTGTGTAGGTCATTTTCAAATAAATTCATCAGCATATTATTCGTTTTAAATAAATATATAACTTTTATGAGAAACGATTATTATCAAAGAACCGTAAGTGCAACTAATGTTTTATCGTTTGGTTGAGCCTTTTACTAACCACGTGTTTCATGTTAATAAATATTTTCTTTCGTGTTTTGAATTGGCCTATTTCTAATAAATTATCCCGAGTCTCAAACGTCGTATACCCGAGTCCCAAATGACGTATACCAAAGTCCCAAATGTCGTATACCCGAGTCCCAAATGTCGTGGTCATATTTTTTTTAGTCCCAAATGACGCGAGTCCCAAATGATATGTAATCTGTGCATGGAATAGCTAACAGTGTTTTAGACCATCGAGACGAAACTGACTTAGTCAAATTCTGAACATACTGCCGATCCGACTAAGGCAAAGGAAAAAAGTCGGAATTAGATCAAATAGACCGAACATTTTGATCCGAGTTCAGCGCAGATCCGACATAAGAAATCTGACTTATGCACAGAAATTTAATAAGAAAAACGTGCAGGATCAAAGGGTCCAAACGATTTTATCCGAGTTGAGCAAAGATCAGACTTATACGAATTCGACGTTTACTGTAGGTGGATAAGAAGAATATTTGAGAGAGATGAACATAGATTTTTTGAAATCATACTCCATCAATATTTACCTTCTCAAATTCTTCACTATCAACTTCACCATCACCATTCAGATCAAACATTTGAAAAGCTATCTGGAAATTTCTTGGTGGGGCTGTAAACAAGTAATTAAATTGCAATTTGTTAAATTTATGACCCAATCTGTAACATGTATGAAAACAAAACCAATTCAACAGACCACTTTGGCATGCTGGTTTTTTTACTATCGAAAACCCTTTTATAATTTGATCAAATTACAAAGTTTTGGATGGTTGAATGGCGAAAATACCCATTCATACAGTTTTAACAGTTATCACAGACATTCAAATCTATTAGACCAAAATATGAAATTTTTAACAATTTGTAACAGAAATCTAACATAAAATTTGTAACAGAAATCTAACATAAAATTTGTAACAGAAATCTAACATAAAATTTGTAACTTGTTCAAATTTTCATTTGTTGGCATCCAAGTTATTCACATAATGGCATATAAATAGCGTCCCCACTCTTAACATTATGCCACCTGCATAACACCATATATATAAAGGTATTTTTTTTTTAAAAGATTGGAAAGGCTAAACTCTAAACTAATGCAAAAAAAAACCAACTTACTAGAAAGAACTGTAAGAAGAAAGATATAATCTGAGAAGGAAATTAAACCACCTTCTCCAAGACGGTAGAAAATACTATCACCTCCAACTACTACTTTCATTTCCATACTATCTTTCTGAAAAACATCATGATCTATTATTGTAATAATGCAACATCAAGGCAATATAGAATTAAGAGTAGTAAATCTTATGTATGACAATCAAAATACCTGAGAAGTACATATCCATTTTTTAAGTATTTCAGTTAAATTAGTATCCTTTAAAAAAAAGTAGGCACACACGGACACAGACAAGCATAATTTGGATACTTTCAGCAATGTATGATGTTAAAAGGAGCTGCTTCTCAACTATGCACCAAGAAATTTTACTGTGCAACAAAAATTGTACGTCCCACGAAATCATTGCGATTTAAATATGACCAGAATTGATTATTTTTTTTCTTTCGCAATTATGAGTCGCACATTCCCATATTTATTTAGAAAAAAATCTACTAGTTCATATGTTGGCTTCATGCATGTAACTACAGTGGAAAAAAATTATTAACTGACAAATTATTTTATAACGAAAATAAAACTGGTGATTGTAGTGATAATAGGATACATTTCAATCATTGATTTCTTGCTCCCATTATTTTCTTGTTTTACAAACATCTTCTGCTAGAAAATAAAAGTCAGAGAAAACAAGCAGCTACAATAATACAACACCCTGTCTCTCATGTTAAAGATACTTTCCCACTAAAGTATTTATCGGGTGGTTATTTCAAATAAAAGTATGGCAATTTTGGTAATGAAAAGTAAAGAGACTCAATCTTACTAGAAAAATAATGGATTCCTTGAAAAACACCCATAGAGCGGGCACAGGACAAAAATGAGAGGGTGTCACAAATTGGCAGCCTGACAATTAAGGACAGTCGGATCGAGTGACGTCAAAGGTTGCACGCGTAGATTGTCTGAGCTCTTGGCATTAGGGAGTGCTTAATGTTATTTTTATGTTAAAAAGTGAGAGACTTAAACAGTTTCCAAGATAAAAACCATAGAAAAATATGTGGACAGGGAATAATCCGAGAATTTACTTAGGCTTTAATATTTATGATAAATGGACAGGGATTAAATACAACATCGTCTTTTATATGCAATGAATTCTCCTCTGGCTTCGCACCCGTTGCTAGGTACCCGACAACCAAGTCACGTAACACAACCATGTGTCATCATTTGGATAAGACTCTGACTAAAGGGACTGTTTATTTGGATATTAATATTATAAATATGTAATTGTGGGTTTTTTTAACGTTTAATACACAAATCCGACGCGTACATTCACTCATACTGAACAGTAGGTTGTGGACCAATTCACACCACATGGCTAATTGTTTACATCGCGTGGTTTGTTTGACACAAAATACGGCAGTCAACTTATGCCAAATCTGTATACTTACTGTAGAGACCAGTCAGCGTGTTGAACCAACTAGGTCACTTCTAGATTCAATAAAAATTTGTCCCTTACAAAAACATTTGTGCTTGTGTTACAGAGGGGATTACATATGAATATATATTTAAGATTTATAGAAACTTTGTTGGAAATTGTTGGTCTTCCCCTTTAATAGATTTTTTTATAGCTTAGGGTATTTCCTCAAGATTACAATGTTTTGAGAGGGATTTGAAGCAAATTTTTGATAGATTAATTAGTTTGAATATGTTTATAGCCCAAACACATCATCAAATCACCCAGTTTGTACACGGGAAGGTATCTTTAATGTTAATGGTTAACATAAGAAACAAATATTTGAATAACTAGGAGTAAAACAGAAACACATGCAGGAAAATGTGGCAAATTCAAAAATACACTTAGAATTAGATAATAATGTAAATGATATATTCATATAAGACAAATATATTCCAACTGATAATTGATATAGATTACCATACTCACAGTTGATCATTTAACAAAAGTATGATTGTTCCGTAATATTCACTACAAAGAAATGCTATTGTCAAATGAATTTAATAATTTTCCTTATAATTCAGTAGTCAATTAGCCAAGTTTTTGAAACAATTCATTTCATCTTCCATTAAATGTAATTGTTAAAATTGAACCAAGCATGAGCTTACAAAATTTTACTTATCAAAACTATTCTACCGAACTCTGTATCTAATCAACAACACACGAGATAATGGAATACAAAGCATTTCTCAATTGCCACTATCTATTTTTGGAAACTTAAGCGGAAATTATGAATATTCAGACGCACCTGCTAAAAGCGCAGAATTTGCATAGTCTAGCTGAAAAATAACTACGGCTAATTACAGTTATAGTACAACCTTGGTCAAATATTCAATATTAGATTCGTAAAGATTTTGCAAACTGTGACACTATCTATATTGAGTCATTTACAATGTATCCTATTATTATTATGTATCCTTGTCATTTCCACAAAATTAGTTTAAAAATCTATCGTTAGGTATGTTTATGAAATGTATGAAGAAAGGGCAATAACTTTCTCAATAATTGTTGATTTCATTTGATTTTATATGTTTGTTTTTTTAAGATGACAATTTGCCGAAAATTGTACATCACTAGATAAAGCTAGTAATGAGATACAAACTGATTTTGTGTTCCACTGATGCCACTGTTGGCCAAAATCATATGAAACTTACTGAACAATCTTTAATCTTTCAAAGCAAGGATTTAATTGTACAGTGGTTGTCCCATCACTAATTTAAACAACACATCAGATGAACCAAATTCAATAATCAGCTGCTTTATAATAAATATCTTTATATTAATTAATATGTTTAAATGTTATATTATTGTGCAATGCTGGGTAGGTCAGAGCAATTAAAAGCGGAATAACTCTTGCAATGTTTTAAATTCTGAAGTAAGAAAATTCTAAAGCATGGGATCAAGCACTAATGTACTAGAGATAATAATAAACTTAGGCATGATTAAATCTCATAAATATCACCTAATGAAGTATGTACTATAGTAGGTGTTGATTATGAAGAAATAAATCATATACCAATTATCAAAATGCATACAAAATTCCATTCTGTTTATTCTATTATAAATATTCAGGCTGTTTTGAACTCAAGATTGAAGGGTAAATAATGTACATCTTCTTGTAACAATACTTTTCTTCAAGTTCAATTTAAATATGTTTGAGCAATCATTGACAATATTTTGTGTACTTATACTAAATGATGCAACAAATTTCACAGAATTTGGTAAATAAGTCTTCTTCAACATGTTCAAAAGATATTCTGGTCATTTCTGGATGTGCAAATGGATGAACAGGGATAAGTGTTGTGTAAAAGGTCATAACTCCAAACCAGAAAAGCCATGATAAACATATCTATTTCATTCAATCAATGAAAATAAAGCATCCTAAAAAATACAACTAGACTTGTTAGAAACAAAACCATGTGAAAAGAGATCACAGTGAGTAAACAATAAACTGGAATTGGGAAGCATTCCTGGGTAATGCACCAAATAGGGAGATGGTTAGGTATCACTGCAAAATTCACTGATTCATTTCTCAATTATCTGTTTTACATGATTTCGGAAGTCACATCATATACAAGATTGTTCTGCAGCATGTTTGCAAATCATTCAACGTCTAAGTATAAATAACCAAAGACAGTACATGGCCTACAATTGACACTCAAATATTTTCCATATCCAAGGATATTTAATGTATTCTTATGAATGACAAGTAAACTTGATCATCCAGTCCAACCATATTTTCGATTAATGTTGGGAGCGGAAAAGTCATCAGGATATATATTGGTCTATCAATTTGTATTAATGACAAATACAAGACTCTTAAAGCATGACTCGTCACAGTTAACATCAGTAAGCTTACATTTTTTTTATTTTTTTTTTTATGAAAACTATTACACACAACCATACTGTATTTGTTAGGAATGTGACAATTGGGGTTAGACATATAGTATAGATCTTGTTTTATAACTAATTACTACTGAAGACAATATTTTCTAAAGATTGTGTATCCAAAATGTCACAGTGTCCATCATATTGTGTATGATAAATATTCAACAAAGCATTTCTACTTTGAAACATCAACATACATTAGGCAAAATTCAATGGATAAATGGGTATGTGTACATATTAATAATATGCAATGGACTTGCATTCTGGTATGTGCAATAATCAATGCAATTATATCATTATGCATTTGATCTGGTTATTGTCAAATGGGGGTACAAATGGAACAATCTTAAAAATGAGTGTGTATGTTACATAGGTGATGGTAAATTAAACCATATAATACCTGTAACACCTCAAGGAGTTGTACATCACTTGCTTTATCCTGTTTATAAAAACACTATAGAATAATAACCACTAGTAAATCACAATATCCATATAAAACACTCCAAACAACAAAGCAATTAATATACAACAGAACTGCCATATATAGGGAATAGAATGCTGACTTCCTTGATAAATACAGTCAGATTTATAACTGACAACAGAAAAACTCATAGGAACATCTAAAAAAATTGAGAGGGAAAATGAAAATCATGACATTAATATACTGATATGTTTTATTACACAAATTAACTATAGGATTAAAACCAATAATAATGATCAGTCAAAAAAATCAAAACATGCAAATCAAACAAAATCATTCCAAAACTCAGAGAAAGGGAAAGGACGTAGCTCTCTCCAAAGCAGGAAACTCCACAATATAATAGAAAGATTAAATATTCAGAAAAAGTTCAAATAGAAAAGCAAAAGATAAACGCATTTAAACCGGACTCACCCAAATAGGAATACTATCCTTCTATTTCCATTCATAGATAAAAGAGAAAGGAAACATGCTTATGTCAGACCAAGCATACTGCAGGTATATTTTAATTATATGTTAAAAAGTTGTGGTTACTCTGTAATATTAGTAATATTAATACAGTAGAGACACCAAACTATTAAGGATAAAGGATTATATTAGTTCTATTATTTAATTTATGATTTGTTTTTTTAAAAAAAAAAGGTCACACAAAAATGGCGATAAATACAATTTCTTTTTAATAAAGACTATTTACGCTGGGTTGTTTTCAAAGTTTACATTCTGTGCTGTTTCATGGTGTATTTGAAGTTAGTCAAATTTAACCCTTTTTTCTAAAATCACATAATAAATATCATGAAAGTTCCTTGAGCTGAGAGAATAAGAGATTTCGAGATGTGGAAAATTTTCTCTTCAAATTACAATGTATTGGCAACAAATCAATAAAAACTGGTAAATTGTGCGTACTTTAATGAGTTTTGGAATCAAATTATGTTTATGAATCATCCTTGTATAATTTTTATTTATTCATCAAAACCAATTCTTTATTCAAATACAAAAAATCCTTGGAAATACAACACTAATGATGTTAATATAACTAACTTCTACTCTTAAATCCACTAATAACTTTTGGAATCTCTTTATTACAATGGCTAGGACCCTTTGATTTGGGTCAAAAATGAATTTGTAGATTTCACTTGATCTTTTATGTCAAAAACCATTGTTGAGATATCACCGATTATGTTAAGTTGTCAACACAATAAACCAAAATGAGATTAAAATTAGTAAAAAACCACTTCAGATTATTCTTTGGAAAGAAACATTTAATTGTATAGTATAGAGCTTATCCCATCATAAATCGAAACATGTCTAAACAACCCAATTTAATACTTTATTTTCACATAAATCAAAGAGGATAAGCTCCTTTAAGCTTTCAAATAGGGGAAAACATAAGTGTAAAACTTAGAGTACACTTTTCTTTGAAAAACATTAACAAGAAGATGAGATGACCCACACACTTAAACTGCAAGACTGAATATGTTTCAACTGTTGGCTATCAGTTTCTTATTAAATTTCTTGGAGCCTTAAAGATACATTATGTAAGTTTTAGATAAAGAGCTAGCCATTCTTGCTATAATAGTTTGAAAATAGAGATAATGTAAAATGAATAATTTGAAAATTTCATTAAAATTACTCTATTGCGAGCGAAAGTATTAGCCTTTAAAGGTTTGACAAGACGTGTGCAATAATTTCAACCACCGCACTGGTTGTTCGAAGCTAAGTCTCGCTCCTCCTTTTTTAAATTAAATCAAAATATGGCTGAACTGTTCTAATCTATTTAATATCAGAGAAATCTGATGCCATCGATAGTTGATTATGGCCTGGATCACTAATTAATAATATAGAAAACAATTCAGGCCTAAAGAAAGACCTGCAATAGGCAGATTTAGCTCTTGTATAATGTATGTTTAATGCAATAGCAAGACAAATTACCAATGATTATTTAGTGCACACCACACCTCAGTCCATGATGCCAACTTTATTACACATTCATCATATCATTGTACAACATTTAACTTACCTGGGGATCAAACTTGCGAAACTGATCCAGTCCCAAACCTAGAAAGTATCAAATTTAAAACAACTGAACATACATTCTTTACTGACATGACTCACTGACACCCCATCTGTTTTAAAAAACACAGATCCTAATGGTTCCAGTTTTTATTGTTCAAAATTTTGTTTTACACCAGGATCTGGAAGAGTTATTAAATAACCAGCGTTCTGGTGGATGTCAGGGATTAGCCAATCAAATGATCTGTTGAGTCAAGTTCTTATTGTCTGGCTTGCAGAACTGTGGGGAAGACATTTGAAGTGACAAAACAAAAAACAAAGACAAGGTTGAAACACCAATGCTGATTTGTTAATCAAATGTCTGACGTCATAGGGTTAAAGCCATTCGTATGAATGACCCCCTGACACAACCCCCCACTATAACCGGTCTGAACTTCGTAATGGGGAGGAGAGAGAGAGAGAGAGAGAAATGGGGTTTAACGTCCACTCGACACAACCAGGTCATTTCGGGACCAACATATGGTTTAATTTTATTTCAATAATTCGCTTGCGCGTAGAGGTCTTTAGCAGTGGGAGGAAACCGGAGTGCCCGGAGGAAACCCACGAGGTTGAGAAGGCGCCCCTATCTCCATGCCACATACGCTCACACCAGGGCTCGAAACCACAGCCGCAAGCCAGAGGTGACCGGCCAGCCAGAGGTCGAAGCGCGGCACTCTAGACCACTAGGCCATCCCAACCCCCCCGTAATGGGGAGGCCATCAAAGTATAAAAGATAGGTTGGCAGGCAACAAAACATACGCCCACATACTCATTAAGTAATTATCAGAAAATCGTTTAAAATTTGTTTGGTTTTTATAAAGTTCTGCCCTATGCTAACATTTAGTATACAAAACATTTAATATCATGGAATTAGCTGTTCAATTTATAAAAATTCATTGAAAATTGACATACTTGTTCAAGACCTTAAACTCTATGTATCAATCTGAAGTCAATCGGATAACTTTAAGGGCCTCTAGAGCGTCACAAGATTTTTCAAAGTGATCAAAGGCCATAACTTGGGCAGTAATTATCGGAAATCGTTAAAAATCAATAGGATTCTTCAGCTCATGACCTCAAACACTGTGTATACATTTAAATTAAAGTCAATCAATAGGCTTCTTTGTCTCATGACCTTAAACACTGTGTATAAATTTACAGTCAATCTATATTAACTTTAGCCTCTAGAGCGTCCACAAGCAATTGTGGACGCCGGACGCCGGACAATATACAATCAAATTTCAATGTGGGCGTATAAAAATGAAATGACATATAGATCTGTATTTTAATCAGATTGTGACACTGGTGGCATTTGCATTTAAGGTGGATCTAATTTGAGTGATCCAGTGAGATAAATTTTACAGGAGATATTTCAAGCATTTTCATTTCAATTTCAACTGAAGGCCCGGTTAGAAAATGCAAAGGCTAAATTTCAGTAATTTTATCTTCCAAATAGATAGGTTCATAATTTTCATAAATTGTCCTAATCCCTTTGTAAATTATTTTCCATCAAATATGTTTTAAACAAAAACCAACGGTTGCCAGGCAAGATACGCTCACATGGCTAGAGAACAAGCTAAAAACAAAAGTGATTTTTTGTACAATCAGGTGCCCTATTCCAGAAAGTTATGGTCTGAAATGTGCAAATATCAAAAGGGACTGAGATCTTTGGGATATAAAGATATGTTTTTTAAAAGTTTGATCAGGGACCACAAGCTAAAAACAGGATTTTTCGTACAATCAAGGGCCATAATTTAGGAAATTACGATCCGATATACGCAAATACCAAAAGAAACCAAGATCTTTGGGTTATAAACATGTATTTCAAGTTTTATCAAAATCGGATCAAAATTGTGATCTCTAGAGGGTTCACAACCGTGATATACCAGATGTTTACACTATTTTCTACGAGGGTTGGCCATTTTGCCCAAAAGTTTTGGTCCAATTTTCACGGAATTTGAACTTAACCGACATTACGGTGTAAGGGTGATACATTCAAGCGTTTTTTTTAAATTGGATAATAATTGTGACCTCTAGAGGGACCACAAGCTAAAAACGGGATTTTTCCTACAATCACAGGCCATACTTGACGAAGTTATGATCCAACATGCGCGAATATTGAAAGGAACCAAGATCTTTGGGTTATAAACATGCATTTCAAGTTTCATCAAAATCAGATCAAAATTGTGACCTCCAGAGGGTCCACAACCTTGTCCCGCAGGAATTTTCACGAAAATAGAATTCAATAAAAATTACGGTGTAACAGTTATATATTCGAACATTTTTTTTAAATTGGATAATAATTGTGGCCTATAGAGGAACCACAAGCTAAAAACGCGATTTTTCCTACAACAAGGGGCCATAACTCAGGAAGTTACAATTTGACATGTGCGAATATCGAAAGGAACCAAAATTTTTGAGATATAAACATGCATTTCAAGTTTCATCAAAATCGGATCAAATTTGTGACCTCTAGAGGGACCTTGATATACCAGATGTTTACACTATTTGCATACGATGGGCGGCCATTTTGTCTGTCAGTTCTGGTCCGATTTTCACGAAATTTGAACTCAGCTAACATTATGGTGTAATGGTGAAATTTTCAAACGTTTTTTTAAATCTAATAATAATTGTGACCTGTAGAGGGACCACAACCTAAAATCGTGATTATTCGTACAATCAGGCGCCATAATTCAGGAAGTTACATTCCAATATTGAAAGGAACCGATATCTTTGGGAGATAGACCTATATTTTAAGTTTCGTCAAAATCGGATAAAAATTGTGACCTGTAGAGTGTCCACAAACAAATTGTGGACGGACGGATGGCAAGGAGCGAGTGCATAATACATCCACATGAAAATGTGGGCGTATATAAACATTAAGCGGCTCCTTCTTTCGTAACAATTTATGACATTACTTTTATTTTTTATCTTTCTCAACTGCCAAAATGTTTCACGATGCAACATGCAAAAATATGATCTCTGATATAGAACTGTCCATATTTCTATGGCTAATTTTTGTCTGTCGAATATAGTATTTGTAAACATGGACATAGAACTGCTATGATTCGATCAGATAGACGAATACTGCCACTGAATGGTTGTATACATATATGAGAGAAAGAACAAAGATCTATTTTGATGCTGTCCTTGGCATTAAACCTTGATAGCATTTCATGATATACAAGAGCTTGTTTCATGTTTCAGGTGCACGGTTAAATCACCTGCAATTGAATCTGTGTAGATTTGTGCAAGCATGAGCTATTGCTCATCATCAAATTAAATTCCCATATACATGTATCAATAAACTATGGAAATCTGAATAATGCATCTATGATATTTAATGAGGGATATGCATTCAATAAAAAGTTTCTAAGTTACCTTCTGGTTGTTTAATGCCTGGAGTCAGGGAACGAACAAAGTCTTGTGGAGTCATGAATACTTCCCAATCGCCTTCACATTTCACTTTCAAAGTTGCGAAATAACGAAATATCTTATCTGGTGTGGAATATTGTCTGATTCTGTTTTCATATTCAATGATCTGATGATGAAAAAATATACCATAATGTAAATTGATCAAAATAATAGTTCAAGTGTGATAATCACACGCAATATGTCAGGTTTAAAAGGCAATCATATTAATAATTTGTCTGAGAAAACTTGTCAGTATTATTTCTTTCTTGAAGCCAATCAACTTTTTTTTACCAACATTTGCATAAATATCTTACTTAGAAAGCCAATATTACTACCCAAGCAACATCATGAAAATTGCTCCGAACTGGGCTAATGAATACAGGCATACGCCATACAGTGTGCTATGAGGGAAATTTTGCCCGGAGAGCGGCACTATGGCCTACTCTTATATCGAATTCCGTCTGTCAAGGGATCTTTTATGTGAACGCCAATGCGTACACGGGACCTCGGTTTTTCGTCCCATCCAAACGACTAGACAGCTGTCTTTGTCAGGCCCTCCGTTCTGCATCACTGACATGGGGAAGCATGCCGGAAAATTGAGATGAACTTTCTCAGCCAATGCAGGGATCGAACACCCGACCTCCATGCTAGCGAGCCAGCGTCTTACCCACTTAGCCACCGTGATCCCCTGGCAGGTAAAGAAATTGGAAAAGCAAAAAAATGTATAATTGCTCCAGCTTTACCCTTATGACTATGGGGCTGATCATTTTTATTGGACCTAATAAGTAATATACCTACAATAAATATGTTTAGGAGAAGCTGAAAATGACATAAATTTGTCCCATTAATATTTCCCTTTGGGGTAGAGCTGATGTGACTTCTTGGCATTTTTTCAATTTTTTTTATTTTTATGGAAAAAGGTTATACATGTACATAAAAAGAAATGTTGTTTCCTGGTTAATTAGAATGTGAACAAGACAAAAATAATATTCATAAATCAGGTAAGACTGAATATTTGATTATTGGGTCTTCTTTAAACAGCAACCAGCAGCTGCCAGGCAGGATTCGCCCACATTTTGCAAGAGTTGGATAGAAAACAAGCTAATAACAAAAACGATTTTTATACGACCACATTTTCATGTGGACATATTATGCCGTCGCCCCTGTCCGTCCGAACGTCCACAATTGTTTGTGGACTCTCTACAGGTCACAATTCTAATCCAATTGCGACGAAACTTGAAATATAGGTTTATCCCCAAAAGATCTCGGCTGCTTTCGATATTGGCATGTATCGGATCGAAACTTCATGGATTATGGCCCCTATTTGTACGAAAAATCACGTTTTTAGCTTGTGGACCCTATAGAGGTCACAATTTTTATCCGATTTTGTTGAAACTTGAAATGTAAGTTTATAACCCAAAGATCTCAGTTCCTTTCGATATTTGCGCATATCGTACAGTAACTTCCTGAATTATGGCCCCTGACTGTACGAAAAATCACGTTTTTAGCTTGTGGACCCTATAGAAGTCATAATTTTTATCCGATTTAAAAAACCGTTCTATTATATCACCGTTACACCCTAAGGATGACTGAGTTCGAATTTCGTGAAAATCGGCCCAAAATTGACACACAAAATGGCCGCCGTTCGTTCCCAAATAGCGTAAGAATATGGTATATCAAGGTTGTTGACCCTATAGGGGTCACAATTTTTATCCGATATTCGTGCATATCGGACCGTAACTTCCTGAATTATGGCCCCTGATTGTACGAAAAATCACGTTTTTAGCTTGTGGACCCTATAGAAGTTATAATTTTTATCCGATTTAAAAAAACGTTCTATTATATCACCGTTACACCCTAAGGATGACTGAGTTCGAATTTTGTGAAAATCGGCCCAAAATTGACAGACAAAATGGCCGCCATTCGTTCCCAAATAGCGTAAGAATATGGTATATCAAGGTTGTGGACCCTATAGGGGTCACAATTTTTATCTGATTTTGTTGAAACTTGAAATGTAAGTTTATAACCTAAAGATCTCAGTTCCTTTCGATATTCGTGCATATCGGACCGTAATTTCCTGAATTATGGCCCCTGATTGTACGAAAAATCGCGTTTTTAGCTTGTGGACCCTATAGAGGTCATAATTTTTATCCGATTTAAAAAACATATTATTATATCACCGTTACACCCTAAGGACGACTGAGTTTGAATTTCGTGAAAATAGGCCCAAAATTGACAGACAAAATGGCCGCCGTTCATTGAAACTTGAAATGTAAGTTTATAACCCAAAGATCTTGGTTCCTTTCGATATTCGCACATATCGGACCGTAACTTCCTGAATTATGGCCCCTGATTGTACGAAAAATTGCGTTTTTAGCTTGTGGATCCTATAGAGGTCATAACTTTTATCCGATTTAAAAAACTGTATTATGATATCACTGTTACACCCTGAGGACGACTGAGTTCGAATTTCGTGAAAATCGGCAAAAAATTGACAGACAAAATTGCTGCCGTTCGTTCAGTTCCTTTTGATATATGCGCATATCCAATTGTAATTTCCTGAATTATGGCCCTTGATTGTAGGAAAAATCACTTTCTTGTTAGCTTGTTCTCTATCCATCTCTCGAAAATGTGGGCGTATCCTGCCTGGCAGCCGCTGGTTTGTACAATAAGGGGCCATAATCCAGAAAGTTATGGTCTGAAATGCGCAAATATCAAAAGGGACTCAGATTTTTGGAATATAAAGATATGTTTTTTAAAGGTTTGATCAAAATCAGATAAAAAATTGTGACCTCTAGAGGGTCCATAACCTTTGTATTACATACTTATACACCATTTGCGTACATAGAGCGGCCATTTTGTCAGGCACTTTCATTTTGAATTTCCTGAAATTCCAATTCAACCTTTATTACGGTGGAATAGTTATATATATAAACCTGTTTTAAAATCGGAAAAAAAATTGTAAACTACCCACAAGCTAACAAGCCAACAGTGAGGCTGATGTCCCCCACCGAAATAAATAGATGACACATATTAATTAATAGCACATTTACTGTTTTCAAAAGTATCAACCATCAAACTATACACTAAGTTTCATCACTCTATATCAAATAGAATCAAGATTATCTTGTCCCAAAGTATCGACAAATGAAATTGATTAGCTCTGCTTAGCTTCAGCTTGAAATGTTAATCATTGAACTCAGTCAAGGAATTCACCTAACGAACATTCAAGTTTGAACATTGTACCTCAATTAAAAGCAGAGTTGTTATGTTCCAAAGTCTTGACCAATCAAATTGCTTATCGCTCCTCAGGCTAAGCAGAAAATTCTCACCATCGAACTTAGTCAAGGTAATGATATAATGAATCTATATTCGGAGTTTATTATAACCAAAGTTATCGTGCCCCAAAGCATCAACCAATCAGATTGCTTATCTCTGTTTACCGTAAGCATACAATGTTCATCATCGAACTCCATCAAGGCATTCACCTAATGAAAGCCTACACCCAAGTTTGAACATTGTAGCTCAATTAGAAGGATAAATTGCTTATCGCTCTGCTTACCCCGAGCAGAAAATGCTCATTATCGAACTCAGTCAAGGTTATTGATGTAATAAAACTATACACCAAGTTTCATCATTCTCACTTACTTAGAACTAAAGTTATCGTGTCCCAAAGCATCAACAGTCTTGACCAATCAAATTGCTTATCGCTCCTTAGCCTAAGCAGAAAATTCTCACCATCGAACTTTGTCAATGTAATGATATAATGAATCTATATTCAGAGTTTCGTTGCTCCCACTTTATTATAACCAAAGTTATCGTGCCCCAAAGCATCAACCAATCAGATTGCTTATCTCTGTTTACCATAAGCATACAATGTTCATCATCGAACTCCATCAAGGCATTCACCTAAAGAAAGCTGTAGACACCAAATTTGAACATTCTAGATCAATTAGAATGAGAGTTATTGTGTTCCAACGCCTCGGCCAATCAAATTGCTTATCACTCTGCTTACCCCAAGCAGAAAATGCTCATTATCGAACTCAGTCAAGGTTATTGATGTAATGAAACTATACACCAAGTTTCATCATTCTCACTTATTTAGAACTAAAGTTATCGTGTCCCAAAGCATCAACCAATCAAATAGCTTATCTCTGCTTACCCTAAGCAGAAAATGCTCATCTTCGAACTCCATCAAGGCATTAACCTAATAAACACCTACACCAAGTTTGAACATTCTAGCTCAATTAGAAGGATAAACTGCTTATCGCTCTGCTTACCTCGAGCAGAAAATGCTCATTATCGAACTCAGTCAAGGTATTGATGTAATGAAACTATACACCATGTTTCATCATTCTCACTTATTTAGAACTAAAGTTATCGTGTCCCAAACCACCAACCAATCAAATTGCTTATCTCTGCTTACCCTAAGCAGAAAATGCTCATCTTCGGACTCCATCACGGCATTGACCTAATAAACACCTACACCAAGTTTGAACATTCTAGCTCAATTAGAAAGAGAGTTATTGAGTCCCTAAAATTGTGACGGATGGACGGACAGACAGACAGACGAACCCATTTTAATAGTCCCCTGCTTTCTTCGAAAGGCGGGGGACAAATATACGATTTTTCGATCAAACAGGGGCCATAATTCAGGAAGTTACGTTCGGATATTTGTGATTATCAAAAGGAACCAAGATCTTAATGATAAAAACATATATTTAAAGTTTCATCCAAATTGGATAAAAACTGTGGTCCACAACCTTGATATACCATATTTTTACACTATTTGCATACAAGGGGCGGCCATTATGTCCGTCAGTTTTTGTCAGATTTTTGTCGAACTCAACCATCATTAGTGTATAACTGTGATATTTTACCCTTTTTTTTTTTTTTTAAATCAAGAGTTAAAATTGTGACATCTATAGGGACCACAAGCTCAAAACATGATTTTTCGTAACATCAAGGGCGATAATTCAGGAAGGTACGATCAGATATGTACGAATATCGACAGCAACCAAGATCTTTGTGTTATAAACATGCATTTCAAGTTTCATTAAAATTGGATCAAAATTGTGACCTCTAGAGGGTCCACAACCTTGATATAACAGCTGTTTACACTATTTGCGTAGAGGGGCTGCTATTTTGTCTGGCAGTTTTCGTCCAATTGTCACGAAATTGAAACTCAACCAAGATTACGGTGTAACGATGATATATTTGAGCGTTTTGTTTGGCGGTTTAGGTCCGATTTTTCATGAAATTCGAACTCAACCATCAATACGGTGTAACGGTGACATATTCAAACGTTTTTTATTAAATCAGATAATAATTGTGACCTCTTGAGGAACCACAAGCTAAAAACGTGATTTTTCGTACAATCAGGGGCCATAATTCAGGAAGTTATGTGATATACGGAATATCGAAAGGAACCAAGATCTTTGGGTTATAAACATGCATTTCAAGTTTCATCAAAATCGGGTTAAAATAGTGACCTCTAGAGAGTCCACAACCTTGATTAACCATATTTTTACACTATGGCGTACAAAGGGCGGCCATTTTGTCCAGCAGTTTTGGTCCGATTTTCACAAAATTCGAACTCAACCATCATTAGGGTGTAACAGTGATATATTCTAACAGTTTTTTAAACTGGATAAAAATTGTTAACTCTAGAGGGACCACAAGCTTAAAACGCAATTTTTCATACGATCAAAGGCCATAATTCTGGAAATTACGATCCGATATGCGCAAATATAGAAAGGAACCGAGATCTTTGGGTTATAAACTTACATTTCAAGTTTCAACAAAATCGGATAAAAATTGTGACCTCTATAGAGTCCACAAGCTAAAAACATGATTTTTCGTACAATCAGGGGCCATAATCCATGAAGTTTCGGTCCGATACATGCCAATATCGAAAGCAACCAAGATCTTTTGGAGATAAATCTATATTTTAAGTTTTGTCAAAAATCGGATAAGAATTGTGACCTGTAGAGTGTTCACAAACAATTGTCGACAGACTTCCGTCTGCATGGACAGGGGCGACAGCAATATACATCCACATGAAAATGTAGGTGAAAAAAATTGTTACCTCTATAGGGTCCAGCAGTTTTGGTCCGATTTTCACAAAATTCGAACTCAACCATCATTAGGGTGTAACAGTGATATATTCAAACAGTTTTTTAAACTGGATAAAAATTGTTAACTCTAGAGGGACCACAAGCTTAAAACGCAATTTTTCATATGATCAAGGGCCATAATTCTGGAAATTACGATCCGATATGTGCAAATATAGAAAGGAACCAAGATCTTTGGGTTATAAACTTACATTTCAAGTTTTAACAAAATCAGATAAAAATTGTGACCTCTATAGGGTCCACAAGCTAAAAACATGATTTTTCGTACAATCAGGGGATATAATTCGTGAAGTGTCAGTCCGATACTACCAATATCGAAAGCAAACAAGATCTTTTGGAGATAAACCTATATTATAAGTTTCGTGAAAATCGGATAAGAATTGTGACCTGTAGAGTGTCCACAAACAATTGTCGATGGACGTCCGTCCGGATGGACAGGGGCGACGGCAATATACATCCACATGAAGTTACGGTCCGATATGTGCCAATATCGAAAGGAACCAAGACCTTGGGGAGATAAACCTATATTCGAAGTTGAGTTGAAATCGGATAAAAATTGTGACCTGTAGAGTGTCCGCAAACAATTGTGGACAGACAGTTTCAGCGAGAAGGCTTTTGAGGTTGCTTTCCCAAAACTCTGGAATAAACTTCTTTATTGCATCTTTTAAACAATTGGGTTTTAAGAGAAAATTTAATGATGATAGAGAAGAACATGACCGACCGGATGGGATAAACTTCTTTATTCCATCTTTCAAACAAGTGGGTTGCAGACAATGTTCACTATCTAATCTAGTCAAGGTATTAATGCAATGAATACATCAGTTTCTATTAGAATCAGAGGTATCAAGTTCCAAAGCATTCACATTATGAACATCTACAAATATTTGAATATTCTACATGTATGTCAATTAGAAGCAGAGTTATTGTGTCCCAAAAGTGTGATGGACAATTAAAAATCAAATGTCAAATTACTTTACGATCTCGGAAACCAATTTTCCGTTTCTTTTTTTTCCCAGTATCTTCATCTGATTCACTAACAGCTGATGAATCTTCACCCTCCACCTCCTGGGTTTTTGTAGCAGCATCAACACCTAACCATTTTTGCAACCGACCAAAACTATAAAGAGAAATACATATCAATCAGTAAGAATTGTTTCTTATATTAAAATCATAAGGTATTTTGAGTCAATGATGAAGCATTCGCCTAGTAGCAACTATGTTGTCTGGGTTATCAAAATGGTTTAGAAATTTAGTTTTCTTCAAACAAATACACTAGGCGTTTTTGTGAGTCGATTAGATTAGGTTTTGATTTGCTAGTACGATTTGGTATGATTTCGATTTGATTAGCTATGGTCCACAAATGTGAAATTTGATAATTACGATTTGGTAAGATGACTGCCATCACAGACACCAATCAGAAAAACAAATGTCTCTGCTAACATGACGAGGGGGGCGTGTGTTTCAAGTGTAGTCCAAGTTACCTACAGAGTACAGTGACACTGCTGGCACCCAGAGGGCCTAATATTGCTTAGAGCCAGAGGTGATCTAACATTCTTGTGGACTATAAAGTTAACATTAAACACATCAAATGCGTTTTAAAAAAACATTTTTTATGGAGAAAAACAACAATAAGCATTAAAAATTACTTACGATGTCGAACATTCCGCCATTTTGAAAACGTCAAATCTAATCGCGTAAACACCTCCTGGGACGATTTGCCTAATCAGTTGAGTTAAATCGTCTCACAAATGTAACGATTAGCATAATCAACTTGGTTCACAAATGCGTATAATAGCTAATCGGTCTAATCTAATCGGTTCACAAAAACACCTAATAAATATACAGCTATAAAAAATTTGGTCATCAACAGCATTCTTGTAATTTTTCAATTTTGCAAAAATACAAAATCATAACATCAACTTGTCCCTAATCAACTTCGGCTAACTATGTTCGGTAATAAATTTCACAAGGGATTTTCCATACAGAAATAACAAAGGGTTTGCAATTCTGTTCTAATTTATGTGTTGCAATGGTAAAAATGCTGAGTTCAAATAATCTGCATTAAAATTCAAATAAGAATTTAACTTACCCATCAAAGAATAACAAAAAAACTAACATAAATGATAGATAATATATATAAATATGAGTTCCAATAGTAAACTTTTCTTTTCTGTGACCAAATCTGACATAATGAGGTCTTCGTGCTAAATATTTTGGTGAGGTTGTAAAGTTGGTCGATAACACTAGTCTGTGACTATTTTCACTATCCAAGATTATCCTATCAAAACCTGATGTTGATATTCTTGGAAATTTGTGGATGTTACCATTGAGTAGGTGAACACCAGATGTACGAGAGATTTTTGAACTGAAAGTCCCTTGTGGTCTTATTACTGCCTCTGAATATTTTCTCAGTCCATTTCTTAAAATAGTTCTGTATCGACTAGCGGCCAACATTTTTCCTCAAGGTTTAATTCACAACACTCTGGAATATAAAGGAGATTAAGATATAATAAAAACAATGTAATAGCATTAGAGTATTCTGTGGAAATGAAATGAAATGGAGTTTAACGTCCTACTGTTCTGCTCCTAACCTGGGCTAATGAAGACGGGCATACGCCATACAGTGTGCTATGAGGGAAATTTTGCCCGGACAGCGGCACTACGGCCTACTTTTATATCGAATTCCAACTGCCAAGGGATCTTTTACGTGCACGCCAATGTGTACACGGGACCTCGGTTTTTCATCCCATCCGAACAACTAGACAGCTTTCCTTGTCAGCCCCTCCGTCCTGCATCACTGACAAGGGAGAACCACGCCGGAAAATCTGGATGAACTTTCTCGGCCAACGCAGGGATCGAACACCCGACCTCCAGGCTAGCGAGCTAGCGTCTTACCCACTTAGCAACGTGATCCCCAGAGTATTCTGTGGAATGGCTTATGAAATTTACTGGTATTGGTAAAGGAAATTACGGCTTGTCCCCATATCCATTCAGTTGATTTGATACGTTTTTGTTTATTGCTTGCAGGTTTGTCTTACGTTTTTTTTCTTTGTGGTGCGCTCCTCCTGCACTTAATATCTGAAACCTGGAAAGTGGAAACCAAATGAAGGAGTAGATTTTTCTATGTAAAAAGATATGTACTGTATTTACGTCTGGTTTTAGCCATTTGTACTGTAGCCATTTATATTCTCAATTTGGTTGCTAAGTACTGTTCATGTCTGAAAATTGGCATTATTATGATACTTTAGACTTGATAGATTTTGCTGTAATAATTTGGAATGCACATTACTTATACGTTTATCTATATATCAATGGAGGAATTTATGAAACTCTACATATAGAAATTTTGAGGAAATCATTGTTTTATAAGTTTAATTCTTTTTTCAATGATTATCAACACCCTTACAGTTAGTAAATCAGTTTACTAATAAATTTACATTGTGATCTAGTTTGATGTAATAATTAATTTGAAATAAAAACAAATAAACTACTGATATATAATCACAGCTTATCAGTTGATATATATAGCTCAAATGGTCATTCCAAAATGGCGAACGCTCTGGTTAACTTTAAATACATTGCTAATACTAAAGGTGGTCAGAATTTAGTAACTGCCGCCTTGATGAAAGAATCGTAGAAGAGAAGAATTTATTAATAACTGGTGCCAAGACCCCCATTGATTACCTCAACACGGTTATGAATTTTGTTGGACTATAAATTGTCATGTTTATCAAACTGTTTATAAATATTTATACTATAAAAAAAATGTATTTATTTATTTATTTATTTACTATGTTGAAGTGTCACAAACTTGTTACAGACTATACTTTAAATCCCCTTAAACCCCCTTTGTTGGTTAATTAGTCATGACCTGGTGGACTTAGACTCTAAACAATAGATGTGGGGAAAGTGAGGTGTCCCCACAGTACAATCTACACCTGTAGGTCACAAGATTTATTTATTACCATAATCCCTTTTGTTTGAATCTCTTTCTCCTCTTAAAAAAGGGAATTTCTCTTAATACCCTTGTTTCATATTCAATCCACTGAGTTACCTTCAAATAACTCAAAAGTATTAATTAACACCAGTAGCTTAATGACTTTGTACCTTTTTATAATCAATTCAGTCACAAAGCAGCATATCCTTCTGATCCTTTAATTATTAACATTAGGATAGGGGGGTTGGGGTGGCCTAGTGGTCTAGAGTGTCACGCTTCGACCTCTAGTTGGCCGGTCACCTCTGGCTTGCGGCTGTGGTTTCGATCCCAGGTGTGAGCGTATGTGGCTTGGAGATAGGGGCGCCTTCTCAACCTCGTGGGTTTACTCCGGGTACTCCGGTTTCCTCCCACAGCAAAGACCCCTGCGCGTGCGCTAAGATCATTAAAATGAACTTGTCTGCGATATCACCTTTGGTGGAAGCGGACGTTAAACGCTAAGAACAACAACACAACAACATAGGAAAATTATCCAAGGAAATTCTTTAATCAATAGCACGTGTAGGCCTATAGTCATCTTTTATCATGTGCAACATCACAGATTACTGTTGTTAGATTGTACTTTTTACAGCATGAAAACAATACTCAAGACAAGGTGTTCAAAACTTTTATGTCTAAAGATGTTTGAAAAAACAACACCCTTTAGCCGCAAAGAGTAGGCTACTACATGTAAGTGCCTCAGGGCTTAAAATAAAATATGAAACTTAATTTTGTAAAATCAATCATCTGTGATTTTAATAGACTGAAGAACTTTTTTATTTTGAGTACCGTATACTAAATTCATGAAGACAAGTTTGTGAACATTCTTGGTTAAAGCACAATGTTGGTGTCAGCCAATATTAAATATGTGCTAGAACTGGTTAATCACATTCCAAATATACTTCTGATAATAATATAGAGATCTTTGCTACGGTAATTCAACTAATTGCGTAAATAAGATTGGAAGAAATGGAAAGTGGCACAAAAAAAGGAAAACCAAGTTATCTGAATATATAACTGACTGAAGACTTAGAGATCTAGGCCTATAACAGATCATAATATATACACGGTTGATTTTCAGCTCAGATAATTCCTTTGAAGACGAAAAGTTGTTATACTACTTAGTACTAGTTATTATTAGAATCCGAAACGACACCTTCCCGAGTCTGAAACGTCGATACCATAGTTTGTTGAGTCTGAAAGTTTGTAAGTCTGAAATGTCGTGGGACCGAAATGTCATGTAATCATTTGATACTTAATTATACTATGTAGAGACAGTAGAGTACCGTGCGAGTGAATTAATCAGCCCGAGAACGAGATGAACCGGCAGTGGATGAAACGACCTTGCTGCTCCCGTTAAATGCACAAATTAGAAATAACCCAGCACAGTATAATGTTATTGACTTTGGGCTGTCGACCTGGCATGACATTCTTTCAATTCTAGTTATGATTAGATTACTATTGCCGTGTTAGTTCGCTTGGAATGAAACTGGTTAGAATAGCAAGTGCTTGCTATTTCTGCGGCCTCTAGGGCCTAGTGCTTGGCTTATTTATATTTATATTAATTAGCCTACGGTCTATTCTATTAATAATATAACTAGTTATTCCAATAATAGGCCCTAATAAATAGTATGTGAAAGTTATACAGGGACATAAAGAAAACTTATGAGAGTTAAATTATGCTGAAATAAATTGCGGTCGTCGCAAATTCCATCTACCTAGATCTATCTCAATGTTTTCATTCTTTCACCTTATCTCCATCACCATATTATTGACGAAAACCGATAGTTTCGTTATTACAGATTTCTATTGGTTCCTGTTAACGGTTGTCCAATCAGATTGTCTAATATATAAACCAGTTAATTCCAACTCTATTTCACGTGAAATCTCGCCGTCATGGTGGAATAAACACACCGGAAGAGTTGTCTGACCAATGTAATCGTTCGTGGATGACTATTTCCCGCGGTTGTGAAAGATTTGGCGGGAGTCATTGTACATCCACAGAGAGAGCGGTGTTGGCTGTCAGAGTGGCTTGGAATCCATCTCCATCGTTATATTTTAGAGTCGCACATCGTCACGATTACCTTGGAACGACCAACTTTTAATTGCTTATAATTTTTATTCCTGAATTTTTAATATCACAATGTTTGAAGCACGTCTAGTTCAAGGTTCTTTATTAAAAAAGATTTTGGAAGCCACTAAAGACTTGTTGACGGAGGCAATATGGGACTGCAACAGCACGGGAATTACTTTACAGGCTATGGACAGTTCTCACGTCAGTTTAGTGTCCTTGCAGATGAGAAGTGATGGGTTCGAGAGTTATAGATGTGATCGAAATTTGGCGTTGGGTATGCCACTAACAAGGTAAACATCTAAACGGATAAATTTGTTTGTTTACATCTTGCTAATAGTAATAATATACGTCAATATCTGGCGCCAAAACTAAACAAATGAATTTCGTATGGTTGTTGACTAATACTTGTTGATTTATAAAGGAACATTTCAGTGAGAAAAAAGACCTTGGTTACCCCAGTGAGAAAATAAAACCTTGCTTATTTTTTATATCGCATCCCACATCCGTTTCATCTCCGGCGGTTCTAAACTTCTATCGTAACCTATTTTTTTTTAATCGGGCGGTTTCATCCCCCTTATTATAATGTATAGAGGAATAAATAAGTTTTACTCGTCGATTTTTGTTGATTACCGATCGCTGTATATTCGTATTTGAATGTTTGTTAATTGGTGTTAATACTGTTATGATTTTTAGGTCAGTTCATTGATGTTTTTGTAGTAGAGTATATTCGTATTGTTAGTTAATTGCTGTTGTGATTTTAGATTAGTTCATGATGTCTAACATCATTTATCTTCTTTATAAAAAGGTATTTTATAATTACATTATATTGACAGTGTAATCACTCGCCAAATTACATCATGGACTCTACGTATTACCCAATAATAAACTAAATTGCACAGGAGCCCCTTTTAAATAAGACAAATTAGATTGACATTATTTCGAAACCAACCATAATTAATTTTAAAACTCATTGATTTAATTTCCGTACACGAAATGCAACTCAACAACTTCAAATATAAGAATTCTGAATATGAATCAATTTAGAATACCAAAATGCGAATTGTAAAGGCATAACACATTTTAACATTGGGTTATTTGAGGCGCCAGTTAGTCTGAAGATATGAAATGAAATGGGGTTTAACGTCCTACTGTTCTGCTCCTAAACTGGGCTAATGAAGACGGTCATACGGTGTGCTATTAGGGAAATTTTGCCCGAACAGCGGTGCTACGGCCTACTCTTGTATCAAATTCCAACTGGCAAGGGATCTTTTACATGCACACCAATTTGTACCTCGTATTTTCGTCTCATCCGAACAACTAGACAGCTGCCCTTGCCAGACCCTCCGTTCTGCATCACTGACAAGGGGAAACCCCGCCGGAAAATCTGGATGAACTTTCTCGACCAATGCAGGGATCGAACACCCGACCTCCAGGCTAGCGAGCCAGCGTCTTATCCACATGATTGCCCATCTGAAGATAACATGTGTTGAAGTAGTGGCTACGTTCAATTTTATTCTTTGATCTGTTCTATCACGGGCAATCCTGTTATAGTGAAACCAACATGCATGAAAATGACTATATTCCAAGATGAAGGTTTTTCTATGAGCATCGCTCTATAGCGGTGAAATTGGGTGTCGAGAATTGGTGTGAATTCGGAAAGTAAGCTAAAGCATGTATGCAAAGGAAGAAGTAGGACACTATTCATGTTAAAATTGCATTTACATACTTTATAAATAAAATATTCGGAAAATAAGCTAAAGCCACTATTCATGATAAAATTGCATTGACATATTGGTATTAATGTAATACCTGTTTTTAAATTTGTGGGATGAAAGGACCGGATATAAGTGGGATGAAAGGACCGTCTAAATTTGGGATGAAACAGCCCAGATGAAACCGCCCGAGATGAACCGGTAGTGGGATGAAACAACCTGCTCCCAGTATGTGCAAAACAATTAACATGCTGTTAAAAATATAGTTTCTTTAGTAACGAATTCTTAGAGCTGGTGCTCTGCTTTGTTACTGATGAATCATACACATAAGTAATATTGAAACCATCTCGGTTCTTGGGCTATTTTGGAATCTTTACCGTCTATATTTCACCGTGATTCTTCTTTGTTCGCCAAAAGGAATCATTTCTTGCCACATCCGACACAAATTTATAATAATCCATCCAATCCATCCATCATGTAGAATTTAGCGAATAAATGACCAAAGATTCTGTCATCACACTATCATGACTGGATATGGATATCGCATGATTTAATTGCCTTTATATTGACCAAAATGTCAACTGACATAAAATCCACTGAATTAAGCCTTGGATTGCAATATTTCATAACTAGTAATTTGTTGGCTGATTTTATGCCTTTTTATATTCTAGCATGTCAAAAATTTTACGGTGTGCCGGCAATGACGATATCATTACAGTCAAGGCAGATGATACAGGAGACAAAGTCACGTTTGTATTTGAATCGCCGCGTAAGTAACTCCCTAATCTAGAACATAGCACTCTTTTCTTTATAAAATTAATGGCCTTGATGTGGCCAAATTCTCCAGTTACTGTCATAATGTAGCCTAGGTAAATCAAAAAGTAATGAATACACTTTGAGCGGATGACCCGATTCATGACACTAAGTTTTGACAACTCTTCAAAATTGTAGTTGCAAGGTGCGTGTGTGGGGAAGGATATTTTATAACATCCAGCATTTAAGACCCATTGTTTTAAAATCAGTACAAGAGCTGTATACTCAAGTCATTGGGTTTTTTTTAAGGCGAGTGATCGCTCTCGAGCACCCTGGTCACGCGAGTGGAGTTTTTTTTCCCCCCCCCCCTCCACTTAAAATGGAAAATCGCTCTCCTTTACGAAGTCATTGGGGGTTTATTATCATTTATCAAACCAGGAATGACCCCATTACATGCAGTTATTGATCTTCAGAACCATTTCCCATACTCACAACTAATCCCTCACCTCAATTTTTAAATCATTCTTATCGAAACTGGGTGAGCGATTTTTTTTTTTTAATTTGTTGATCGAGGGTGAGTTTTTTGGATCTCCTGAAATACGTAAAAAAACAACTGGTTTACTGTTATTTTGACGCCATTAGCTTATTGACAAATGATAAAACAATAAAAAAAAACCTGTGTAGAATCGTCTAAGCAGACGTAAATGACCATCGCTCAATTTGGAGTGTTCACATATTTCAACAAAAATAACTGATGAGAAAATACAGTTACCTTGCTTTAATAATTGAATGTAAGTCACTTTAATAATTCAAATTACATTAATAATATTGTTAATTCCATGTTCACAGTAGTCTCCTTTTATGACTCGTAACTTCAATTGTACCTTTGTCAAATATTTTACTGATTTTATTTCAGAGGGTGAAAAGATGTCAGATTATGAAATGAAGTTGATAGATTTAGATACAGAACATTTGGGCATTCCTGTAGGTATTTTGGGTTGTTAGTAAGATTACATAAGTCAGTACCGGTAAAATGATAACTTTCATCAAAAAATTAAGCATGAAGATATATTCATAATTACCGTATTTATTTAATTATTGGAAAGTGGCCAAGAAATTAATTTTCAATCTTCGAAAAGTCTATAGTGTATATCAAAATGCTTGTAAATTTACTCAGTTCCTATTTGAACTGAACATGGCTGTTTTGACAAGGTACTAGTAATCAATGATCACTCAGAGAAAAACTACTAATACCAATAAGTTTACCCTAGCCATTGGGTAATATATGCCCTAGCCTACTTTCTTTGTGCAACAATTTGAAAGCGAGGGTCACGTAGGCCTATCGCTGAAAGAAATTTCTATTAGGCTACTCTTTTCACCTAGTTAAATCTGAGGGACTTCCTACATCTAGGACTATATTATTTACATGTATGGCCAACTGCAAAATCGACATAGGCCTACTACTAAAGCCGAAAACTAAAATTTTTACTGATTTTTTTTCTCACATGTATTCAAGGGAATCTTACGAAATAAAACATACATAGTTGTGGAATTTATACGTTGTCTCAATTCAGAGATTAGATATTTTCTCAATAAATCCAATGCCGATGCGCACTGAGCAATCATTTGTTGAATGGTGTAATTCGGTTGTATGTATTGGTCGAGACTTTGGAACACAATAACTTTCATTCTAATTGGGTTAAAATGTTCACACTTGTTTTGTTGGTTTACAATTGCCCAGAAGAATATGTTTGATAATTGCATGTATAGCTGAAATCTTCAGGAAAAATCCCTGCAAATTTCAGGTCATTATCATGAATAGTTTTAGAGAACCATTTTTTATAATGTGTATAAAAAGCAGTAAGAAAAAGTGTGATGCTTATTAGATCAATATTATATGTACATTTATGACTTACACCTTCCAAAAATGATTCCTACAAATTTTAGGTTTTCATCATGATATTAAAGGTAAAAAAAAAATAAGCAAAATTGAGAATTGTTTTTTTTGGGGGGTGGGGTGGGCTATAAATCAGCCAGTTCTCATTTATGTTTGAATTATGTAATAACCAACGTTCTTTTTTTGGGGGGGGGGGGGAAAAAATGTGATCAAACTTGTCCGAAAGAGTATGGTACCGTAGCCGATGTACCTTCAATAATCCCTATAAAAATCGGGATGTTTTATTAGAAATCGTTTTAGAGAAGCATTATTTTCAATATGATTGACCTAATCCCATCCCCCCTCATTTCTTTTACCGAAAAATTCCATAATTGCCTTGAAGAATACGTAAATAACCTATTTTTAGTACGGAGCTATGAAAATAATGGTAAATTGTCGTTGAAGAGTGTGAGTAGTCGGGATTATCGCAACATCATTCATAATAGTCAATTTTTGGACCTGACAACCGAAACTACTTAGTTACGTTCGGGTTGCTAGACGGTGGGCTTCGCGGAGTCAAAATTTGACATGCGCATGCGCCGTTGGAGTTCATTAGTTCACGGCCCTACTAGACCCTCCCAATAAGGAAATTTCCGTAAAAAGTACCACTTGCTTTCAGCCGAAGGATGTCGATTTCTAACCGGAAGAATAACAATGCATTTATTTTAGTCTCGCAGTTGAGTGCATATGCTTTCGAGCGATATGTACACAATGGCCGTCACTTGAATGGTTCGGACTTTATTACGAGTAGAAAAAATGTATTTTTTCCGAATTTTCTGTCAAATATAACAGAAAAACAGCACCCCACGACAAGTAATGATCTTATTCACAATAAAAATAAGTTATTTGACAAAAATTATATATTTTCTTGGATAAAGGACACAATAAAGAAGCCAAAAAACCATAAATCTCAAAATCGATTTTTTTTACATTTTTTAATCACTTCGACCCGCGTCTCCCCTTAATGTGTCTGTTTATTTTGGGATTTCGGCAGGAGACATCGGCCTCGCTGTTGGCTTGTTTTTTTAAATAATTAAATACACCAGACGAGTCGTATATATTTCCATTCCAACCACCACTATACAGTGGGCAAATTTCTTCTGTGTAGGTTGTGGAACTTTCTCAGAAATCTTATATGTCAAATCGGTACGGTCACGCTTTGCAGGACAATCCCATATTATGAATTGACTTGAGAAACTCAAACCAAATACCAAGCGCTCTTAAAACAGATTATAAACTCAAACCAAATACCAAGCGCTCTCTTAAAACAGATTATAAAATAATCAAGGTGATCAAAGACAGACATGTTTTATGCTCGCAGACAATTGATTGGTGATTGCTTGTCGGTTAACACCCACTGATTAAGGGCCGTATTATCCAATGTTAATTTGAACACAAATCTTGTGACAGGAAATGAAATGAAATGGGGTTTAACGTCCTATTGTTTTGCTCCGAACTGGGCTAATGAAGACGGGCATACGCCATACAGTGTGCTATGAGGGAAATTTTGCCCGGACAGCGGCACTACGACCTACTCTTATATTGAATTCCAACTGTCAAGGGATCTTTTACGTGCACGCCAATGTGTACACTGGACCTCGGTTTTTCGTCTCATCCGAATGACTAGACAGCTGTCCTTGCCAGGCCCTCCGTCCTGCATCACTGACATGGGGGAACTACGCCGGAAAATCTGGATGAACTTCCTCGGCCAATGCAGGGATCGAACACCCGACCTCAAGGCTAGCGAGCCAGCGCCTTACCCACTTAGCCTTCGTGATCCCCCTTGTGACAGGAACGCTAATTGATGTCATAATTCGGAATATTCAGAATCCGGACTACTCAAAACTTTTGGTTGAAGTAATGAGGAAATAAATCGGGACATGAAAATGATGGATTTCATATAATGTATTCAGAATTTGGAAGCGATTCCACTGTATTTACGAAGGTGTTGATTCGTCACGAATTGGTGGATGCGTTTTAATTTATTTAGATATAATACATCATGATGCTATAAACTAGTGCCGAAGCGGAGGAAAACAAGGGTAGATGGTGTGATGCGTTTTAATTTATTTAGATATAATACATCATAATGCTAGAAACAAGTGCCAAATCGGAGGAAAACAAGCGTAGATGGTGTGAAATTCATTGCTATCAAATTAGTTTATTCCAACTGGGTAACCGTACGACAGAGCAAAATAGAAAGAGTGCAAATGGCTGTTTTTCACATTATTTCTGTGCTTAATTCTTGCATTTAGAAACAAATACTATGTGACGTGGACGCGAGTATTGTGGTCTAAAGTCAATTTACTGAACATCAAGTAAAATTTAGTCCGCTGTCACAAGCAACAGGTAGTTTTACTTGCTACCTGTCAGTAGTAAAAAAACCTTGTCGGCGACAAGTACAGGTGAACATTTTGAGCCTTGCTAAAAGACTAAACACTTAAGTTAAGGCGGCTTAACTTTAAGGAAAAATTGCCTTCTAATATAATTTTATCACAGATTCTGGCTATGACTGATCCTTAACAAAGATGCAGTTCTATCAGTGTAATATCAGCTGACACCAATATTGTCCTTGAAAACTGATAAATATTTTACTCTGTATTAATACATACGAAATAAATAAATCTGGGTTTTATTTGCAGGATACTGAATATAGTTGTGTTGTTAAAATGCCTGCTGCCGAGTTTCAGAGGGTGTGTAGAGATTTGAGTCAAATAGGTGAATCTGTGATCATCACCTGTACTAAAGAAGGGGTTCGCTTTACAGCAAGTGGAGATTTAGGAACTGGTAATTTTATATTCTATATTCCTGAAATTAAGATTTGTTTTCTGTCTTTTTATTTTTAACAAGTTCAAGGGTATTGAGAAAAAAGGCCATAATACACTTCAAGAATTTAACTACTGTAAATTTGACCGAATATGACATTGACCAACAAAATTATGTGGTGGACAGGTTATCAAAATAAACCATGCTCTAAAATTTGTGACTTTCAAAGAGAATTATTGAATTATGTTAATATATTGATTTGTAATTTACAGGAAATATTAAACTTGCACAAAATATAAACACAGATAAAGAAGAAGAATCGGTTGTTGTGGAAATGAGTCAAGGCGTTTGTTTAACATTTGCTTTACGGTATCTTAATTTTTTCACCAAAGCCACACCATTATCTCCTCAAGTTACTCTCTCTATGTCACAAGATGTTCCTTTAGGTAAGTTTTTCGCAAAAATTAAAAAAAAAATTTTTTTAATCTTCTTCATTATCTTCATAAATTTTTATACGCCCACATGGAAATGTGGACGTATATTGCCGTTGCCCCGATCTGTCCTTCAGTCGTCCACAATTTCTTGTGAATGCTTCAACCCCAGAGGTTATCATCTGATCGTTTTAAAAGCAAAGACTTGACACTGCTGTCGGCCTCTGCAGCTATGGCCTCTGACTTTTGGAATCTGGCCTCAGATTCATGACTAATTTGTAACTATCCACGACCATGTATAATCGCCGATATTAGTGCTGGGTATCGATGGTGATTTTTGTCCCCCGCCCTTCGGATTTGTCTGTCCATCACACTTTTTGGGACAGAATAACTCTCCTAATTGAGCTACATGTAGAATGTTCAAACTTGGTGTAGGTGTATATTAGGTCAATGCCTTGATGGAGTTCGAAGATGAGCATTTTCTGCTTAGGGTAAGCCGAGATAAGCAATTTTATTGGTTGATGCTTTGGGACCCGATAACTCTAGTTCTAATCAAGAGTGATGAAACTTGGTGTATAGTTTCATTACATCAATACCTTGACTAAGATCGATAATGAGCATTTTCAGCTCGGGGTAAGCAGAGCAATAAGCAATTTGATTGGTCGAGACGTTGGAACTCTCCATCGAATTGAGGTAGAATGTTCAAACTTGGTGTAGGTGTTCATTATTTCAGTGCCTTGATGATGTTCGAAGATGAGCGTTTTCTTTGTAGGGTAAGCACAGATGAGCAAATTGATTGGTTTATCCTTTGGGACATAATGACTTTAGTTGTAATTAAGTGAGAGTAATGAAATTTGGTGTATAGTTTTATTACATCAATACCTTGTCTAAGTTTGATAAGGAGCATTTTCTGCTCAGGGTAAGCAGAGCGATAAGCAATTTGATTGAGGTAGAAAGTTCAAACTTGGTGTATGCATTTATTAAGTGAGTTCGATGATGAACATTTGATGCTTTGGGGCCCAATAACTTCAGTTTTAATTGAGTGAGGACACTTGGTGTATAGATTCATTATATCATTACCTTGACTAAGTTCAATGATGAGAATTTTGTGCTTAGGCTAAGGAGCTATAAGCAATTTGATTGGTCAAGACTTTGGAACAACTCTGCTTTCAACTGAGGTAGAATGTTTAAACTTGATGTAGATGTTCATTAGTAGGGTGGCCTCAGTGTTGGCTTGTTATACATACAAAACATTGAGTCGACTTAATACGCACGAAGATACGATAACATATATCATTATCAATAGTGCTTTTTTGGCACGTCTAATCGATACTATCAATTTATATCCATATTTTACTCTGCTCTATTGATGTAGTGCTTTCAATAGGGCTACTTGCCCTTGTGAACGCCAAAAGTTGTCATCCGATCTGTATGAAATTTATATTCGTCATTTAAATTAGTAAAAAGAATAATCTTGCCGAATTTATGGCCCTCGTTTCACTTTGTTGAACCTTGTGAATGCTTTAACGCTAAAAGTTATCAGCTGCTCTGTATAAAATTTGTATGCACAACGCCTATTGAATTTCAGCAATTTACAATAATTACTTCTCGAGATATGGCCCTTATTTCACTTTTTTCAACCTTGTTAATGCTCGCTTGATGTAAGTTATCTTCAGATATGTATGAAATTTATATGCATCATTTAAATTTGTGAAACGGAGGTCTATTAAATTTCAGCAATTCCCGTCAATTATTTCTAGAGTTATGGCCCTTGTTTTACTTTGTGAATCTTGTGAACATTTTAATGACAAGTTATCATCTGATTTGTATAAAAGTTATATCAAATTTATATGCATTATTTAAATTAGTAAATTACTTCCAGAGTTAAGGCCCTTGTTTCAGTTTGTAGAACCTCATGAACCCTCAAACGACAAAAATTAAATTCTGATCTATATGAAATTGTATTGTAAATGCTCCCAATTACCTACAAAAGAATAGATATGCAACAACCCTTGTTGACCGCTTGGACGTTGGACAGTTTAACTGCTGTGGGCGTATGTTTCGTTGCCTGGCAACCTATCTTTTACTTTGTGAACCTTGTGAATGTGCAAATAAGAAAAATTATCATCTGATCTGTATGAAATTTATATGTATTTAAATTAGTAAAATGAAAAAACTTGTCAAATTTCAAAATTTTCTGTGAATTATTTCCAAAAGTAATGCCCTTGTTTCAGTTTGTAATACCTTGTGAACCCTGAAATGACAAAAAATTATAATCTGATCTGTATGAAATTGTCTTGTAAAGCTCCCAATTTTAAGAGCTGATATTGTGTTATCATTGTCTAATGGGATAATATGCCTTGACGATTAACCTATAACGTTACTGTTAAGTACCCACAGCGACTTTCATCGACAAAACCGGTTAGCTGAATGCAACATTCCTAGCGTAATGAGACTTGTTTCCCTTATAAACAGAGGACTGTTTTGTTTAATTTCTGTTTCACATTTTCACAGTTAAAAATCCTACAGTTTTCTTCTTGAAAAATGATAATAAAACAGCGATTTTCAAGGCCTACAGAAAAATGTTCTAACCACAGATTACCATTATGACTTAGTTTTTAGTTTTTATGATTTATTGTCTAATTTCTGTTTCACATTTTCACAGTTAAAAATCCTACAGTTTTCTTCTTGAAAAATGATAATAAAACAGCGATTTTCAAGGCCTACAGAAAAATGTTCTAACCACAGATTACCATTATGACTTAGTTTTTAGTTTTTATGATTTATTGTCTAATGGGATAATATGCCTTGACGATTAACCTATAACGTTACTGTTAAGTACCCACAGCGACTTTTATCGACAAAACCGGTTAGCTGAATGCAACATTCCTAGCGTAATGAGACTTGTTTCCCTTATAAACAGAGGACTGTTTTGTTTAATTTCTGTTTCACATTTTCACAGTTAAAAATCCTACAGTTTTCTTCTTGAAAAATGATAATAAAACAGCGATTTTCAAGGCCTACAGAAAAATGTTCTAACCACAGATTACCATTATGACTTAGTTTTTAGTTTTTATGATTTTATGACATCAAACCTCTGGGTCACTTAAGACTTAAAGATACATTATGTAAGATTTAGATAAAGAACTAGCCATTCTTGTTATAATAGTTCGAAAGTAGATGATGTAAAATGAATAATTTGAAAATATCATTCAAGCGAAGATATTAGCCTTTGAAGGTTTGACAGACGTGTGCAATAATTTCAACCACCGTACTGGTTGATCGAAGCTAAGTCTCGGTCCTCCATATTTGATTAAATCAAAGTATCGCTGAACCATTCTAATCTATTTAATATTGGAGAAATCTGATGCCATAATTAATACTTTAGAAAACATTTCAGGCCTAAAGAAAGACCTGCAATAGGCAGATTTAGGTCTTGCATAATGCATGTTTAAAAAAAAATATATAGATATAAAATTATGATCAAGATTCATCATGTTAATTGTTTAGGTAATGATTTTATTTTTGCTGATTCTAATTTTGTATATTTCTCTTTCAGTTGTTGAATATAAAATTGGTGACATGGGCCATTTACGCTACTATCTTGCTCCCAAGATTGAAGAAGATAATAACGATAGTTAAAGAATTGTTGCTGTAAATTGTGCTAATATGTATTATACTATAGTGTCCTTGTATAAATTGTTTTTATGTGATAAATATACTAAACCATGAAATCATCCCTCTAAACATGTGCATCAGAATTTACTTGAATAAATCTGGTTAACCATCTTTTAGTTGATACTTCGGCATTCATGCTACTTGAAAAGGGAACTGAGAATATCTGGGCTAATTAATATAGGCATAGACCAAACCGTGGGCTTATCAGGGAAATTTGGGAGCCTACTCTTTTTCTTTGAGTTTTACCTGCATGCTGTTTCTGAACAGCCTGTGTTTACCGAACGATGAAAATAACTGAGGTCCCATAAAATTTTATGGCAAATCTTCCTGGAATGAGCAGGTTTTTCATTGTTGATTTATGACCAACCAACTTCCGACAATTACTGCCAGAGTTATGACCCTGGACCACTTTCAAATATTTTGTTGAAGATCTAGAGACTAAAGTTAATATTTGATTGACTTTGAATTTATACACAGCGTATATGGTCATGAAATGAAGACCCCTGTTGATTTTCAACCATTTCCAATAATTACTGCCAGAGTTATGACCCTTGATCAGTTTGAAAATCTTGTGAATTCTCTAGAGGCTAAGGTTAATATCCGATTGACTTTAAATTTATACATTTGAAATATCCTGTGGACGCTCTAGATGCTAAAGTTAATCTTCGATTGACTTTGAAATTGTACAGTGTTTAAGGTCATGAGACGAAGAAGCCTAATGATTTTCAACTAATTCTGATAATTACTGCCAGAGGTATGGACCTTGACCTCTTTGGAAAATCGTGTTTAAATTTAAGTCTGTCAATTTTCAACCATTTCCAATGATTATGGAAATTGATATTAAATGATTGAAGCCAAATGGGTTGTTACTTGTAATCTGATTTTAGTGTGTTGTAAATGTTTTCATTTCCGACAAAATAAAAATATGCGACAACCCTTGTTGACATCCGGATGACTTTGCTGCGGTGGGCATATGTTTCGTTGCCTGGAAACCTAACTTATCTGATTTTGACGAAACTTGAAGTTAGTTGGCATATCAGATTGTAACTTGCTGAATTATGACCCCTGATTGTACGAAAAATCACCAATTTAACTTGTGGTCCCTCGTGCGCATATGGTATATCAAGATTGTGGACCCTGTAGAGTTCCCAATTTTAATCCGATTTTGATTGTCACAAAGATCTTGGTTCTTTTCGCTATTTGCCCATTTCGGACCGTAGCTTCCTGGATTATTGCCCCTGATTGTACAAAAAATCGTGTTTTTAGCTTTCTGGATTCTCTAAAGGTAACTATTTTTTATCCGATTTTGAAAATCGTTTAAATATATCGCCATTCCACCATAATGAAATTTGAATTTCAGGGAAAATCGAAATTAATTTGCCCGACAAAATGACCGCTCTTTGTAGGCAAATTGTGTAGAAGTATGTAATATGAAGATATTGATGAAACTTGAGATGTTTGTCCTAAAGATTTTTAAGCCCCTTTAGATATTTGTGCACTTCAGACCACAACTTTCTGAATTATGGTCCTATTGTTGAAACATCGATTACTCATCTATCGTAGCAATGATCTGTGATAAAATAATATTTGGAACCAAACTGCACGCAGCGATCCATCTACCTGTTCTCAGGCGGAGCTAGCTGTAGACAGGCAGCCTAAGTTAAGGATGATTTGGAAGGTGTTGAACCAGTTCTATCACATGTGATAATGACTGGCACCAATATTGTCCTTTAAGTGAGATTGATGAAACATGGTGTATAGTTCCATTACATGAGCATTTTTTGCTCAGGGTAGGCAGAGCGATAAGCAATTTGATTGGCCAAGACTTTGGAACACAATAACTCTCCTAATTGAGCTAGAATGTTCAAACTTGGTGTAGGTGTTTATTAGGTCAATGCCTTGATGGAGTTCTTTCCGACGTGGTTTCCCCTTGTCAGGGCTGAATGGAGGGCGTGACAAGGGCAGCTGTCTAGTCCTTCAGATGGATCGGAAAACCGAGGCCCCCGTGTATACATTGGAATGCACATAAAAGATCCCTTCGCAGTTGGAATTCGATATGAGTAGGTGATAGTGCTGCTGCCCGGGCCAAATTTCCCTTATAGCACACTGTATGGCATATGCCCGTCTTCATTAGCCCCGTATAGGAGTAGGACGTTAAATTTCATTTCTAATGGAGTTCGAACATGAGCATTTTCTGCTTAGAGTAAGCAGAGATAAGCAATTTGATTGATTGATGCTTTGGGACATGATAACTTTAGTTCTAATTAAGTGAGATTGATGAAACCTGGTGTATAGTTTCATTACATCAATACCTTGACTAAGTTCAATCATGAGCATTTTCTGCGCAGGCTAAGCAGAGCGATAAGCAATTTGATTGGTCGAGACCTTGGAACACAATAACTCTCCTTCTAATTGAGCTAGAATGTTCAAACTTGGTGTAGGTGTTTATTAGGTCAATGCCTTGATGGAGTTCGATGATGAACATTGTATGCTTATGGTAAGCATAGATAAGCAATCTGATTAGTTGATGCTTTGGGGCATGATAACTTTGTTTATAATGAAGTGAGAGCGATGAAACTCCGAATATAGATTCATTATATCATTACCTTGACTAAGTTCGATGGTGAGAATTTTCTGCTTAGACTAAGGAGCAATAAGCAATTTGATTGGCCAAGACTTTGGAACATAACTCTGCTTTTATGTGAGGTAGAATGTTTAAACTTGATGTAGATGTTCATTAGGTGAATGTCTTGACTGAGTTCAATGATTAACATTTCGAGCTGAAGCTAAGCAGAGCTTATCAGTTTCATAATCTTGATTCTATTTGATAGAGAGTGATGAAACTTAGTGTTTAGTTTAATTGCTCAATACTTTTGAAAATAATAAATGTGCTATTAATTAATATGTGTCATCTAATTATTTTGGGATTTCGGCGGGGGACATCAGCCTCACTGTTTGCTTGTATACAGTTTTTATTCCAGAGCATATCTGATAAACTGTTCAAGATATCTTTGTAAAACTTTGTACAAACATCAACCTATTATTGCGGTAGTTGCGATTTTGCTGACTAGACATTTTCGGGTTTAATAATTTTGTATTTCCATGAAACAAATTTTACTTTGATGGTGGCGGTAATTTGTAATTGCTCAATTCATGTCGACTGTATAATATAAATCACCCAAGGCAATGAGACAGCTGGTGTTCGTCTCTATCCGCTGTTCATTTACAATAAATATCTAAGTCTGTTGGTTGTTTAAGTCTCTACCTGTTTTCACAACTGCTAGCTCCCTGCATAGGCTTGATGGATGTTAGTGAGGGCAGATCTGAAATGCCCAAAAATATTCCAGTTTACAGATGGCGGTGCTGGTCGTTAGCTTACTGTGTTGGAGCCTCCCCAGGAAAGTTTGAAAAACTGGATGGCGGCAAACGCGTTTTCCAGCCTGTGAATACAACAACTTCAGTGTGGTCCAATATAGCCTAGACTTGAATTCCAAACAGCCAATCAATCGTTTAGTCCACCGAATTGCCCACCCCAAGAAAATTTATCTGCTGTAGATATGTTGTCTGCTATTCCAGCCTGAGTCGACCAATTTAAAGTTTCTAATGTTTCGCAACCGAAGTCCCACCCTATGCTGACCTGCTTTCCAATCATCCATTCAGACTGTTGGAGCTGCATTCACTAATAGTGAGCAAAAAGCTGTGTGACTCCAGACAAAATGTTTTAATCCATTGTCAATTCAGTAAAAATTTGGTATTAAAAGAAAAGCAAAATTAGTGACAGTGTTATATCAGATTTCGGGCACTTCATTTTGCCAAGTAAATGATATTTTGCCAAGGATATTGGCTCCAGACAAAATGTTTAAACCAGTCAATTCAGTACAAATTAGCAGTATTAAATAAACAGAAAAGTAAAATTTTAGTGTTCTATTAGACTTTGTGCACTTCAGGTTATATCATAATTATTTACACCACATTACCCGAAAAGTCAGATTGCCCAAGGTTAGGGGATGGCTTGTACGTCTATGTGCATACGCTATGCGATGCAATCGAGGAAACGGCTAGCTGGCGGGCTGTCAGTTTGTAATACCTGTTACCTATTTGTCCATGGGTGTTTTTTTTAGGCAATCCAGTATTTTTAAAATAAGACTGCATGTCCCTACTTTCCATATAGGGTACACCAAAATTGACTAATTTTATTGGAAATAGGAATGCATCTTTAAATAATATAAAACAGAAAAAGAACAACATGAAACTTTATTAGATTAACAAATAATTTATTTGGGATTCGAATCTTTAAGTTTGTCAGCATCTCTTTGGCTAATTTTTATTCTTTCAATATTGTCAAAATATCTCATTTCACCCTCCCATGTTTTAAAGAGCTGAACATTGCCTTTCTTTGTAAGATTAGGCACTTCTAAACCAGTGGAAATAAATTCATTATTTTCTCTATCCTGGGAAAATTTTATTGAGTCAATTCTTGAGGCATGTTGTGGTTTAGAATTTGCACGGCAGCCGATAGAATTCACTATAGCAATTTGTTCCAGTTCTTCTTCAAAACGTCTCATGTACTTCAAAACTAACTCTGTTAATTCACGCTTAGAAAACACGTCTTTTGTTTCATCCATGTGGGCTTGAAACCACAGATATTTATCCAAAATTGTGTCTTTCTTCAATGATTTTTGCTGTCTGCTCCCATCAACTCGTGCTTTGTGGCTTTTATCTCTCGTAATAATACCAGCTTTTCTGCTGTTTGGGTGAATGGGTTTCTTATTATCGGATAACTTTGCCTTTGGAGCCTTTGGCATCTTGTTTTTTTTCTAAATTTACCACTGTAATTATTATGTTCCTGTTACTATTTTAAAAACAAAATAAACGTTATTATAAATTATAGACTATAGAGTACTTCATAAACACAGTGCACCGGATGTTTGTCCCTAACGTAAAATGTCCAATCATGGCAAAGGATTTTATTTGCTGCTCATCTGAAGTCCATGTGGAAGTCTTTTCCGGTAACTTGACTTTGCTCAGATGTTTAGAAAGTAGTTCCAAAATGCAAGCGTCAAAACGATTGATAACCCAAACAATGCATATGAATGTTAGCAGCTACTGTAGAAGGTAAAGGAGAAATGTCAAATAACGTTTCATTCTCTCCCCTGTAAATAGCCGTGCTGGTGGTATCTTTCTAGATAAGGCACCTCATCTCTCAAGACTTAACCCTCCGTGTTTCGAGATAAAGAGAGATCTATAGTTTCTTCTTGCAAAGCCCAACGCTAATCACATCGGGGTTTAAATAAGCAAAATTGACAATTTTTTCTTCAAAATAGCGATTGATTATTGTTATTTATAACATTTCTGCTCGTACCCGTAGCCAGCTCGTAAAATTTGGTGGGCACGAGTCGGATGCTATAGGCTGGCAGGAATACGCAAGACGAGAGGATCGAGCCACGAGTACGTGAGTGTGATGAGCGAGTACACGTGTTAGGTGACAGTAGACCAACACGCCTCTCATTAGCATACTCCTCGCAGTGTTTTGTTTGATTAGAGCTAATCCCACTACTCACTGTTGTAAAGAAGGCAAATTCTTGTTCTAAATTATGACTGGTCAATAGTCCGATTAACAACCAATAGCTAACTGTGTAACGATACCAAACAGAGCTCCAAATTAGACTAAATATGTTTACATAACGTTACGTCATGACTCACGATTTTATTATGCCCAATTAACCAGTACATAGCAGAATATTGCAGAAAAACTAATTGTGTGACAAATAAGCCTATCAGCACAGATATAATGTAAACAATACTGTTTTGAGTCGAACAATACTTAACCGTTTTTAATACATTAAATCACTGCCAAAGTTTTAGGAAAGGCCCCTCATTAAAAGAAGGGCTGTCATGTTGCTGTGCTTGAGGATAGATTAGATTGAACGGGAAGAATAGACACACTTCCTCAAAAGTGCAAATATCAGAAGCTAATCCAGCAATGGCCAGAGAGGGATTTCTCAGGCCATTGCTTCAGGAATATGCACATTAGTTATGTACAACGCACGTATGTAGTAGTTATTAGCACACTTTCCGAGGTGTATCAGTGAATATCAGGACAGTTTTGGTCGAGGGGCCCAGCCCAACCGAAGAGTGACAAATACTTTCTGCTCTTTCATTATTTATCCCTTTCTGAGCCTCACGTTACATTTCATGGTAGAATGATTTCGCAGTGGAGAGACGACTTGAGTAGTATTTACACGTGCGTCTTGCTATGATACTCTGAGCGTAAAACAGTCACGTGTTTCTTTAGACCACATCGTCAAAACAACTTGTCTATGGCATAGGGGACTGCGATATTATTAAATGTAGTGTAAAGGAAATGCGAAACGTGGGTCATTCCTGGTGAAAGTATGCATCGGTGGATGGTTCTTCCGTTGAAATTTATTTGTAATAAAGTTTATGACTTTCTAGGCGTTTTTTTAATCCTGCTTATTTTCAATGCCTGTGAAGTGTCCAGCAAGAGAACTGCGCCTTCTATCATCACAATTAATTAAAATAATTATTCAATATTCTAATTTATATATTTTGCATATTAATATAAATCAAACCAAATTATGAAATAGATGCCAATTGATATGTATAATAATTGATTTTTATACGCCCACATTTTCATGTGGACGTATTATGCCGTCGCCCCTGTCCGTCTGTCCGTCCGTCCGTCGTGGACTCTCTACAAGTCACAATTCTTATCCAATTTTGACGAAACTTGAAATATAGGTTTATCCCCAAAAGATCTCCGCTGCTTTCGATATTGGCATGTATCGGACCGAAACTTCATGGATTATGGCCCCTGTTTGTACGAAAAATCACGTTTTTAGCTTGTGGAACCTATAGAGGTCACAATTTTTATCCGATTTTGTTGAAACTTGAAATGTAAGTTTATAACACAAAGATCTCAGTTCCTTTCGATATTCGTGCATATCGAATTGTAATTTCGTAAATTATGGCCCTTGATTGTAGGAAAAATCACTTTCTTGTTAGATTGTTCTCTGTCCATCTCTCGAAAATGTGGGCGTATCCTGCCTAGCAGCCGCTGGTTGTAATATGTTGTTATGTTAATTTAATGTCATTGTATATGTTTTTGAACTGCCATGTAGTTCCCCCCATTTTGTTTGGTTACTATGATTTTGACTAGTTGTTTCATGTACATTGTATAGAGGCATGTTATCAATTGCGATCTGGGTCGTCGGAACGCTACTTATTGCTTGATAGGTATCTAAAAGGGTATAAAAGTATCCCTGTATCAGAAATGAACAGTACTCTTTCTGTACATTTCTGATACACGAATACTTTTATGCATGTATTGCAAATAAACAGGACAGTTTTATCAAAGGTTGTCAGTGGCAACGAGTAGAAGTGGGATGTAAGGTATCAAGACAAGAGGATCAGGAGGTGATGATGACAGGCAGGCCTCGGACCATGCTACAAGCCTACGGGTCGCCTACCTATTTGAACGCTCCTAAAAAAAATCATTATTGTCGGCGAAATATTTGGGGGGGCTAATTCAATTTTCGGGGAGGGGGGGGCTTAACATCCCATAGCCACCCCGTGGCTACGGGCCCGTTTCTGCTACATATCCAGTTACAATTAAGCGTCTGATCCAGGTACAAATACCCTATATTAGACGTCTTTAACACATAAAGGCGGGGCCTCATGGACAAAAGCCAATCAAAGTACTAACCTTATCCGAGTTGCGCAGGAGTAGTAACTACATCGTAATTGTTAATCTCCGTATCAATTTTGATAAAAACAACGCTTGATTTACTTTATTGACAATATTTGCTGATAAATGAAAGTTATTTCAGTAGATTGGGCTGCGTATGTGTAATGAGTTCTAATAGTATAAACTTAACTTATTTTTATGATGTTACATGCATTAATAATAATAAAGAAATTAAATTTGCCAGGTGAAACTAAAGGCACCCAATCTAGCTAAAAAGAAGCATGTCAGTATATCTCAACGTTTTTAGCTACGTTCTCGTAGCTAGTATCTTTCTAGTATCTTTCAACTCGTTATTAAATTAAGTTGAAACCAGAAGCTAAAAAATTAACCAATATCTATAGGTGTCACTAGACTCCCTATAGGTTACAATCACAGGATATGAACGTCTACCATGCCCATATCGGACCAGCGACATTTCAGACTGACGACATATCGGACTAAAAAAAAAAATGTCCTCTCAATGTTTCGGACTCCGGTAGGCGACGTTTCGGACTTGGAAATAAGTTGAAAGGAAAGTTTAATAAATGTATCTTTTCTCCTTGCATCTTGCCCAGTGTCTATAATTTTCAAATCTTGTACCTTATCAATATGGCATGGACACCCCAACTTTGAGAGCACCCATTTCACACAATGTCTTTATGAGCAAGACTTATGAGATATTTTGAGAAGTTATATTTATAGCACAGTTTTCATGAGTTAACAGGTTTAACCAGAGTGACACCACAGTAAATACAGTGGTGGCTGGAATGGAAATGCACAAGGCTCGTTGCCTGGTGTATTTAATCATTTAAAAAGTTTAAACCAATTTCCATAAAGGCTATGAATAATTTATAAGAAAATTTGACAAAATCAAATAATTAGGTCGGAAAAATATTTCATATATACTCTTCAAAAAAAGTAGGGGATATTCAGAAACAATACAAAACTGCGGAAATGCACTGCTGTTTTTATTAGAGGTAACCTGTGTATGTTAATAACAGGCCAATTGCCTACACCTGAACATAAACAGTTCATATGGGTGGCTTATCTGACGGACCCATTTCACTCGCAAAGAAATAGACCGTCAAAAGTGAAAATGAATGTTTTTGATTTTTGTCTTAATAATGAGTAATTGCTCCACCAGTCCTCAGACATTCAGCAATTTGTCATGGCATGCTCGTAATCAACCGTCAAATCATGATTTGGGGCAATCTGACCCACTCCTCTTGCAGTGCCACGGCCACTAAAGATACGCTAAACAGTAAATCTTATGCAAGAACCGATAGGAAAGCAAACATGGATAGATAAACCAGCACGCGGCAGTTTTCATCAACCCTTCCTTGTGTCAAATTTGACAATGAACCCCTCCCACGTGTATGGCGCTATTGTGCGTTGAATGTGCAGCTCAGTGGTTCTGTTGGCGATAAGTTCTTCATCTGTGAACATACTCTCAAAGCATGTCAAATGTCCATGACTATTTATCATATTATCGCAATCTGCATAGGTATTTGCATTTCAATATCCCCTATTTTTTTTGAAGAGTATATAAATATAATTTGTAGCGTAAACATAGAGGTTTATATAAGTTAGCTACAAGAACATAGCTAAAAACGTTGAGATATACTGATGTGCTGGTTTTTAGCTATGATTGGGTGCCTTTAGTTCCAAGTGGCAAACTCAGTTTTTTTATTAATGCATGTAACATCTTAAAAATAAGATAATTTATACTATTAGGACCAATTAAACTTACAGAGGCCAATGTAGTGGCACAACTATCGCCTAACTCCAAATACTTGTGTTAAAATTAATGAAGCGTTGTTTTTATCCGACATACACCGTCATACATCTCCCATTTAAAAATGCCTCGATTTTAAATACGATGGTTTATACCCGTATCAGGTAGGATAATATGCTTAACTGTAGTTGGGTGTGGCAGAAATATTATAAATAACAATAATCGTTTGGATGAAAAATATTGTCAATTTTGCTTACTTAGGCCTGATGTGATTTGCGTTGAGCTTGCTGCGTGGAACTATATAGCACCATCTCTTATCTCGAAACATGGAGGGTTGAGAGGTGAGGTTTGTTATCTATATATTATAAGTGAGCGTAAATATAGACAGGGTATGTGAGAAAGGAATTCCATGGGGCGTTGCCTGTCCTCTGCATGCAGTATATGTAAAAACAGTTCCATGCACAGGTGTGATTCGTGTTTTAATATTCAATTTATTACGGATAATTTAGAATCTGAATTCTACACCTCAATATCGAAGTATTCAAGTAAGCATGCAAGTTTGGTACCATGATAATTGGCTGAATTCATGTGGATACGGATGAGAGAATTGCACGAATCTTCGAGTCGGTGAGCCAAAGCAGATTTGTGGACTTTCAAGAATTTTTAGGCATTCCGATGTTGAAGAAATAAAAATGTTTCATATTACGATATTTATATGGAGCAATGTACATAAAGACCTAAATACTTTTAAGAGTGTTTGTGTACCTACATGTATGGATATGTGGGATGTAATTAGTCTTTGATAATTGAGAGTACCGGTAATAGGTTAGTCACTGAAGCGACAGGTATGAAGAAAAGAGGCGTTAATATGTTCAAAATGACTAAATCAAACTTCGTTAGGAAGGTGGCCAAAATATATATCACTGTACCATATTCTTATTAAATAACAAATATATAATTGATCGTATTATACGATTATATTTTAATTTTATGTCAATTTTATTACATAAAATCTTATGGAGTAATACGTGATTATCTGATTGTTCCGATGAGGGTACTTTTATGGAAACCTAAGTACCAAAGCATATTTTTGTCCCCTTGGGCAGACCTAGTCTGGCTGCCCGATAATCTTAAACCATTTTTATTCCCACAAAGCAAAATTGTCTCTATACATATGTGCGTGTGCAAATGAAGACGCGTACGTACATACGTATGCTACTGGTATGTAACATCTGTAGTTATTTTGAATTTTTCTTCAGAATTGCCGCAAGATTACAGACCACAGCAGTAAAACATTTATACCAGTCAAGGGCATATAGTGCAGAAACAATTTCAGCTCCAAATGTAGAAGGCATGGAAAAGCATTATCAACCAAAAATAGTAAAATTAGTAGAAGATATTGGACAGCTAAATCTTTTAGAAGTAGCAGATTTAAATGAATTATTAAAAGTTAGTTGCATTTCACATCATTGCATTGAAACAACTTTAAGGATGCTTTTTTTTAAATTATGAGATAAAATGGAAAACAAAGCTTAAGTATACATTGTGCAAAAGCTAGATTTTGGCTATTGCAAGTCTCTTTTGGCTTTAAATGTTACATAAATTATTATTTAGACATTTATTTGTTTATTATCAGGGCAATAGTACTCAACAATCAGCTAATTCTTGTCAAAACTTCAAACACTCGTACCTTTTTTCAGAATAAAGTAATTTGACGGAAATTTTCAATATATTCATTTTTCATTATCAATTTTTGAACTATTATAGCAAGAAAGGCCAGCTCTTTATCATAGGGATTAGTTTAAGATAACATTTTTTATTATTTTAAAGAATTAGATATCAGTTGACAATACATTAAATAAATGTAGACAATTATTTTAGGTCTGAGAACAACAATTTATTTATAACCCTTTTTCTTCAGAAAACTTTAAATATTCAAGATGCACCAATGATGGCTATGGGCATGGCGGCTGCAGCACCAAAGGTATTTAATTAATTACTAAAATTAAAGAATTTTAAGGTTAAATTTATTTTGACCTTTAAAAAACATTTTTTTATCCCCCGCCTTTCGAAGAAAGCAGGGGACTATTAAAATGGGTTTGTCTGTCCGTCACACTTTTTGGGACACAATAACTTTCCTTCTAATTGAGCTAGAATGTTCAAACTTGGTGTAGGTGTTTATTAGGTGCATGCGTTGGATGAGTTCGAAGATGAGCATTTTCTCCTTAGGGTAAGTCGAGATAATCCATTTGATTGGTTGATGTTTTGGGACACAATAACTTTAGTTCTAATTAAGTGAGAGTTATGAAATTTGGTGTATAGTTTCATTACATCTATACCTTAACTAAGTTCGGTAATGAGCATTTTCTGCTTATGGTAAGCAGAGATAAGCAATTTGATTGGTGCTTTGGGACACGATAACTGTGGTACTAATTAAGTGAGAGTGAGGAGACTTGGTGTATAGTTTCATCAGATCAATACCTTGACTAAGTTTGATTATGAGAGCATTTTCGGCTCAGGGTAAGCAAAGGGATAAGCAATTTGATTGGTCGAGACTTTGGAGCTTGATAACTTAGATTCTAATTGAGTGATAGTGGTGAAACTTCGTGTATAGTTTTATTACATCATTTCCTTAACAAGGTTCGATGCTGAGCATTTTCTGCATAGGTAAAGTAGAGACTTCAATCTGATTGGTTGAGACTTTGGAACACAATAACTCGGCTTTTACTAATAATTGAGGTAGAATGTTCAAAATTGGTGTAGATGTCTATTACGTGGATGCCTTGACATGTACATGTGCATTTTACACTTTCTAAGCAGAGATGAGCAGTTTGATTGAGACTTTGGAACAAGATAACTTGACTTGGCTCTAATCAGGTGATAGTGATGACATTTTGAGAATAGATTCATTATATCAATACATTGACTGAGTTCGATGATGCAAATTTTCTGTTTAGGCTTAGTAGCGATAAGCAATTTGATTGGTCAAGACTTTGGAACATACCTATTGAAGTATAAATGTTCATTAGGCGAATGTCTTGACTGAGTTCAATGATTAATATTTCCCATTAAAGCTATGCAAAGGTAAGCTTTTTTGGGGGTTGATACTTTGGAACAAGATAACTTTGATTCTAACTGATGGAGAGTGATGAAACTTCACACTTTACCAGGTACTTCAAAACCTGAGTTCGATAGTAAACATTTTAAGCTTAGACTAAGCATAGATAATCAGTTTGATTACTCGATACTTTTGAAAAAGAGAAATGTGCAATTAATTAATGTGTCAAATGTTTTTTGGGGGGATTTCGGCGGGGGACATCAGCCTCACTGTTGGCTTATTAAAAGTAGGTTTGAGTTACCAGTACTATTAATATCAGTAATTTGTCAATACCATCTTATGTATTCTTATAGATTGTGAGTAATTAACAGCACATATAGAAAAAAATAGGAGGTAGATAAAAAGCATATTGCTTATAGTATGAATTTCTTTGTTCATTGTTTATGGCACAGTTTATATTGATTCGTATTTTGAAACAATCTAAGGATGTTAATAATTTATTGCATATTAACATGTTATTTATGTACTGTCCTGCCCCCCTGTTTATTTATATGGTAACCTTGTTTCCTGTGAAACTTGGGCGTCTATAATGATGTAGGTATTGACTGTGATCTAGGATAGTGAAAACAGTTGTGAGTTTTCTATTTATTTCGCTTTAAGACCCTTAAATATAGTTGCAGTTATGATATAGTATAATTGATATGCCTATTCCAGGAAGATGAAGAAGACATTATGCCTGTAAAAGAGAAAGTTATATTTTCTGTCAAGTTGACAAAATATGAAGATAGTAAAAAGATTCAGTTAATTAAAGCTGTTAAAGGATTAATACCTGATTTGAATTTAGTTCAGGTAATATAATGTAATGATAAAACACTTCTTATGTAGCTTGAAAATATTTACTGGTAATAAAGTCCTATGGAAGGCAGTTTTAACCTAAACGCTGTACTTGAGTCAGATATAAGCCAAAGAAAACTGTGAACTGAGTGTAAAACAGTTGAAAAAGGTCTTTTCATCCAAGGGAGACCACTGCTAGTACTGAGGCCATGGGAGATGTACTGAACTAGTTAGGCTGCGCAAACAAATATTCTGGTTCTCCGATACCGCCTCATCATTAAAAATCGGCCGCTCGTTCATATTTCCAGCGATCAAGGGAAGTAACTCTATTCAGCGTTTCTTGAAAAGAGGAACTGAACACTAGACTCGGCTATCATTATCAAATATATTACCATGGGAAACGCTTTTGACAATCACAAACGGCACTGGATAATCAAGTGTTAATTTTTTATTCTGTAATGATCACTGTCAATCTGTCGCCAAAACAAAAACCGGTGGATTTGAAAACATTTTCCCAGGAGTTAATCTAGATGAAGTCACAAAATGAAAAAAATAATGAGATTTTGACAAAATACCCCCCCCCCCCTCTTATTTTCATTTGATACATATATTAGAATTGTTTAGTTTTAGCTTTAAGAGATCTACAGTTTTAGCTAACATTTATAGCAATGCTATACTATCTAATCATGTCAGTCATGCATAGCGGTATTATGATAAGTGGACATGATTAAAATGGTCATTCCCTTGTCTCTCAATATAATACCCCAATCCATTCAAATAGCTAATCATGACAGTCATACATAGCGTTATTATGATCACTCAGTGGGTATGATCTGATCAAAATGGTCATTCTCTCATCTCTCCATATTACACTCCCCAATGGACAATAAGGCATCATTCAGTTCCTTATTTGTACCAGTTATAATGGTTTTGTGTATATCATTCAGTTTACATGATAGGTTCTCTGAAAACTGAACAGGGTAACCCCCAGTTCCATGAAATATGAACTTAAATTTGAAATACCCAACATGAACCATCTAAACAAGACTGTTGTAGATATTGCTAAAATATATATCACATCCAACTTGTAATACTTTAATTTCAGGCAAAGAAGTTTGTGGAGTCTATTCCTCAGGTTGTTAAAGCTGATCTTCCAAAAGATGAAGCAGAACAATTAAAAGCAGCATTAGAAGCAGCAGGGGGAGTAGCAGAAATCGAATAAAATAATAAGAGTGTAGAAAAACAATAACGAAAACATTTTGTGTGGATGACACAAACTATTTTTAGCCACAAACATTGAGTAGTGATAACACAGAAATAAGAATAACGAAGAGTGTTTTTTGTTTAAAAGATACATTATTCAAGTGCTAAATTTGCCTATTGCAGGTCTTTCATTAGGCCTTAAATGTTATATAAATTATTAATTAGACATTTATTAACATGACGAAATCAACTCGAGATGCCATCAGATACTTGAGATTTTAACTAGATTAGAACGGTTCGGCCATTTTATGATTTAATTTTAAAATGGAGAAGCGAGGCTAAGCCTCAAATATACCAGTACCATGGTTACGATAATACACAATCAATGCACACATCTTGTCAAAACTACAAACAGTGATAACCTAGCTCAGAATAAAGTAATTTGAATGAAATTTTCAATATAATTTTATTCATTATCTATTTTTTAACTTTTGTAGCAAGAAAGGCCTGCTCTTTATCTAAATCTTACATAATGTATCTTTAAGCGATATAGTTACAAGCAATGCTGACTGAGTCATTACATATGTGCATATTAACTACACAGGGAATGCTTCCTAATGTTTGGAGCCATTGGGTCATTCTTTGTTTTAGTTTACCATAAAACACAAAATCTTTGTTCATTTACGAGCACAACAAACATTTATATGGAATACAATCACTGGTTCTTATACATATACATGTAGCTCAATGTTTCGACAAGTATTCTCTTATAGTTTTCATCCTTCGAAATGTTGCGCCATATGTGGGTGCGTGTGTGTGTATGTATATATACACATGTATATGTGTGTGTTTTATTGTGCCCAATTGCTAAATGTCATCCACAGATCACATTTTAGAGGCAGTCCTAGACATATTAGTTTTCCTACTGTAAATAATGTTTGCATGTAAAATTTGCTAAATGAAATTGGGCCTTCTACCTATATTGACAGTAGACTCCTATTAATTTAATGAACCATTTCATTCCATCAATAGTTTTGTGATGCAGTATTGTTTTATAGTATTTTGGATTAAAGGCGTAATTTTATAGCAAATGAATGTTTACTTGTACATTGAGTAACCACAGTACATGTGATATGTATGTTACAGTTAGTGAACAATACTAGAGTATTGATAGATGTATGCCAATCTAACAAATTGTGCCATATTTCAATTTGTATTAAAAACTAAGGTTACCCCAAAAAATGAAATTGTTTGTTTTGTGAATAGCTGAAAGGTGCAATAACTATGGTAAGCCTTGACACAATTGTTGTTGAGTAATATTTTGAAACACAGCATGACATATTAATAATTTATTACTTAATAGCATTTACTTTGTTCTGTCGAAATGTTATCATAATGGATCAATGTTCTTGATTGGAAATAGACAATAGCATGCTAGTTTAAGTACACAGTATTTATTAATTTTCTATATAATTGGACAGTCTTTTAATTTTTTGGTCCACAACTATGTGTGGTCGTATATTGTCATCACTTCAGTCCAGGGTCATTCTGTGTCAAATCGCCCATTAAAGTGGCCATTTTTTTTTAACTCGGACTGTTTCCAATTTTGATATAAATTGGTATACACAAATATGTCACCCAACTGATAATTCTATCATCACTATGGTTACTTCACTTCGTGTCATGTGAGAAGACATGCGCAGATAGTGTCAGTTCTGAACATGCCGCTGAAAAATAATGTGTCGAAATTTTTCACTGTAAAAACTTTTATCAGAACAAAATCTATAGTACAGACCCTGTACATAGATTTATATATTGACTATATATTATAGTCAATATAGATTATAAATTAAGACGGCTAATCTTTTCAGAACCTCTGAAAATGTCGAAAGAGTACATAAAAAATCGGCGACAACTTCGCCATTACAACAGGCACCGGCTTCATCAAAATCGAAGTCGAAGAAAACATCAACTCAATGCCAACCCGGCAATTATGATGGTCAACCTGACATTAACAAAACTACAAATTGTGACCTGTTAGGATCAAATATATTTGATTCCTTTGTTGCCAGCAATGTTGTTATTGACCAACCTGGTTTTAACACTGAATCTATAACAGTCTAGACAATGCTACTATAGCTAATAATAGTAACACGACATATGAAGCTAATAATAGTAACATTCCAGGCACGAGTGAACCTTCCACTTCTTTTACTGTAGTCGAGTCATCACAGTTTTTGCCGGTTATGATGAATTTGAACGATACAATGAATTTGATGTCACAGCATATTGCTAACTTGGGCAAAAATATGGGTATTCAGACCCACGAATCTTCGGACACTGTCACTGACAATATTCCGATTCGTCCTCCACCAGTTAAAAAACCAAAACTTTCTAAAAGGCAGGAACATACAATATCCGACTCAGATATACCTTCCTATGATGATGAGTCAGTAGCCTGTTCCTCTACAAGGAAACGTAAAGTGGTACAAACATCAAGTGAGGATGATGCTATGGTTCTCATCAAACCTGTCACTGCTACTGCTTTAAATAGCGATCGACTATCAGCTATCATCACAAAACGAAATACAAGTCGATTTGGTGATAAACATTTCAAAGAAAAACTTGAAAAATATCCAAGGCCAGAAAACTGCCCTAATTTATCTTCACCAATTGTAAATCCTGAAATATGGCAAAAACTCTCTAATATCCAAAAAAACATTGTTAAGGCAGCAGTTGTAATTACTGAATTAGTCAGACAGTCGATATTGAAATAAATTCTACAAATGTTAAAGCCCATTGTGATTACCAAAAATTCCAATAACCCACAGTTGTGTGTATACCAGACAGTTCAGGAATATATGAAGAGAACTACAGCCCTAAGAGACGGAAACCAATTGCTAATAAGTTTTAAAAAACCTCATGCAGCAGTTTCCACTGATACAATTTCTAGGTGGATCAAATTTGTGTTAAAAGGGGCAGGAATAAATATTGATGTGTATGGAACACATAGTACACGTTCTGCATCAACATGAAAGGTTTTCTCGAAAAACGTTGACATAAACACTATCCTAAGTGCTGTCGGATGGAGCAATGCTAAAACTTTTCAAAAGTTTTATCTTAAAAATATAGAGGAAAAGAAAGACTTTTGTACTTTAATACAAGAATAGCTTAATATACCAATATGTATACTTAGCCTACTAAAATCTAAATCAAGTTACTGTCAGGTAGACAGTTTATAGACTTACTGTCAAGTAAAAACAGTTTATATTATGTTAAGTACACAGGGTTTTTACAATATTAGTTGCATTGTTATCAATAATACTATTGCAGGACAATTTAGTCTTACTGTTAAGTAAACAGTTTACATTTAATTGTTTTAATTAAGCTATAGTTGAAACTATTTAATAATTTATTTTACTAATCATTAATGTACAATGTAAAATTGAAGTCATTGGTTTAAAAATAATGTAAAGCAATCTATTTGTGTCTTATGTTTCAATTACCTCCCTTTAATTGAAAATTTCTTGTTGACACACTGATGTTCCAGCTCACCTATTTAATATTAAGCAACAGATAAATATTTGCTTTGAAGTCTCACATGACACGAAGTGACGTTACCATAGTGATGATAGAATTTAAAAATTAAACGAACTTACCTTAAGGAGGTGAAGTTTAATTATAATTCTACGAACTATGGTAAGGGACGGAGTATTCATGTGCCCTCCCTTTTGTAAGCACAATCCTTTATGGGACCCTCCCATTACCATGACTCCGTTCCTTTTCTGGAATAAATATATACCCTGTTGCTTGTTGAAAACTGACACTATTTGCGCATGTCTTCTCACATGAATACTCCGTTCCTTACCATAGTTCGTAGAATTATAATTAAACTTCACCTCCTTAAGGTAAGTTCGTTTAATTTTTAAATTATAATACTCATAATAACAAGCCCTTATTCGTACTCAAGGTGGAATTTTTAAACAAAAATGCAATTTGTGGGGGGGGGGGGGGTCTGTTGAAATAACCACCAACTTGAGTATGAAATCATTTACTTTGATTTATGATTTTCCAGTTAAGGCTACCAGATATGTCTTTCGTCACTGTTCTGGTGACTCTATGGACAAAATGAAATGAACTGTAGGATTTCCTATTGACCTGTACCAGCCATAGTTGTTTGTACTTGGTTTCACCGATTTTCCGCCTCTATTTTTGAACTCGACAGAATCACATTAAATCCTCTACTGAAACGCCAGTCTGTGTCTTTCTATATTGTTTCAATGTTTTACTCGAGGCAGTTAAGGAAGATGGAATACCTTCCAGAACGTAAAATGGCTAACATATCTTATTAAACTCTAGCACTTTATTCAAACAGGGTTGTGCGATTACGTTTTTTAAAAAAAACTCACCAATTTACCATAATGATGATGATAAAAGCATAAGTTTAAACCGATAGTCTAGAAGCGTGGACAACAGTTTATCATCTGAAGTGGAATCCAGCAGTGTAATGTAATCAGCAATGTATAGAGTGCCTTAATAAACCCAACACGATGTTCTGACTATGCTGAAATTTCTCGCAGACAGAAAGGCTACTGTATGAAAACAGCAACAAATCACAAGCTATGAATCAGACAACCGGAATATGGTATAGCAGGGCCAGTTAACCACAAGATTTCTCCAGTCATGATAAGGTGTCCGGTGGAAGTACACATGTGAACCACAAACTAAACGTAATACCACTTGCAGCAAACTAACAACCGAAAGCAGCGCAAAACAAAAACGATATGATGCCGTGTCATAACGTCCCCTGAGAGGTAAAAGGTCGCAAGTGACAAAACAGGCAAATTTGATATTTTTGCACCAAAACTTTATAAATTGACCCCTCCAGGTTATAACAAACAATGGTGACAATTGCAATGATACAAACTACAATATGGGTAATTAATATTAGGTAGTAAGTGGAAAACTTTACCAAGATGTCACCGGAGAAAGGTAGTAAGTACACTGATGGCAGTGTAACAAGGTCGTAAGTGACATTTAAATATGTGCAGTAGCAACTTCTTTCTGGCAAACTTCTTTCTGGCTTTCCCACAAAAGCCTGTGTACATTTCATTTTGCGATAGTAGTGTTTAAAATTGATCAACCCGCAGTAGACTTTAATCCTTGAGTGACATTTAGGGATTGGGCACATTAAAAAACACAATACAATTTATATGGAAAAAATAATCACTGGTCTGTACACACATAGCACGACGTTTCGACAAGTATCCTCTTATCGTTGTCGTTTTGTGCTTGATAACAATAAGGGGATACTTGTCGAAACGTCGTGCTATATGTGTACAAAACAGTGATTGTTTTTTCGATATAAATTGTGTTGTGGTTTTTTTTTCACAGTAGACTACACAAAGAACGGGGCTGTAGGGGGGCCTTTTTGCGATACTGCATGTAAGAG